CAGACTCCTCCCCAGAGCCAGCCTCTGGCAACTGGAAAGGGGAAGCTTGGAGGAAACGATCCCTAGTGGGTGAAAGGCATCCAAGAGGCGGTGGCCGTGGGCCAGGAGGGCCTTTCCGGAATGCGTCTCTAGGAAAGTGCAGCTCAGATTCAGAATTCGGTGGTTCTTGGGGAATTGGCCTCCCTCCTGGGTAGGTGCAGACTCCTCTTCCCACGTGGCCTCGTGCCCTGCCCTGCATTTCTAGGATTCTAGCTGTGTGCTGATGGCACGTCCTCTCAGCCCAAGTCTCCACCACCCATGGGGTGGATTTGCCCCAGCTGGGGAGGGCTGTGTACATGCAAAAGTGGCCTTAAGCCACCTTTGGGTGAGGCCCTGACCCTGGGCCAGCCCACGGCTGCTTGGAATCCCAAGGGGACCCGCTAGCCACGGTGATATTCGGGGGGAGGGAGGCCAGTTGGGTGCCAACACCGTGTTGCAACGCTGTCCTAATGCAGCTGGTGCAGGACTGCAAAACTCCTAGGACAGCGGCTTCAAACCGCAGCAGGCTCAGAGTTCGGTGCCGTTAATTCCAGCCCAAGCCTCCATGGAAAGCAGGCCCTTAGTGCGTGGGATGCAGCCCTCTTTGAGAACAGAGAGGGCTGCGGCTGGCTCCTGGGAATTCTGGGAAGAAGGCCTGGGGGGCGGGAGGGTGGAGCTAGACAGCTGGGTCGGGTAGGGGTCAGTTTATTAGAGCGGGGGCACGGGCAGAGCAGCACCAGTTTAAAAGCACGACGAGAAACCCGCACTACCGGCTGTGTGGATGCTCGGATTTCCATTCAAACCCAGAGGAGCGGGGGCTGGAGAGAGTTTCAGTTTGGGTCTGGCTGGGGACATGGAGTGAAGGGCAGACGGGGTTGTCTGGCTCACTGCCCCCCCAAAATGGACCCAGCTGAGGGGTCCTGTTTGCTGTACCTACAAGCTCTGTGTTAGACCATGTTCCTGTCATCTAATAAACCTCTGGTTTACTGGCTGGGTGAGAGTCTCATCTAGCTATGGAGTTGGGGCAGGACCCTCTGGCCCCCCCAGGACCCCACCTGGGCAGACTCGCTGTGGGAAGCACATGGAGGGGCTGAATGCTCCGAGATCAGACCCAGGAAGGTGGAAGCCGTGTGAGCTTCTTGCCCTGCAGACAGTCTGCTCCCAGAGAGGAGACTGCACCCGAGTCCTGACTGGCTTTGTAGGGAGCAGTTCCAGAGCATCGCCTGGGGACTCCGTGACAGGGGGCCACACCAAGGCTCTGGCACATTGAGGAAACAGTACCAAGGGGGCCCATGATGCCTCAGGGCAGAGATGTGGGGGTCCAGCCTCTGCCCCATCCCCACCAATATCTCTGACTCTACCCTCTGCTCCTTGGGGTGACAGCCCCGTGCAGGAGGCTGGCAGCAGGGCCAAGGGGTAAACAGTGGTAATGGGTAAACAGTGAAGTGGCAAAATGTGTAGATACAAAATTACTAAAGATAGTTAAGACCCAGGCAGACTGCAAAGAGCTACAAAGGGATCTCACAAAACTGGGCGACTGGGCAACAAAATAGCAGATTAAATTTCATGTTGATAAATGCAAAGTAATGTATATTGGAAAACATAAATCCCAACTATACATATAAAATGATGGGATATGAATTATCCGTTATCACTCAAGAAAGATCTTGGAGTCCTTGTGGAGAGTTCTCTGAAAACATCCACTCAATATGCAGCGGCAGCCAAAAAAGCTAACAGAATGTTGGGAATCATTAAGGGAGAGATCATAGGATTGAAAATATCATATTGCCTCTATATAAATCTATGGGACGCCCACATCTTGAATCCTGCATGCAGATGTGGTTGCCCCATCGCAAAAAAGATCTATTGGACTTGGAAAAGGTTCAGAAAAGGGCAACAGAAATGATTAGGGGTATGGAACGGCTTCCGTTTGAGGAGATATTAATAAGACTGGGACTTTTCAGCTTGGAAAAGAGACAGCTAAAGGGAGATATGATTGAGGTCTATAAAATCATGACTGGTGTGGAGAAAGTAGATGTGTTAAGGAAGTGTTGTTTACTACTTTTCATAAGAACTAGGGGTCACCAAATGAAATTAACAGGCAGCAGGTTTAAAACAAAAGGAAGTATTTCTTCACACAACGCACAGTCAACCTGTGGAACTCCTTGCCAGAGGATGTTGTGAAGGCCAAGACCATAACTAGGTTCAAAAAAGAACTAGATACATTCATGGAGGATAGGTCCATCAATGGCTATTAGCCAGGATGGGCAGGGATGGTGTCCCTAGCCTCTGTTTGCCAGAAGCTGGGAATGGGCGACACGGGATGGATCACTAGATGATTCCCTGTTCTGTTCATTTCCTCTAGGGCACCTGGCACTGGCCACTGTCAGTAGACAGGACACTGGGCTGGATGGACCTTTGGTCTGACTCAGTAGGGCCATTCTTATGTTCTTATGAGGGCAAACGGCTAGTGAGAGCTGGCCTGGCTCCGAGTGGCAGGGGTGAAATGAGGCATCCATGCCATGCTCGGGCTGAGGTCTCCCTCTCTCCCCCAGCCACTGTCCTCAGCACACATCTCACGTCCCCCTCTGATAAACCAAGGCAGGTTCACCCAAGCGAGAGGCTGCTGGTGCGGTAGACTTACCGCCCATCAGCTTTTAGTGACATGGTGGCTCCTAATCCCTTTGGAGAATGGAAATAGGTTCCTAAATCACCAGAGTGCTTTGGAAAATGTCACCCCTTATTTCCTGTTCTTTTCTGAAAAGCATCTTCCTATAGCACTGGACAAACCAAGAGCTTCACAGCCTGCAACTGGCCGTTCAGCTGCGCTACCGTGGGACAAAGCCCCAGAGCAAATCAGTCCCTTCTGCTTGGGTTGCTTTCACTTTGGGAAAAAGAAAGCCTCAGAACAGCAGTTGGGAAAGACGGGGCCATGCTCCCCTCCCCGCATCTCCTACAGAATGACACAGGCCTGCCTCTCTACCGGGACATGTTCTGTTAAACAGGAAGGAAGGCAGAAGAACACAGCGCCTAGTACAGAGCAAATGAGTCACTCTTGGTGCAACTGTAGTGGGGGGCGAGGGGGCTGGGAAGGAGGTGAGCCGGATTTCCGGTTCTGACTTACATGGGTAGATGGCATCAGCAAACATCAGGCGAGGGAAGTTTGCATCCACGTGACTGGTGTTATCATGAGCACCGTGGAATGCAAGATGCAGCTGTCATCCCTCCCAGGACCTTCCCCGCTTTCCAACAGCAGGGCAAGAGAGAGGACTAAGATGGCTAGATCCTGTGATGTTTGAGGCTGAAGACAGACATTAATCTAACCAGATTCTTCAGCCAGGCTCATTGATCACAGGGGTGCCCCAGACGCTGGTCTGCTGCCCTCCAGTCAGAGCCATGTGGCAACAACTCCATGGAGAGATCTTTGAGTCAAGCCACCGAGGACAACAGATCCCAGGAAGGAGAGACTTGACTGCTGCTTACGTTCCAGTCAAACCGGCCCTGCCTTCAGCCAGCTTCCAACTTCCTAGTGTGGCGGGGCAGAGGAAACCCAGCTCAGTCGCTTCTGAGCGGCGCAGCCTGGCTCTTGGAAGGGGAGGTGCTGCCAGGGCTGCCAGCTGGCTACAGCTCCTATGGGAAACCCTCCGCTTCTGTGAGTGATCTTGGCCATGTGGATCCACTTACGCTCACATGTAGCATGCATGGGAGCCGTAAGTGGGGTCCACGCGGCCAAGACGTCTCGAAGTAACCGTTCCTTCCCACTCATCTTCCCTGGCTGCCCTAAATTTTCATTGTCAAAATATTAAATGATTGTTAGGTGAAAAAGGCCGTTGTGCCAGCGAGCGCAGAGGAAAGGGCAGCAGGGAGCCTGTGGGAGAGCAGAGAACCTCTGGGACTTCACAGATATCAGTAAATAATTCCCAAAAGAGGTGGATTATTTACCTGTCTCTCTCAGCCCAACGCACTAGGCGGGGCTTGCAGGTCACAAATCGTTAAAAGAAACCCTCAGGAACAATTAGGGTTAAAATACATTAACAAAACAAGAAGCCACCCCGAGGCAGAGACAATTTGGTTCTCTGTGCCCATGTTGAAACACAGGGCACTGCAGGGGGGTGCCAATAGCCAGCCACCGCCAGACCCTCTGCTGTATTTGACTGCACACCCCCACCTAGTGGATCTTGCCGAGAAGACAGGAACTTCATGGCTGGGTGTCACTGGGGTCTCTCTGCGGGTCACTGCCACAGTGTTCCCCAGCTGGCTCCGGGCACATCCTCAGGCTGGAAACGAGACTGTGAATTTTTAAATTGTCTCCAGAACCGTGCCCCGCAATCTGAACCTTCACTAATACACTAACTCAATCTCCAGCCCTCGGGGGTGCAAAGAATCCCTTCCATGGCAGACTCAAATGTAAATTGATGCAGTGGAGTCTGCCAGCGGGACTAACTCAGGGGCGTGAGCTGGCTGCATTCATCCCAAAGAGATGGTGTCAGCCCTGACGGCAGATGACAAATTCAAATATAAACCGCTGTCCAGCTGATCGGTTTATCCAGGTGTCAGTTGTGGATATTGGGGTGGGTGCAGCAGGCCAGCGAGATGCTGCAGAGACAGCACTGCTTAATTCTAGATCTAATCTGGCTCATGGACCACAAGGCCTGGACTGTACCACCCCTTACAATACGGGTGGGTCACTGGGGCTTGCTATGCTGGGGGAGCTAATGTGTACTCTCACAAGACGGTCACTACAGTGAGTAGAGAGAGGCAGAAGGTCTTGATGCAGCCCTGCTGCTACAACTGCCAAGCCAAGAGCCAGCCGCGGGGTCAGCCTCAGAGCATTTCTTGGGGGGGGGGGGGTGAGGGGGAGGGAGGGAGGGAACCAGCTGAAGGCCAGATCAAGCAGCAGTTGGAAGGGGGGTTGTGGGGCCTAATTAACTGAACACACATTTTCAGTGAGCCAGAAAAACGACCCAGCGAGAAAAAAAAAGTAACATTCTGTTTAATTTATTACTGTTTGAAATCCAGTGACATTGACACACACAGTCACCGCCGCCACCCTTGTCAACTAGCGGGCAGCTGGCGGTCTGACCGGTTTAATAAACTACAGTACTAGGAGTGGACTGCTACACACATGCATCCACAGTTTAAAACTACAGTGATTCAATACTGCAACTGAAACAGTACTGCCATAAAAAGAAAAAATAGATATCACGTGTTCCCCGATTCATAATTCTCTTAAACAGTTAATGCTGTAACAAACGCTACTGATGTCAGGACAAGGCAAGACACAAACAGTCCTACATCTTCTCTGCAGTATAAATATGGAAGAGTTTTATACAGTTTACTGAAGTCTGATACTACATTTGTTGCTACCCGTTAGAGCTAAAGGGATGCAGCACGTCCGCTTTGGAAAGGTCGGCTCTGGTGGTCTGGGCCATGGAATGTTGCTTAATCATCTTCGGTGCCACTTCCCGAGCGATCCTGGAAGAAAAGACGAAATGGACAGGGGGAGAGATCAGAGCGGAGACATTCCAGTAGCAGGGCTGAGTGCTTAGGGACAGTTTAATCCCATCAGCCTTCCTGAGTCCTCCTAGTTCTTGCTTTTTAAAGAGGGCTCCTCCCACTCCTGCTATAGCCCTATCTCAGGTACTCTGCAAACACCAAGCCCACCACCATACAGGTACCATACAAGGTTACACTAGCAGCAACCTGGAGTGGAGAACTGAGCTCCTGCATTTACCTCTTCCTGCTCCTCTTCACTATCGTCGTCACTAACCACTGGCTTGGCCCGGGAGCCGCGGCTGGTGCGCCTGCGACCCTTTAGCCGGTCTTGTGCTTTCTCCTTTCTGCCCAGCTTGATCTTCACCTTGACGGAGCGAGCTGCGGGGAAGTACAAGGAGAGGCAGAGAGTCTGAACAATTGCACAGGTTAAGGCTTGGCACTCCCACATAGCAACAAAGCTTCCGCTGCAAATTAGACCTGTCCTGTTCTAACACAGACATAGTAAGTATGTGGCACTTCTAGAATGCTTTCCACCTCAGGGCGACAGTGGTGCCTACCTGGTTGAGCACCTATGGCCTAGAAAGCAAGTGGGAGGAGTTACGTTCCCCATGCAGAGAACCAACATGCATTTCCTTTCCTTCAAGACAGCCCTGGCGCCTGCAGTCCTCTCCCTGCCCCAGAACAGAGAGAACACAGGCAGGGCAGTGTGAGCTTCCCCCAGCCACAGTGCCCTGCCAATGTGCCTCAGTCCTGTCCTGGAGAAGAGAGGAGAGGGCAGGGTCCGCAGCCTTACAGTTAGCTTTCGAGCTGGTCACCAACGCACACAGGACAGCTGAATAGGGCAGGCACCCACACATGCACACACTCCTGCTTAGCAGAGGCAGCAGCAGAAGAGTACTCACACTCGGATTCAGATCCTTCCTCTTCTCCTTCCTCCTCCTCCTCACTCTCCTCACCTTCACTGTCTTCCTCTTTCTCAATTTTCTGCCTCACGCTGGTGAAGACAGACTGCAGCACTATCGAGTCTTCGTAGATCTAGAGGAAGAGGCCACAGTGGCCAGGGTGAGTCAGGGCAGGTTACCTTCTGGAGAGAGCTGTCGCTCTCCCAATCCATTCCCTGCTCAGGGTGCCAGAGTCTTGGTGCTCTTTCACACAACGCAACGCCTGCTTAATCTAACATGCCCGCTCACGCCAAAGCCTGGGTATTAAGCATTTGCCGTGCTTAGGAATAATCCAGCTTTAACCAGATCAGCTTTTCATCTTTTATTAGGAAGAAATGGCTGGTCATCTTGCAATCTAACTGGCTGGCAGGATTTAATGGGATTCTAAGTACATCCTAAAAAAGGGGTGTTTAGTCCCAATCACACCCTGGGTCGAGAGAGGGAGGATCGCTGGCCGGGTAAGGGCAGTGCCCCCTCTTGAGCCCTGGCAGTGGGGAGGAAGTGCCTTACCAGAGAGCCTTCCAGATTAAAGGTTTGTGCGTTCTGACACAGCAGCATGACATCCTTCTCCAGGTCATTCAGGCTGCGGTACTTGTGGTTGCGGATGCGTTCCTGAGAAAGGGGCAAAGGTCAGTGTCACCTCAAACATGGCCAGCGATTCAATGCCTGGTGCTGCCCTGCTGCTCCCACTCCTTGGGCTCCACCCTAACAGCTCCCTTGCGGGCTGCCCAATGCTGCCTTCCACATCACCTAGAACGGCCTCACAATTAGCACAGGCCAAGTGCACGGCTCCAGCAAGCTGAAGGAAGACCGCACACCTCAGTTTGCTCTCTTACACCTTTAGGCTGTGTGCCCCTTGGGGCTTTGTTCCCAGCCCTCCCCAATGCACCTGCATGGCCTGTGCCATGGAACTACAGGCAGCCTCTGGCAGGGTGGTGGAAACCCTCAAATCGACAGCCTGAAATAAGCAGTGCTGCTCCCAACCCAGCTGCAGCACCTTACACGCAGTCAGGTGAGTGGCGGTCATCACAGCCAGCTGCAGAGGCACGGATAGCTGGGATCATGAAGGAAATCTCCCCCCACACACTGGTATTTAGCACACAGAATTGCACCATCAAGAAAGAGGTCCGCACCCTACAGGTGCCACAAGCCACAAAGGCAGCCAGGTGGGCCCCCGTGGGACAGGCCTTGTGAGAACAGGTGTGGCAAGCAGAGAGAAGGTGCTTGGCTAATGCGGATCTGCAGGTGTGAGCAGGGGAAGGAGATGCAGGGAGCAGTCGGCACAAATTTGGGTGGAGCCCAGGGACAGGAGGGAGGAGGAGAGGTCAGGAGCAGCAGCATTGGGCACAGTTTTGGAGGTGTCACTGAGAAGGTGGAGGGAGGAACATAAGGACAGAGTGCCAAGAATCATAGGACTGGAAGGGACCGCGAAAGGTCATTTAGTCCAGTCTCCTGCACTCGTGGCAGGACTAAGTATTATCTAGACCATCCCTGACAGGGGTTTGTCTAACCTGCTTTTAAGGAGGAGGGTGTTTGCACTTTCTCCCTGGGCTGTTTTTTTTTTAACTGCCTAGAATCCTGCTCCCAGACTCAAGCCCCAGTTCTGTGCATGCCTGTTGGCCTCCATTTTCATTTATTCCTCTGCACCAGTCAATGCTGGGGGAGGGTGAACTGCCTCGCTTAACGCGTGTCTGGTGGGGGCTCAGACACGACAGTGATGAGGCCAGGATAAGAACCAATAGAGAACAGAAGGCTGAATGCCTCCATTATCTCCCCGGCCCACCGGACTCCAGTTCGGTGCATCCAAGGATGCAGCGAGCTGCAAAATGTGCCAGTGGAGGAGGCTCTCCAGTGAGAGGGGATTGGCGGGAAGCACAGCTCCTGGAACACACCAATAAGTGGGGGGGAGACAATTAGCGGGTCCCATTTAGCCACTTCTCTTGAGGGGGCTGGCCCAAATCACTTGGCAGCACGGCTGTCCAGCTAACACAAGACCTGACTAGAGGAGTCCTTGCTCTGTAGAGCTAAAGGCAGGAGGGGGCTCGAGGCAGAGCGTCATGACACAGTGGGCTGGCGGCTGTATAGCCCCTCACTTCGTCTCACCGCCAGGAGCTCTCAGAAGGCGTTTAATGGTGGAGAATGACAGCACTTGGTAAGGGAGATTTGGCTGACCCCAGCTTCAGGGTGGGCCCAGGAACAAGCAAAGATGGAGAAGTTTGAGTGGAGACCAGGGAACAGTGGGCATGTAGGGAGCAACCAGGTAGAGATGCAGGGAGGGAGTTGGGCTGGGCCTGGAGGGGAGAACAGGGAGTGACAGGACAGCAATGGTTGTGCCACAGGACAGGAAGAGGGCCGGGGCTGGGCTGTTTCGGATGCACTGAGCGGCATTAAATCACAGTGAAGACACAAATCAAGGATGTGATGCAAGAGTGCTGCCTGGTACCTCAAGCATCCACTGAGGGCGGGCAGGGTTACCTTTATTTTTTTGAAATCCACTGGCTTGCGGATGAGCTCGTAGTACTCCGGGAGCTCCTTGCGAGAAGGCAGCTGGATGAAGACTTCGCTAAGCTGGCGTCCACTACTACTACAAAACAAGGAAGAAATACAAGATCAAAGACCAAATCAATCCCCCTCCCCTCTCGCCAGGACAGCAGCTCCCAGCCTGCCACGCAGAACTGCTTCCAAAATCACACGACACACTGCCACCGCGCAGGCAGGAAAACGTCCCTCCTTTAGCACGGAGGCCTGCTCAGCGCTGAAGGACGGACAATCCATTATGCTAGCCAAGAAGCTGGCAGGGTTACTGTGTTGCCTAATGGGTACTACAGCAAGAGCCTGTCAGCACTTTCATTACAACTCTGAAAGCTGGCCCTGGTCTCTTGATTTTTTTTTTTCCACTGCACAAAATCCAGTGGTTCATTAAAGTACAGTGAGGAAAAGCAGTGGTCTGTTTGGAATAGGGCAGAGAAAAACTTGGATTTTTCTTAAAAGGCTCCTAAGACATGGGGCGGGGAGAGCACCAGAGCTTCTAAGCAAACCAGGCATCAACTCAGCTATGCTTCTTCCAGGTTGTGCTCTAATGCGCTGGCCAGTCACAATGGTTCAAAACCCACTTAGCATGTTGAGCTGAGACATTTAATACTTCCCTCGATCCAGGGAACTTTTCCAGGCTGTGAGTCAATTAATCAAAAGTAGAGGATAGAAAAAAACTATTTGTTCGCTGGCCAAATAAAAGAGCCTGGAAAATCCCACAGGAAATAATTTGATCTTTTCAAACTGATTCACACAGACCACGTGTTTAACTTCTGCTCTGTACGGTTGATGCCTGAACTGCAACCCTCTATTAGAAAACAGCAATACTGGAAACTGCCTACTGCGCTAGCCAGAAGAGCACCCCAGGGCCACAAGTGCTCTCCAGCCGTGCCCCAGCAGTCATGCACAGCACGCAACAGCGGGGCTGCCGCAGTTCTCGACCAGAAGCTGCCAACAGCATGACATTTCACGCTTAGATGGAAGATCCTAAGAAGGACCTAGCAGATCAGCTGATCACTGGAGAGAAATGGGACAAGAGCTGGATTTGTCCCTTGCTGCAGTTTGCCTGTGAAGCAGGCACAAACTGGGTGGAATGAAGCAATCACAGCCTGACTCCCAAAGCTTACACAACATGCATACGCGTCCACCCTCCTTTCATTGCCTTAACTGCATGGCACGATCTCTGCTAGGTTACACAGCAGCCTACAGAACACCCACAGACAAGACATTCCTCTGGCCCGTGAGTTAGAAACTGCCAGTACTCTGTGGACTTTGCCTTCAGAGGGCTTTGCAAAAATCAGCCACTCCCTGGGAGGGGAGTAAGAATTATTCCCATTTTAAGTCAGAAGTGCTGTGGGTTTATGCCAAGACTGCCCAGCCAGGGACTAGGATTTGGCTGTTCCTCCCCAGACGTTTGTGCGCACTGGCGGTTAAAAAGACAGAAAAGCAGACCCTATATGCAGGAGTTCTGAGGAGAGTGCCCATCCCTTGCTTCTCTTACCTGTCCTTATATTTAATCACAGCATCCACGATCTTCTTCATTTTTTTGGTGAGGTTGGGGGGGTTTGGGGAGAGCTTTTCGGCGGGAGGCCTGCCGCGCTTTTTCTGCTTTTTGCTATCATCGTCTTTGTCCCGGCTCCGGGTGCTGGTAGTCGGGGTGGCAGAGCCAACGTCAACATCTCGCTTGCGTTTGCGGGAAGATTTCTTCTGACGAACCTCCTCCTCGATCTCCTCCAGCGTGCCCTCCTCTATAGCCTATGGAGGGGAGCAACAGAGCGGCCGCTAGCACCAAGACTGCTGGGCAAAGATGCAAAGAAAGGGCAAGGGAGCGGCCTGTGAAACGCTAAGCATGGCCATTTATACGGGGCTTTAATTTGCTGCACTACTGACCAGGGTGTCCTGCCCACTGGGGCGGGCGCTCTATGGGCTGCCCCTTGCTTGTGGGCAGACCTCCTCCCAACCGGAGACGGTAGTTCAGGCTGTTACAGAAAAGGGGTTCTCAGATTTTTTCATATGGTGACCTTCTCCATATTGGGACCCCTTCCAATTTAGCCATATGGGAAAGGCCCCTGGGTTGGCAACACATGCTAATGCTCCAGCATTTTTTTTTAAAGTGGTTGCTCCTTGGTAATGGGCTAAAGCATCTCTGCCCTGCTGAGTGCATCTGAACCACATGCATGGTTTGGGGCTTTTCCTCCCAAGAATGGAAGGCCTCTAGAGACCGGCCTTCTGCTCGTTACACCCAGCTGATCAGGCAGTCTCTAATGGCCCTATGTTTAAATTCAAAGTAGGAAAATGCCAGATGTAGGGGAGATTTTTAGTTGAACACGGAGGTATTTTAAGATGAAAAATGTATTTACTGGAGGGATATTGGAGGAAAGCAAAGGGTCTCTCAAGGGTTAACCTCCACAGAAGGAAGAGGGGGTAATTCTATTCTCTACAGCTAAAACATCATCTCTAGCCTCCTGCTCAAGAAAAGCTCTTAAGATCCCAGACTTGAAATAATTAACATGAACTCTTGAGCTGCTGCAGCCTCCCTCTCCCTGCTGCCCACAAACACCCCCTTCAGCAGAATCAGCCTCATGGCTACCCAGAATCCGGCAGGCACTCAGCTGCCCATCGGGTGCATTCTACCTGGGAGGCTCGACAGCTGTTAAAGTAGTAGTCAGCTATGGCGTGGCTTCAACTGTTTAAACCCCTCTAGAGCCCTGTGATGGGGTGAGGTGAGTTTTTCAAATACCCAGTACCAGCATCAGGTGGCGAAATAGAAACAGACCCTAAAGCAACAAATGTTTGGTAATAAGTGAATGGGTCAATAGCATAACATGTATCAGTATGACTGATTCATGCTGCTCAAAACCCTTTGTGGAGATTTGGGTAAGAGGCGATTTTCCTCCAATTGGTAATGAAGGATGCTGGGGGACTCAGCCACACATCCAAAGCAGGCTTATTTTAAGGTATGCACCATCAGAGCCTCCAGTACTGGGTATTTTCTTTAGCACATAGACAAAAACACAGTAGAAGCATAGATTTGAGAAGGCCATTGGAGAACGATGCTGTACCATGTATACCTTGAGCCACTGCTTCTCGGTAAGCGAGTCACTGTAGTCCACCTCCTTACGGTGACGTGACCCTCGCCCAAACATCTTCTCCTCCTCCTCCTCACACGTGAGCCTCTCCACTTCAGCATCATCCTTAATAATCCAGGATGGCAGCTCATCCTCTTCCATTAGACGTGGCTTTCGCTTTGGGTTACGTGCCTCCTCCCGCCTGCGGTCCAGGTCCATGCGCTAAAATAAGAGGTGTTTGCTGGGGGGGGACCGCTGGCACAGCGACAGAGGGGTCTGCAGCCATTGCCTGAATGCATCTATCAGGGAGTTAGCTGGCCCATTTAGGTGTTGTTTAGTTGAGGCAGGTCATCTCTATAGCAGACGTTGTGGGTCATGCAGCTGACCCCAGATGGACCAGGACGTGACTGATCTCGGCTTTGGAAATATCCAACTGGCCCAGGCATCCAGCAGTTACCAAGGAGCAAGGAATGCTGCAGTGCAGCGTGTGGCCTCCAGGAAGGGGTGCTCCCTGGTGACTCTCTCGGTCACGCAGGAGCCATGGCAGTGCCGTTCTGCCATCTTTGAGCGCAAGGCCCTTGGGAAGCTATGCAGGGGAGGGATACAGCAGGAATGCAGTGTGTTGTGGAGTCCAAGGGGTTTGTATAACAATTATTTAAATACCTACTGACTCACTACAGCTCAACAGGTACATCAGGTTAAGCGCTGCGGGAGCATATTAGCTGGCATGAGACTAACCACTATGAAGGACAAGGTACTAGAAGAGATCACTGGAACTGGAGGCAGACAAGAGCTATTACTGGGGGTCATCTCAGCCAACTGTCTTTGCTAAAGCTGGATTCTCCCCTACGGTGCATTGTTAGTGTGCGGTTATAGCGTCCATCAGCGTTACTAGCTCATCACCCTATTATCAACTTACCCAGGCTCACAAGAGCATAGCACATCTGACAGGCAAGCGTGGGGCAGACATGGGAAAACCTCCTCCTCCACACATGTGTCGGCATTAAAAAGTATTGCTGAAGGAGCGTCATTTTCTAAAGGAGTCTTTTGTACTCTGAGTCACATGGAACATTCTATAGATCTCCTGGCTTAATAAATATTTTGCTTGTCCTACTGCCTTTCATCTGAAGATCTCAACGCACTTCACCAACATACTTCAGTAGCACGTTACGGTAAGTATTTTTCCCCATTACATCCATCTAGGGAAAGCCAAGGACATCAAAGGCAGGGGCAGAGCCTGCTCAAACTTTTAGACCCTGCTCCCTTTCCAGCACCAGGAATAGAACCCAGGAGCCCTGACTCCGTTCCCGCTGCTCTAACCACTAGACCCCAGTCCTTACTCAAGGGGATGTTTGTTCAAACATAACGAGCTCAACTCCATCACAAATGGCATTGCCTGTGTTACCCGGAAGAGGGACAGGCTCTGTTCTCTTCCACGGCCTCTGCCACGCTCACCATAAAAAGGTCAAATTCCTCCTCATGACGGGCAATCATCTGGTTGACTGTTTCATCGTCGGGAACTTCATCTTCTTCCTGCAAGATTTCAAACGCCTGGCTTAAGGGCGAGAGACGACGGCGCGGCAGTTCGTACCCTGGGAACCGAACACCGAGCATTGCTACCATCCGACGCCTGTTCGGCCGCCCGTGCGAAACGAGTTTGGGTGGTCTCAGTCCCGTGTCGAGTGGACACAGGCATCCACGTCGCAGGAGACCACCACCAGAGCCGGCGCCTTTGCTGGCAGTCTCAGCAGCGAGGCCAAGGATTGCCTGGGCATGGAGACTGAACTACCCCTCTCACCTTTAGAGGTGGTTCCTCCAAGTCAGGGTTCAGGCACAGGGTTGAGGCAGTGTGGGGGAAGCTTGCACTGCCACTGCCGCTGCCCGTGCTGTATCTGTTCTGTGGATAAATAGAGGGCTTCAGTCTCCAGGGCTGTCAATCCGGCACCTTTCACCGACACTACAGTTCACTTCCAAAGAGAAACAAGTGTTCATGCTCCTTCCTTCCAGCCCACATGCCCTTGGCCTCGGGGACACAGAGCAACGGAGCAAGCGCCAGCCACGCGTTCACCATTCACGCTCTGCAGTAGAGGGAGGGTGACCTGCACCGCCCCTTACCTCATCCTGCTCCTCGTGCTCTAGGATAGCCTGGAGGAAAGCTCTCCGCTCATGGCTGGAGGATTTCTGGTCAAACATGCCAGCCTGGATGACCTTCTGATCAACATTCAGCTTGTACTTGGCTGCAGCCAGGATCTTCTCCTCCACGCTGTTCACGGTGCAGAGGCGGAGCACGCGCACCTCATTCTGCTGCCCGATACGGTGCGCTCGGTCCTGTGCCTGCAAATCCTGAAGAGGGGAGCATGTTGTTTGCAGAGTAATTTAAACCTCACTCTTTCCCAGGTAAATATTTGAGCCTTTAAACACATCATAGGAAAAGTATACATGCCTCGCAGAGCTACCTAGAGGCCCTCAACGACTCCAGAGGATTCCGTTACATCCGCTGGGGAAGTGTAATTAATCGAAACAGTTTGTTTTGCTGACTGCTCTTTTACTTGGTGATTCAACGCACTTTAGAAAATACAGGCCACTGTGCCTAGCTATTACAGCAAACTCTAGCAAAAGTGCTCGTCTACTCGGCCTCCTAAAACTCGCCCTCCCGGACAGAGCTGAGTGTCTATGCGTGGATTCTTACTAGCACTGGTGAACCACCGGGGAATGGGGAATAAGAGGATAGCAGCAGGCTTCAGTGTCTTCATATGACATGTGGTGTGGGTGGGATAGGGGGACCTTTAACCTCAGTCACTACCAGTGCTAACTGTTAATCATGTTAATTAGCATAGTTAAGGATAATTATGGATCAGCCACAAGAGGCTCTCCCACTGTATGCCAGCGCACCCTGCCTGTCGGAGCAGAGACAACCAGGAGACGGGCAGCGCATGAACAGATGCTTGTGTTAGGTTCTGGGCTGCACCTGTGGCTCAAGGTCACAGCGTGGGGTTGCAAAGACCACGGCAAGAAACAAGTGCTGGGGATGCAGGAAGAGAAAAGCAGTGATGCAGGCCGTGGTGCAGTCAGCACCTAGTGCAATGGGGCACTTTATGTTTTATGTCTACACTGCCAAAAAAGAAAAAAAAAAAAAAAGTGTTCTCAACTCTGCTTAGCTAACTAATAGCAAAGAAAACATGGCAACCTTGCTAACACTAACCTCTCGAGTGAAAGCCCGTGAGACAGTCTGAGGATGAATTCCAGCTGCTAACCAGAGTTAAAAACCAGCTTGCTGAACCCCCACTGCTCTTTTAACCAACGTTAAGAACATACTCTATAGTGCAGACACATTCTAGGAGCCTTAGGAGGAGGTTAAACTAGCATTACAGGCATACAGTTCATCCAAGCCCTAGGAGAGGGACACACTAGTCCTTCCTCTTGTTATTTGGGGAACGCAAGACTCGTGTCTCATGTACACACGGAGAGACAACCACACAACCCCGTACTGGGATTCCCATCAATTCTGTAGGGTTTTTTACCTGGTGCGGATTCCAGTCACTGTCAAAAATAATCACAGTATCTGCAGACTGTAAGTTCAGTCCCAGCCCTCCGGCCCGAGTGCTCAGCAGGAAAATGAAATATTCCGAGCCTGGCTCATTGAAGGTCTTCAGCAACATGCCACGGTCTTCAGCTTTAGTGGTTCCTAGAAACCCAGGGAGAAGAGAGAGGTTACTATTTACCTCCCCTGGAAAGTTTTCTATTTAACATGGACTCAGAACTTCACAGAGCAAAGAGGGGTTCCACCTTACTTGGAAAGTGTTGAGCACCTACACCCTCTGAAAACCAGGCCCCTTGGAGGTGGTCCACATTGGCCACCCCTAATATCGTAGCACCCAAAATCAGTAATCATGATGGCAAATTGAGGTCTGTGCATGCAGTCTGTGTGTCAGGTCGGAAAGCCCTTTGGGATCTTCCAGGATATAAAATGTAATGTAAGGTGACCAATGTATCAAAGATAGCAGGTTACAAATATCCAGAAGAAAGTTGTTGATGCTGGCTGAAATTCCAAGAGACAACACAAGGCCTATGCGCCATGTCAGACTACAGAACAGGGCTCTTCCTGGAGGTGAGACTTTCACCAATTTAAAGATGGTGGAAAGTGATAACTGGATTAGCAGTGAACCACCTCCCTAAACTAACCTTACAAGAAAAAAGCATAAGGTACGTGCAACACTGTTAATCCTTTTTCCCAATCATAGGTTAAAGGAGAAACACGTCCAGAAGCAAGTGTGCAATGAAAAGGTTGCAACAGTGTAATCCCACCAGCTTTACCAAGAGTTAGTACATGATGCGATTGGTTAGGATAGTTCGGTTGTCTATTTTTATGAATGGCTGTTAGTTTCATGCATGTTTCCACATGTGCTGCAAAGCACATTGCGTGGTGATGAGCATTAAAAGGAGGTTTGTTATTTGATCATTCGTTATCTACACACGTAGGATTTAGCCTACTGATATTGCCAAAGCAGAGCATTCAGGCGGAGATTGAGTGTCTCTCTGTTACCAGTTAAACTCACCATCCAGCCTGAGGTATTTGAAGCCACGGTATGCAAAGTAGTCTTCCATGATGGTCATGAGTGAGGTCATCTGACAGAACAGCAGCACCTTGTGGTTGGTGGCTCGTAGTTTGGGAAGAATCCTGTCTAGGAGCTCAAATTTGCCAGATGCTCGGTACAGGTCTAGTCTAGTTCACCAGAGAGGATTGGCAATAGGTGAGAATCTGATGCTACAAATATGCATCACCCTCGCATGCAAATGAGAGCTACCAGTGCTTGTTACATTAATACACTGACCTAATCCAAGTAATTCTTCATTGATAAACCACACCACACTTAAACTACAAATATCCTCCTTTGTAAAGCTCAAAAGCATTCAACTTACCCCTGTACAATACCTCCAGTGAAACCTAAGTGCTCTGAAAAGGATTCCTGCAACCAAAAACAGAAACACTGTCACACTGATTGCACCACATTCTTCTATACAAACACAAATGTCCAATAAATCCAACAAACTCTTGGAATTGCCCTGATAGAAAACTGATCATCAGGTCAAATACGTCTAATCTTCTTCTGCTTTCATATGGCTTGGGTGGATAGCAACAACTACAAGTGTATTTCTAGGTTAGATAGCCAGCACATTGCCACAGCAGTGAGCTGGTGAATGTCCTTCAGGCCCCCGGCCAAGGAACAAAGGGGACACTCAGATATGATGTGCTCCATCATTTGTGCCTGGTGACCACAGTCACATGCAAGTGTTTGCCTCATTTTCCATTTAAAGAGGGTTTGTCCAAGTCTCCCATGAGATGTCCTGATGCAATTCAATCTGCACCAGTCTTTCCGACATAAAATCAAAACCTGGTGGTTCCTTGGCAGGGTCAACAACAAGCTGTTTGTTTAGAGCGGTTGAAACACTCCACGTGATTCTCACTCCATGTGAGCCTCAGCGTCACAGCTGACATAAGGGTCTTGATGTGGTTCCATAGAGGATTGTGGGATTTTAAATCTTGTCTTTGGTGGGTTCTGCAGGTCATCATGCAGCAGAATCCCTGCATTTGCATTGACATGGTTGAGAAAACAAGATGTCTGAGGAGCTCTTCTAATCTGTAGAGGCTGGATATGCGATAGGACCAGGAGCCAGTCGACTGGAGTCGATTTGAGCGTCCCTGACACTATGCGTATAGCGTTATTGAGTGTCAAGGAGTTTAGCATGACTGCTGTAAGACCACACTGGTGCACAGCATTTAGCTGCACAATATACCAAGGCAATTGTTGCAGTTCATAGGGTCCATGGACTGGAGCCCCATGATGTTCTGGCCAATTTTCTGATAAGTGCGACACAAGACCTGACATTCTCGAGGTGTTGTTGAAAGGTCAAACTCTGGTCCAGTGTAACACCAACATATTTTGGGTTAGCCTTGTGGCAGACGTTCTTACCACAGAACTGTGTGTCAAGTTTGGTATTAGCCATTTTATTCTTCGGTTGGAAAGCGGTCTAATTATGAATTAACCTATTGCCATTTATAAGATATCCAATTGCTGTATGAAGGCCTGGAAAGGATGTGTAGGAATAAAGTAATTTTAAAGCATCTGTCTGGGGTCACTTGAGGTTAAAAGATGATCCCAAGGAGCAAGTTGGAGCACTGATTCACTAGTGGAACACTTGTTTTGTTGTCTCTGAGGACAGACTGCATCCAAAGGGATTAGCTTGACAAGGAGCCTTGATTTTGCCATTTTTAATTAATATCACTTCATTGAACACTTCATGTCTGAATAGGTTTAAACCAACGTTGGATGCTACAGGGAAACATTTTAAGATGAGACACAGGAACGTTACACAGTGCTGCCCTGAAAATTTACCCCACAGCATCCAAGCACAGCTTAGTTCATATATTACCCATTTTACAGAAAAGTGGATCTGTGCACTAAGGCACCTAGATCCTCATAGGAGCCTCTAGGCAACACTGATACAAAAATACAACATTACCTCTATGTGCTGAAACATGTACGGATGGTTACAGATCTTCCTCAGCTGCATGATGGTGTTCATCAGGGTTTTTGTACCACCTTTGCCCTGTGCGAATAAAGACAAAATTTACAAATATGTCCAAGCACACATTAAAGCCGTGAAAGAGAAAGCGGAGGATCTGCTCCACCCCCCTTGCTATCATGGCATTCTACACTCTTGGCAAAATGTAAAATATCACATGAGAGAAAGCAGATGGGTGCAACTGAGGACAAAGATGGAATTATTCGAGGCTGATCACGTTAGCTTTAGTAGCTAACTATGTGTGCAGAACACTGAAGACAGTGAACGGCTGTTATAGCATGGATGGGACATGGGATGCATCTTCACTCAGTTTTCAAAAGTGAATGTCACACAGATCTAGTATCAGAGCTGCCACTTTAGGAGAGAACCCAATCAATGACTCCAAAACCTCCTCCATACACTAGCAAGGCCAAGTCCCCCAGCCCCACTGCTGTGAAAGCTGCCCAGAACAGCGAGACAACAATCAGTGTAACACATTGCTCAGAAAGCTGAACTTCAAGGTGTTAAGGAGAAACCTTAAAATCCTCTTCCGCAATCCAAGGAATAAAGGGCGGCTCAGAGGATGCATACTGGAAAAGTGGACACTTCACCTTCAGTTCATTTTAAACCTGGCCCAACCTGCTGCTGCCGCCATCGGATAGCTGTTGAGTGGCATGTGTGAAACAAGCTCTCAGTGCTCTCTGTGAAATTCCTGACAGACGGTTATCCACAGCACAGCATCATCCCTCGTGGTGCCCTTTTGGGCAGTCTTGGGAGAGGCACGCACAGGCTCAGGTCATGGTTATGTGGAGGAAGCCTGCACTGCCTCGGTTCCTGCTGCACCCATTCTGTGCACCGGGGCTTTAAGGCCAGGCCTACACTACAGGTACTAGGGTGGCAGAGCTGTGGTGTCAGTGACACCGCTTTAACCCTGTAGTGCAGGCAGACAACGGTGACAGACGGGGTTTTCAGTTGCTGTAGGAACTCCACGTCCCTGCACGATGGTCGCTAAGTTGACTGAAGCTTTCTTCCGCTGACTGAGCTGCGGCTACACCAGCCTCAGAGGTGTGGATTTTTCACATCCCCGAGCACCGCAACTATGTCGATCTAAGCTTTAGGTCTAGATCAGGCCTCAGTTTCCAGGGAGCCAGCGCCAAATGCATTAAGGGGATTTCCCAAAGCACAAAGAGCAGTTAGGCACCTATGAAAGCGAAGGGGATTTGAATGCTTAACTCCACAAAAATGTCCCCTTAAAACCATAACAGCAACGTGACTGGCAGACAGCATGGAAAAAAATCCAGTTTGGAAACAGGCCCCTGTACATGAAATGCTCTTCAGCCCTGCTGCATGTAAATGCAGGGAGAGTGAGGAACAAATCAGGGCCCTATTGCCACACCTTTTTATCCTTCTCCGAGCCATCAGTGAGCAGCACTCCCTTGGCCTGCATGTGTCTATACAGCACCCTCTGTAATGCTGACATGTCACACTTGATCACATACTCCACCTGGAAAGCAGAGGAGAGTTTAACATCACAAACAATAGTAACCAACCCTCCACGATTCTCTGCATGCTCCCAAAACATCTCATTCTCCCGCGCCCCCCCCCCCATCACTGGCTTGTAGCTCTGCACCCCCCCCCCCACACACACACTTCGCTGTACTGCTCCGAGCTCTCTGCCAACCACTGAACTGTGACTTATTTCCCAACCAATTAGCACTGTTCTCAAGCTGGCCAGAGTGCTGACGAGATACTCTTTAACCAGAGGGCTCAGTGTGGTGTCTTTATGATGCTGCTGGCCCAGGAGCGGCAGAATGGGCATACAAGTCACTGTGGGGCACGAACATCCACCACTGTTCTCCCATCTTCCCCACTTTGAGCCCTACGACCTCAGTGCTAGAGAGTTAAGCCACCAATCTGGTTTGTTCTCCTCCGGCTAGCATAGGCCATTGGGATGAGAATAGCAAGATGAAAAGCTGCAAAATACTGTATAATTGCAGCAGTTCCTAGAAAGAAAACTAAATTTGGCTTCCACAGAAAAGACCTTTCCAACACCACTGGAGTGAAGAAAGAGAAACCATAAAAAGCAAAAGCCTTTAGTGAGGACAACATGGAAGCAGGTGTCAAATGCTGGAGCAAATAGCAGGCAGCTTAACTGACAACTATATGCAAGTTAAAAAAGAATAAATGGGTTAGTTCAACTAGCTCATCCCCCACTCATGGGCCAGGGCAGGAGCGCCGTCTAGAGCATTTTTCACTACTTCCTCCTGTCCCATTGTACATGCTCAAATCTTGGGGCTTTCCCCACTTTCCTCAGGAGAGGTCACAGCTTCTCTTATAGTCTCTCACTTCAGCTACATGACAAACTTACAGCAGGGATGCAACAAATAAAATCCTATTTAAGTGCAGCATAGTTCATAGATTTTAGAATCACAGGATTGTTTAGGCCAGAAGGAACTATTAGATCTAGTCTGATCGCCTGTATAACCACATAGACCAGGGAATTTCACTCCACTCCCCCTGTATTGAGCACAATAACTTGTGTTTGACTAAAGAACTTCTTCCAAAAATGCATCCAGGAAGCCTGGAGGGTGTGGGGGTCTGCATCTTCCTTACGAGCTTTACCTTTTCAGGCAGCTGTGCTTCCACCTCCTTCTTTAACCGCCTTAGCAGGAAGGGACGCAGCACTTTGTGCAAACGACGGATAATCAGAATAGTTTCTTCTTCATTCAAATCCACCTATTTTTTCCACCCAAGAAATACAAAAAAGGTTAAAATAACTTGAGTCTCTCCCCCCTCAACATTTTTCACGAAATACTGCAAGATCCCAACACCCCCCCCCCCCCCGCCCCGGCTCTTGTCTAGCCCATTCCCAGTAGATCTCAAAGCGCTTTGCAAAGAAGGTCACAATTATCTCCATTCTACAGATGGAAAAACAGACTCAGAGAGGGCAAGTGACTTGCCCAAGATCACCCAGCAGGCCAGTAGCAGAGCTGGGAATAGAAATAAGGCCTAAAGATTTCCTCCATAAACTGTGCAACTGATGACTTACAGTTTTGAGCAGCCACACAACTCTCAAAACTGCAAACTTGCTTATGCTGCTGTCCAAGTCTGGGGTTTCTGTACTGAAAACTCTAAAGGTTCAAACCCTGTGATGTTTTATTACTTGGTATTCACGTCCCCAGTCACTGCACTTTAAGGAAGGTGTTTTGAATGAATATAACCAGTTCACTTAAAAGCCTTGAGGATTCTGTGCAATCTGAGAATCCATTTTGACAAGAACCAAGGCAGCGCCTTGCTGGGATGGCTGGAGGTCTATGACTGAAAGATACCTTGCCCTTATTCCAGCATTTGCTTATTATCAGTCTCTGTTTTATCCCGTACAGCTCAAACTCACTTTCTCTGCTGTCATGTCCCAGAAATTAAACTCTGAATGAAGACAATACCCCTCCCCTAATTAGCAAATGGTCTAAGATGGAGACCGCTGAGCTAGCATACCAGTTAACAGCTGGAAACTAATTACAACCAAATACTGTGGATATCCAGTGATTTGGTGCCTTATATTAGCACAAGACTGTCCAAACTCAACTGCTGCCAGATGGCTACTTCCATACCTACCTTCTCTCCAGTCATGGCAAATGGAGCATTAAACCACTGCTCAAATGTGCTACAGCTCTTGAAGATGGTGGGAAGGAGGAAATTGAGTAGAGCCCACAGCTCTGGCAGCTTATTCTGTAGTGGAGTTCCTGTCAGCAGCAAACGACGCGGAGCTACGTAGTGTGTGTTGAGGACTTGGGTTAGCTTACAGTGGTGATTCTTCATTCTGTGACCTTCATCAACAATCATGTACTTCCAGCGAATCTGTAGAGACGGAATCACAACAGACACTGTGGGAATCCCACCTTCCATAAGCACAGCAGCTACATTCACGTCCTCAGACGCAGGAGAATCACAGTCTTAACCATCCATGCAGATATGCCTGCCCAGCAGGGGGCCACCACCAGAGACCGATCAGAACTGAGTAGGACTGTAAAAACCTAGTCAAGTTCCATTCAGGCTGCTGCTGGGAAAGTGCTGCCATTCATGAGCCCTTTCTTTGCCTGTGGTACAGAGAACTGAGACAGTTGATGGAATAAGGGAGAGAATGTAAAGAAAAGGGAAGGGGCGGTAATCTTGAGAAATGATTAAGGAAGAGACCCAGTTAGTTATTCCTAGCATCTCACACACCCTGTACCACCATCAGTAATTTCTTAGCTTCCTGGCCATAGCCAAATACATTTCAGTTACTCAAGAAGTGGAGTAGTAAGGGAAAAGAAAAAGCTAAAACCTCCCTGCTAAGGCCATGTCTAGGTGAGAAAAGATGCACCAGTTTAACTGGATATAGTTAAACAGGCACAAACCCCTAATCAGTGCAGCTTAATTTAGTAGTTCACTGACACAAGATACAGATAAAGATCACAAGATAAGAGACGTTTCTGGGAGGTAACTAATGCTGAAATAACCCAGATAACTAGTCTTGTGAAGTTGCACACTCCCACACTTCTGGGGAGGACCTGCATAGACTGCCTTGACTTGATCAGGAGGTCTAACAGGACAAAAGACTTGAGGCTGTCACTTGATACAGTTTGACCTTGGAAGAGGGTAACTGACATGCACAAACCCCGAACCGAGACAGGCCACGTGAGACGATCTGAGGTACTTTAGATCTGCCAGGGTTTCTATGTGAAAGATGGGTGAGCACCTGCTAAGCTAGGCACGTGTATCTAAGCTGTTTATTGGTAAGGTATGTTTTCTCTGTAATGCTTTTGTTCTGAATGAAGAACACTTTGCTTTATGAGAGATGGCTGATCACTCTTTAACCCTGTTATTCCCCCAGAGAACACAAAACTGCAGGGCCTGAGAAAGGTGATGGCTGGGAGCCTGAGCCCTAAGTGGGGTGGCCCTTAAGGCAGCCACGAGGGTGTCAGAGGTGCAGTTAGCCATAGGAAACACAAACACTCACCTTGGCAAGAATGTGCTTATCTTTGATGATGTACTCGTAGGTTGTAAGCAAGACATTAAACTTCCCACTTCGAAGCTGAGGTACAAATGCCCGTCTTGCTGCTGGAGAGCCCTGGGAAAGGAGGAATAGGAGAAAAAAAAATTAAACCAATGTAACTGCCAGCAGGGGGCATTACTGAGGGCTTGTCCTACAGGGTGCAGCAATGCACCAGTAGAGAGGTACAAATTCTAAAGCGCACCAACATGCTGCACACCAACCGGCCCGTGTAGACCCTGCTGGCATGCTCTAAAAATTCCCTATTGCACATTTTTAGTGCATGCCAGCAGCATCTACGCAGGCCAGTCAGTCTGCAGCACGCAGTGCATTGCAGAATTCACACCCCTCTAGTACACATTGCCACACTGTGTAGACAAGCTCTGATTATTAGCAACAGGGTGAAAAAAATCTCATGTTCCTGATTGGCAGGAGGGAAGCAAATCTAGCTTGAATGTTTATACAGGCCGTGGCAGTTCGATATGAACGCTTGAGTGAGAGTGTGAATCTAACATAGGGAAGAAGAGTCCCGAAGCAGCGGTTTATTTTTTGGATAAAAGGGAAGGCTGCATTTCTGTCGGGGTTAGTTATACAGGTACCAAAAGCTGCTTACAAAATATTCAACCAAAGGTTTCACAGTGAGAAGTGCATGACCGAACTCCACTACTTGCCTTGTAGGAGACCTTCACCACAGAAGGAGCCCATTTGTCAAATTCATATGCCCAGTTTGACAATGTTCTAGACGAGAGGGGAGGAGAGAAAGAGAACAGTAAAACCCACCCTTGCATAATGGACTCCAAACCTTCTATAGCCCAAAGCAGCCCCCACTGGTTGTAAAACCATAAAAGTCTCCAGCAGCTCTTCAGAAATCAGTACCCTTTATTCCCAGCTAGCAACTCTTGCTGCAAAATCCATTATCCAAGACACTCAACCACAATCCAACAATTCTCTGTGACAATCATGAGATGTGACCACAGTACTCTCTTCTCTGCCAGAAAGAACAGTTATTTACCTTACAGTAAATGTGGTTCTTGGAGATGCATTGCCCATATAGATTCCGCTCTTGGTGCACATGTGCTCCACGCACGAGAGATCAAATTATTTTGTTCAGCAGTGTCTGTTGGGGCCACGCCTGCACCGTAAGTAACCTCACTTCCCCCTCGCCTGAGGGCATAAAGGGCAGCGTGGGCCCAACTGCCCCTCAGTTCTTTCACCAGTACAGAACTCTGGAGTAGCTGAGAAAGAGGGAAGGTTGTGAACAAGATATTTCGAAGAACCAATTACCGCAAGGAAAGTAAGTGTCCTTTTTTCTTCGAGTGGTTGTCAACGCAGATCCCACACCTTGTGATGTGCAAGCAGTTGTCTATTGCTTGGAGGTGGATAACCAGAGTCTTACTTAAGTAGTGACTGCAGGACAGTCCCACCAAAATTGGCTTCCAATCTGGAAGCCTCCGCTAAGGAACAGCATCTTGTAAATGTCCCGTAGCTGCTCCACAAGTTTCTCTGTTTGTCTAGGTTAACTAAAACTTACTGATATTACACTGACAAAGACCATATGTGATGGGGTGTCCGCCCCACCCAGGGCCTGGAAGGGTTAAGATGGCTAGATGGGCCAATTACCTGCCCAGGCTGCACTGGACGAGCCAGGGAGCAGGAGCTGATTAAATAAAGCTCAGCTGGGCAGGAAGAGCAGGCACCTGAATAAAGCCCAGGAGGTGACAGCAGCCGTGGGCTGCATGGAAGGAGTTTGCAGTCTCTCCCTGGGTGAAAGGAGGTGTGTGGGGCCTATATAGTATAACCTCAGAGTTACGAACTGACCAGTCAGCCACACTCCTCGTTTGGAAGTATTCGGCGGGAAGCAAACACAGTACACTGCTGTGTTAAACAAAGAACTAAAAAAATTAAAGGAAAGTTTAAAAAAAGATTTCACAAGGTAAGAAAATGGTTTCTGTGCTTGTTTCATTTAAATTAAGATGGTCAAAAGCAGCATTTTTCTTCTGCATAGTAAAGTTTCAAAGCTGTACTAAGTCAATGTTCAGTTGTAAACTTTTGAAAGAACCATAAAGTTTGTTCGTAATGCTGAACTAATCTTCACTCCTGACTCTGAGGGTCTACTGTAGAGGGCAGTCGGGAGGCTGACAGACGCAGAGAGGGGGAAGCCAGGAAGATAGGAGAAGGCTCAGGGGTAAAGCATCATGGTAGGACAGTGCAGGCCTTGGCTGCTAACTGGAGGGCCCCTGAGCTGGAACCCAGAGTAGAGGGCAGGCTCGGGTTTCCCTACCAGCCACTAGGGATGTGGCACCGACCAGGCAGAAAACATTGGACTTCCTGATTTGTTCCAAAAAGACATTGTTACAGACCCTGGAAGGGGGAACCACGGAGTGGTCAGAGGGTCAAGTCACGAAGAGGAGCTGCCATTCCTGGAACAAAGGGGTCCGCAGGATGACAGGAGAGACAAAACCAGAGGAGGGTGCAATGCCTGGCCAGAGCTAATCCCCAGGACAGCCAGTAGGGGTGAGTGAACCCCAGGACACCATAACAAAAGCAAACTACATTAACACTGTACTATTTTATACAAGGCTAAGTCAGTCGCACAGTGCGTGGAGGAAGCAGACGGTGCAGGGGTTCTGCATTGCTGCCACAGGCAGCAAGGATGGACAGAGGATGCTTTGGCCACTCAGCTTTTCTGCCCTGGAGTGGGAGGGCTGTGAGGACACTCAGGGTACAGCCCCAGCCCCATCAGATGCTACCAGACAAAATAATCTGACGTGGCATGTATTGGGCGCACATGCCTCAAGAGTGGCATCAGCATGGGCAATCGCTCGAAGAACCCTTCCATGCACTAGGGACTGAACTGAAAATATAACAATCCAGTCGTGTGTGTGCACAGGGGAGTGCTGTCTTATTTTATTGGCGAAGATCTGTATTTTGGTATAACATATAAAGAGGAACAGTTCTGCTACAAACAGCAATGCCTGAATTCTGATTCTTCACACTGGCTCATTTATTTATTTAAGCTGACCTACTGAGTTGGGAAGGTGCCCTTAAACTTTTTCTGATTATTCAAATTAATATTATGAGAAATCATCTCAGAACGTAAGTACTGTTAAAATGGACTAAATTAATAGGTTATGAGCCAAAAGTCTATGAGCGGGGGGGGAAAGGGGGGGAGAAACAGCTTCTTCCCTTAGGGCAACTGCAGCATTATTTGGGTTTCCTACAGGCACTTTTATCCAAGGACCTCAAGGCACTTTACAAAAGCTCCCAAACTCCCCTGTACAGTAAGTATCTCTACACTCATTTTGCAGATTATTAAACTGAGGCAAGGCAGCTGAATGAATTCCAAGGTCAGAGAGTGAGTCAGTGGCAGAGTGAGGAACAGAACCCATAATTCCTGACTCCCTCTTCCTCCCTGCTCTCACATCACACCCTGCTACCTTCCACAGCACAGCTAGAATTAACATTGCTCACTAAAAATATCTCCTAAACTTCCCAGTGCTGTAACCCACCATTAGTTCGAGCACCACACTTACGAGAGAGGCACGATAATGAGGAAGGGTCCATTGATACGCTTGTGCTCCATGAGGTATGTGATTAAAGCGATGGTCTGGATAGTTTTGCCCAGACCCATCTCATCCGCCAGGATACCATTCAGATTATTATTGTACAAAGAGACGAGCCACTCCAAACCTTTAATCTGAATAAAAAGATAATGGAGGATGATTCACAGAATGTAAACTGAACAGGATCTCAGAGGAAAAAAGCCACACTTCCTTGTGAATGATTTGCAGCCACTCACCTTATGTAACATTGTAGATTAATTATTCATAGATTATTAAACCTCTTGTTTTAGAGTTAATTATCTCAAAGCGCTCTTTGGCACTGATCTATTCCTCTCCCTTCTGGATCATGTGTACCACACTGAAAGCTCCCTTTAATGCTCTTTGCTTTAAGCTACAGAGGCCAAGTCCGGCTAATTGGTTATTTTATAAAAGACCTCCCCTCACCCCCAGAAGCCTGGATCATTTTATTCCCATCTGCATCTCTCAGAACCTTAACAACTTTCTGGTTGTTTGCATGGACTGAAGGGAACAATCCTCCATTCCTGCAGTGTGGGAGAGATAAGAGGTGTGAGTCAACAGGCTCCTATCTTTAATCCCCAGGATTTCACTGACAAGTGCAATACACAACATTATAAGTAAGGTCTTACACCAGAACCTACTGATAAGCACAAAAATTTAGTCCTTCCATAGAGCTTTGCATCTTCAAAGTACTGCACAATTATCTAACTACAACTAAAAATGCCAGATAAAGTCTGTTGAGTCACGCTTTGTTCCCCAGAGACTACACGATTCAAGTATTATCCAGTCACCTTCAGCCTGTTTGGTGCAATTTGGGGGGGGCGGGGCGTGTGTGTATGTACACACACACACACACACGTTCACATGTTTAAAACTTGCAATTTAGATGTGTGTGTAGACGCGCATATGTTTAAAACTTGCTTGTCAGCTTTATTATATTGTGTATTTGCTTATGGAGGCACTTGCAATGAATTTTGCTCAGCAAGTTCAAAAGGTAAGAAATAATGACCTATTAACCCCAAATGGACTTGAATAAATCAGCTGGCAGATACAGCTGAAATAACTGAGCATGGTAAAGAAGTGCCACCTGATTAGAGCGGTGAGGGAAGCAGGACAGGAGCCTAACACCAAGCAGAGTGAAACCAGTTGCCTGGAACAATCTCAGGAGGGTTTTATGTTCAAATACATGTCTCAGTTCCTTATCTAGACTATAAGGCAGAGCAAGGTGTGCAATTTACTTCTAATAAATAATGACAACCTTTTGGAAGGGACATTACATCTCAGGCATCAGGGTTTAAGCCAATCTCTGACTACTAGAGGTCAGGATAAAACCTAATATGGGGGGCTGATTATTCTACATCTGTTATTGCAGAGTTCTAGGAAAACCTTCCTTTGAGCTGCTGGTCAGAGACAGGATACTGGACTAGATGGGCCTTGGGTCTCATTCAGTCTGGCAATTTCTAGGTTCTCCCCCCAGTGCTGAGTATACTTATGGTTTATCAGACATGCTGTATGTGTGCATAAGCTATTTCAGTCACCATCACCCTGAATCAGGGTACTTCCTCCCTCAGTGTCTCACCTGGTATTGTTTGAGGACGCCATTGACCATGAGCGTAGACTGTTTGTCCACTCGTTCAGTGACCGCGTGGGCCACAGCGTAGTAAGATTGCAATCCCCTCGCCAGAGCTTGGGAGACCCCATACTCATCATCAACATCTTGCTTAGCATTTCTAAAAAATAAAGTAAATAAAGTGTTTTGAATAGATATGGAGAGAATCCTTCTCTGGGAGACGGGCTTCCCCGGGGCCCGAAGATCTCCTGGGAAACCCCACGAATCCTTGGATTTCATGAGCTCGTCTCTCCCAAGAGCCAATCAACTTCTTTGCTTTTGAAAGAATATTTTAGTCTCTTCTCATCCCTGTTTCTTTTCCCTTTGCCTCATGCTCTCTAAAATCAGGGAGCAAAAAAATAATGCCCGCACGTTTAATTCCTTGGAAACTAACCAGGTGGGATGGGATTTACAGCAGCGCCTAAGTGACTTCGGAGCACAAGTCCTGATGACTTTTGAAGATCCAAACCACAGTACACTTTTGAGAGAGCAAGAATCTTGACCTGAATGGTAAATTCTTATTGCCATTTCATCCAGCAGCTTGTATTTTAAAGGAATTATGGTTTCAAAAAAAAAAAAAAAAAAATTTAAAAAACACACTTCACCTACTTCCTCACACAGTTATACTTAGTCTATTATAGTTTCTTCTGCAAACAGCTTAACATTTCCTGGTGTGACGAGAACCCCTTTCAACTGATGCACCAGAAACTGCCCAAATCAGAGGCTTAACACTACAACCAAATGATACGTTCCAAGTTCAATTTAAGGCCCCCACAACTTTTTTTTTTTTTTGGGCATCTCAGAAAGGAAACTAGGATGGTGCAAGAGAGAGAAGATCTGTGAGTATGGGATGTCTAAGTCCTTATAAATATTAAAAGCAAAAAACTAGGTTACTTCCACAGTGAGGTTCAGTTTTTACATACACAGAAGTATCCAGAATTTTAAGTTTAGTTGCTGAGAGAAACATAACTTGGACCCACTTTGAAATATTCATTTTTTTCCATATATGGCAATAACTTTTATCTTTATTCGGGCAATGTCTGCCACCATGGGAACCATAAACTCTGTAATCCCTGACTTTTTGTTATGTAAAATGTCAACACTGCATTACCCTCTTTTCTTCCATTTCTTTAGTTTAAAATAACTAACAGCTCACATAGGTGCATTTATGCCAATACGGCTATATCCACACCCATGGGTGGTTTATAAAAACCACCACATTATGCTACGTAATACCTTGGCTTAATGCAGGTGACTGTCTCTCTAGACTGGCTGGTCACCAGAAAATGTAACAGCTCTCTGCTTATTGACAGCTGGAAGATTTTTCTTTAGCAAAGTAACCTGTCATGGGATAAGAGGGAAAGTCCTCTCAGGGACTGGTAACTGATTAAAAGATAAGTAACAAAGAGTAGGAATAAATGGTCAGTTTTCAGAATGGAGAGAGGTAAATAGTGGTGTCCCCGAGGGGTCTGTATTGCGACCAGTCCTATTCAATATATCCATAAATGATCTGGAAAAAGGAGTAAACAGTGAGGTGGCAAAATTTGCAGATGATACAAAACTACTCAAGATAGTTAAGTCCCAAGCAGACTGTGAAGAGCTACAAAGGGATCTCACAGAACTGGATGACTGGACAACAAAATAGCAGACAAAATTCAATGTCGATAAATGCAAGTAACGCACATTGGAAAACATAATTCCAACTATACATATAAAACGATGGGGTCTAAATTATCTGTTACCACTCAAGAAAGATCTTGGTGTCATTGTGGATAGTTCTTTGAAAACATCCACTCAGTGTGCAGCGGCAGTCAAAAAAGGGAACAGAATTTTGGGAATCATTAAGAAAGCAATAGATCATAAGACAGAAAATATCATATTGCCTCTATAGAAATCCATGGTATGCACACATCTTGAATACTGCGTGCAGAAGTGGTCACCCGATCTCAAAAAAGATATATTGGAATTGGAAAAGGTTCAGAAAAGGGCAACAAAAATTATTAGGGGTATGGAACAACAACCTCCATATGAGAAAAGATTAATACGACTGGGACTTTTCAGTTTGGAAAAGAGACGACTAAGGGAAGATATGCTAGAGATCTATAAAATCACTGCTGGTGTGGAGAAAGTAAATAAAGTGTTATATACTTCTTCTCATAACACAATAACTAGGGATCACCCAATGAAATGAACAGGCAGGAGGTTTAAAAACAAACAAAAGGAAGTATTTCTTCACACAACGCACAGTCAACCTGTGGAACTCCTTGCCAGGGGATGTTGTGAAGGCCAAGACTATAACAGCATTCAAAAAAAAAAAAAAAAAGAAGCTGGTATGTTCCTGGAGGACAGGTCCATCAATGGCTATTGGCCAGGATGGGCAGGGATGGTGTCCCTTGCTTCAGTTTGCCAGAAGCTGGGAATGGGCGACAGGGGATGGCTCACTGGATGATTACCTGTTCTGTTCATTCCTTCTGGGATGTCGGGTATTGGCCACTGTCAGAAGACAGGATACTGGGCTAGATGGACCTTTGGTCTGACCCAGTATGGCTGTTCTTATGTAGCTCGAGTGATAGGGGCTTATGATTATGGAGCTAGAGGGTAACGGTTCATGCCTCAGATTGATTTTCTAAGAGATCTGCTCTAGTTCAAACAGGACTTAATTCACGACAGTCCTTTGACCAGCGTTATGCAGGTCAGACTAGATGATCAGTGGCCCCTGCTGGCTTTATAATCTAGGACTGATGTCTGTAGGCAGAGTTTTTGTAGCTGTGTTGGTCCCAGGATATTGGAGAGATAAGGGGGGTGAGATATCTTTTACTGGAACAACTTCTGCTGTGAACTTACACAGAGCTCTTCTTCAGGACCTCTAAAGCTTCTCTCTTTCACAAACCATAAAAGATATGACCTCATCCCCTTGTGTGTCTAGTGATGTTTGTAGGTATGCAACCATGGTTTGTCACGCTATTTTCATCTGCATACCTTTTCCCTTCTCCAAATGTAGCTATGGCAGCATTCCCCTCTGAGGAGGAGGATACCTAAGCATGAAACTTTAAATTAAGAAAACAGCGCCCAATTTCCTCTGCACTTTGGTAACCAACATGTTAATTTCTCTTCTGTTTTCAAAAAACCTGGACCAATATATTCAAAGCTTCCTAGGAGAATCAGACATAAGTCTTATTAAAATGAACAGGCATTGCATCTAAATCTATTAAGTGGATTTGAATCTCTCAGCCTTAATCTCTGGGTAAAAAGACCAAGCATAACAAATCAGAGCCCCCCAATGTAATTTTTAGGGAGCACTGGGAGGGAGTTACAAGAGACTGGCAATAGGGATTAAAATTAAAGCTATTCTAGCAGTAAATGACATGCAAAACTTTCACAGTGAAGTATAATATTTTCATGTGCCAGTCAGGTGAAAGACGGACTTCACAATGGAACGCTGCCCTTTGTGCTGGGACAAGAGAAACAGCAGTTTGCAAGTCTTCTCTTGCCAGTTATTAGTGCCTGTCAATTATGCCTCCCACAAAGTGATCCAGAATAATGAAAATCAATCCAGGCTAATCCTGGGTTGTTTTTGCCCCCCCAAAGGGGAAACAAAATGGGCATCAGGATTTAAAAATACTGACACAGCAAGTGACTAGGGGGGCTTACTCAATAATGTGCCTGGCATCGACTTCTGACACATCGTCACTGTCTGGATCTGGGATCTTCTTCTTTTCCTCCACAGGCAGGGCAGGCTGAGCAGGTTGTGGCTGTTCCTCTTCCTCCTCCTGCCAGAAATTGAAGGCTCCATCACTGGGACTATCAAGTTACATACACTCCTTCTTATGTATGAGGGAGAGGGCAGTGTTCTGTACCCTCACAGCAAGGCGGGGTTGATCAAGTCTGCATAAGCCACTTAACATGCAGCAAACTCTTTAAATACATGCTGCAGACTTTGCACACACACACACAAAATCACCACTCTGGAGACACCTCTTCTTCCTTCCTTCCTGCTCCTGAGATGCTATAAAGCATGCAGCTTTGTTCACCAGCTGGTGATGCAGGAGACTTCAGCACACAGAAGAAATGAAGGACAATATACATGCCAGTTGATTGGTTGGAATGCATCCGAGATGTATATTTGCATTGACTCTCCATGAGTAGGAATCACCAGGAAATGCACATATAAAGCTAGAGAATCTCTTTGCATCTCCCTGTAGATCTAGATACCACAATTGTACTTTGTGATCATATTTGTGGCCCTTTTGTGTCATTTTCTTTTAGAAAATGGCAAAAAAAAATCTTTGATCAATTGGGTGGAAATAAACCCTTAGGCCAAACACGAGGCTCCCGCACCCATATTTAGACACCTAAATACAAGCAGCCCTTTTCAAAACTGGTGAGCACTTGCTTTTCCCCTTGACTTCAGTGAGATTTGTAGATGCGTGGCACCTTTGAAAAAAAATCACACCATTTATATAGGTACCTACATAAATCCCTGTTTTGTCTCCTTCCTACATATGGATGTAGGAGCTAACCTTAAGCACCCAAGTTTGAACATTTTTCATGTAAGCTCTAGAACACTGATCATTCAAAGCTGACATACAGATGCACCCTACCTCCCGCATACATATTCTAACAACCCAACCTCATTTCCCAAAGCGATTTAAAAATACATTTTTTGACAGGAGTGAGAACTTCCATTATGTGGGCAAAATTGTGTTCTGCCCCTAAGCTGCCAGTGCAGAATAACAGTCTAGCGCACAACAAGTGCAGAACAGTAAGACAGGGAGATTGAGCCACTAGTCACTGCCAACCTCATTAAAAAAAAAAAAAAAAAAGATTTACCTTATCCCCAAAATATTACCTCTCCTTCACCCCAACTTATAGAGCACTCAAAGATTCTTGGTGCATCTTGGACCTACTACTTTTAAAAATGTACATAGCTTCAGACTGTTTATGAATCTTTACGAACTCATAAGAAACAGTCACTGCCTTACAGACCCAGTACAGGATCCTGTAGGACAGGGGGTGGATCTCTGCAAAATTGCCCTGTTCCGTACACTCCCCTTGAAGCTCTTGTACTGACCATGGTTGGAGACAGGATACCAGGCCAGATGGACCATTGGTCTGATCCACTATGGCAGTTCTTATGTTTTTAAATCCTTATTGACGTATGATGGCAATGTCAGGCTACTATCAGAAGTAAAAGCTTGCAGGGTTGTGTCCTCGTTAAGACATGACAGAGGAAGAGATACTAAGTGGAAAGGGGTTGGAAATATGACAGCACGAGGTTATTTGTTCTTTCAATATTTATTTGTTCTAAATGAACTCATTTTAGCTAAAATCGACACTGAACTATATTTGAAAAATAAATACTGGATTCAGTTTAATGACTTTTTTAGGTCTACTGGTTATTTTCTATTTTAAAATACAAAAGTACCCAAAAAATAGGACTTAAGGCACATCCACTTACCTCTTCCTCCTCCTCCGATCCACTTTCTTCACTGTCAGATCTGGGAGCTACTTCATATCTAATTAAATACAAATATTAATATTTAATATCAGTTCTGATTCTGACAGAGCAATGCACAAACATGCGACTAGCTTGGTCTCTAAAAGCCTTTGAACTCAAACTAGAGTGAGATTACTGCTACTTTTAACACAGGAATTTGTCTAATTTTTTTCCCTTTCTAATCCCAGGTTTTAGGACTCGTGCTTAGAAAAATTTGTTGGGTCTGGGTGCATAAGTAGAGGGCCACCAATTAAGCATCTTTTGTAACAGTATTTCCCACATAATTTTAACAGTGCCCTGACCGCTGCAGTAAGGTTAAAGGAATCTTCGCTTTCTAATGGTATAACATACTCCTTCCGACCCTTTGGGACTCTCAAGGTGTTAGGCTGGGCCTATGCTGATATTTTGGGCTTTTCTTGCCTGAATTGAACCATTGCAGGCCCCAATCCTGCAATGATCTCTGTGAGGGAGGAACCTTGGAGACACACAATCACTGCAGGATCAGGGCCAGTATCCCAGACTGTGAATTGGTGTAATTTTTGACCCATTTCAGTTAGAGCATGGAACAGGATGTATAAGCAAAGCCACAGAATGCGTTACAGCAAATGTGAGGCTGTCATCCTTCTGGCAGGACACCAGATGGCAATCTGGGAACTAGTGATGGCTTACCCTGGGTTCATTTCCAACCAGGTGTCCAGCTGTCCAGCTTTTGGAGCGTCTGTGCCGGTAAGGATTTTACCGCTTTCCACATGGATCACTTTCACAGGGAGATCACTCATTTGGCTGGTCTCATCCAGAGGCTGAAAAAGCACAACATATGTAAATTTCAGTATTCCATCTGGAATTAAAGCTTCTCTGTGCTCTATTAGCCAATGCTTTAATTAAAACCAGTTAAGTGCTATTGCAGAAATATTTAAGAGGCACCCACTGAAGTTTTAAAACACCGCTTTACCCAAAGAATAAATAGATCAAAGCTTTTTTTGGTTTGTTTTTAAAATTTTTGGTTTGCACTAATCCAAAAAGAAGGAACAGGAAACCATTGTCTTGACCTAGCTGTGACAAAAGTGGTGCTTAGCATTTGAAGGCATGAATAAAAGAATTATTGTAATGTGAAATATCTCCAGCTTCTCTTATAAATTAATTTGCCACTCAGTACTTACTTTGTCACAAGTGATCTTGCAACTTCTTAGGTTTATGTGTAACTTTTAGCATTTTTGTCCCACTGAGTTCACTGGGACTTCTCACATGCCTAAAGTTATGGGTGGCTCTCCCTTAGGTTCTTATGGCCCTGATCCCAATAGTATCTGATCACCTCGCAATCTTTAACATATTGATTCTCACAGCACTGCTGTAGGTAGGAAAGCACAGTCATCCCCCTTTTACAGACACATTTACCCAAGGTCACACAGGAAAACTGGAAGAACTGGGAATTAACTCCAGCCTCCCAATCCCAGGCTTGTTTACTCTCTACACCCTTCCTCTCCTACGTGACATATCTAAGGGTTTGCAGGATTGGAGCCAGTGTGAGCACACTGGAGTTGCTGCCGAAATTAGCAGTGACATGACAGGTTAGAGAGGCTGCCAGAACCATTCTTGTGGGTGCAGACAGTAAGAAGACAGACAAATATTTCTTTACAAAGTTGAATATGTTCTATTTTAGGAAGTCTTGATTTAGCCATATACTGCACTACACTTCAGTGCTGTTTCTCTTTCAATCCAAAAATCTCGTCATCATAACTGATCCTTTCAACGTGTGGCTAACAAACGTTTTCTATCCTACTTGGCACCACATGAAACAAGTTTCTTGTGCTTACTTCGCCATCTGGTCCAATTGCAGGAGTTTGCCCTTCTGCATTCTCTGCCTTCTGAAAGAAAGGGAATACAACTCATAGCAACCCTTTAATAATGGGAACAAAAATCAAACCCACAATATGAGCACTGCACTGGAATCGCATGTTTATAATGCAAGTATCCCAACTCAAAAGGAGGGTGGGAAGGGAGGACACAGTTAAATGCAGAAGCGGCTCAGGTTGGAGCAGATTTGTAAAGTTCTAGCCAAGAAATCCTCCTTCAAAAAGAGCTAACATTTTATACTGGTTTATCACAGTCATGCAGTGTTATATTAGGACTGATGCTTTAGATAACTACATCCAAGATTAGCTACTTTTCTCTGTTTGGGGTTTTTTTTTTTTTTTTTTGTATAACACCCATTACCATAGCATATAAAGCCAGCTCTTATTAGTAAAGAAAATTCTGCACACCTTACTATTAAAAGGAAATCAAAATAGTTCTTTAAAAGTCAAGACACCCCGTTTTAAAAATCTCCTGGAAAAGAAATCCCTATCGCCAAAAAAACAAAAAAAACCAACAAAAAAACCACAACACTTAAAAACTGTTATCAGTTCTACCAGCTTATTCCCTTGTACTCATAACACTGTTTTCTTCCATTTTTTCAGTAAAAGAAACAAAACTGCTCTCAGTTTTTCCCAACTTCCATTTAATGGATGGCAATTTACTAAGGAAAATTTACTGCAAGTTTTCTGATCTAGTGACTCTCACCAAATGAGTTTCTGCTTTAGAAAACTTGTAGTAAATTCTCTCTAGTAAATTTCAATTAGTTATATTTAAGTTGGCAAAACAGACCAGTCTTCAGTTTCTTTCACTATATTACTATGGAAGAAAAAAAAAAAAAATCACATTGCAGTTTACGATGCCGTCTGTTAAAAAATTAAGGAAAACAGCATGAAGACTCTGGTTTTAGAGATGCATTCTCAAGTAGGGTAAACTGCTTATTGGTATGGCAGGTTAGATGATGCATTAGGCTTTAAGTTCTGGAGTCCCAAGTTCAAACATGGCGTTTGATTACAAGAGAAGCGAGCTTGCTCATCTCACCCTAGTCACAGCCGTCTATGAACAAGCTGTCAGCACGAATGACCGTCTCTGCTCAATAGATGTTCTGAACTGCAAAGGCTGGGCTAAGCACAACTCGGAAACAAGGCATGACAGTAGAGACAGCAGTTTCCAAACCCGTCTTACTCCAGACCTGGCTCCTGCCAGAGCTAACAAGCCTAGCAAGAAGCAGGCTGAATCAAGTCACCTTCTTCTTCTTCTTCTTCTTCTTCTCCTTTGCCACCTGTGCGGCCTTGTGTTGTCGCACCAGCTCGGTCAGGTTGGCCACGTACTCGTCTGTCTGCTGGAGTAGGTACGCCAAGCGCTTGTCTTTCTTCTGGTCAATAAGCTTACGGTACCCTTCTTCATCCTCAGCCTAAAGGAAGAGGGGAGGTTCGTATCCTTTCAGCCCCGCGTAGAAATTTAGCCAGCTAAAACTTCTACACAACATGCGCGCGCGCGTATAAACTGGTTTACAGTCCCATGGGAAACCTTACCATCAACCTGCGCATTCGCTCTTTCTCAATCCTCTCATTCTCTTTCTTCTGCTCACGCTCAGTGTTAGCATGGTAAGTAGCCACAGCTTTCGTAAGCTTCTGAATTTTGCCCGTGACAGATCGATGGTATTCTTTGAAATCCTTGGCATGCTGGAGAATGCTATTGAGGTATTCCTGAAGGGACAAAGTGAAGGCAACGGGACTATAAAAAGTCAAGATACACACACTAGCCATCTATTGTTCTGCACTGTAATAATCAATGTCTTTTTATGTTGTAAGCCATTTGATGCATAGATTTAGCCACAAAAAAGATCTTTTCCTCTGACTGTAATTTGCCCCAAATATATTTAACATCTCAGTAACGACTCAATTTAAATGGCCTCCGTATTCTAACTCTCTCTACAGAGAAACAAGAGAGTTATTGTCCTTCGGTGCCCAATTCCCAAAGAAATCTTAAATTCCTTACCCTCCTTTGAAAATCCCAACCTAAACAACAACAAACAAAATAAAGTAACAGGAAGGAAACAACTTACCTGGTGCTTTTGTCTGCGTTTCCGTTCTTGCTCGATCTTCTGTTGTTTCTCCAGTTTCTCTGTGATGCGAGCCTCGCGCAGGGACTGCCGCTTGCTGCGTTTGTATGCCTTGGCATTCAGCGCCGTTTCCAGGGCCGTGTCTCGTCTCATGCACACCACGACTTCCTGGCGCAGCTTTTCAAGAAATTCACATTTAAAAAAATTAATTTCTCTCTGTGTGCCATTTTAAAAGTGCCAAAGTTTTGCATGGCATTAAAAAGGCCAAACTTCATACAATCAAAGGCTGAAATACAATTCTGAAGATGCCTTGGGCAAAAGATTCAGGTCGAAGATGTATGGTATGGAACTGGAAAAATATGCAGTGTCGCAGTATAACACTGCGTATTTACACTAAGGGTGAAATTCACCAGCAAAAGGCCTATTCTAGATCTTAAGCCCTTGTGCGACATACATGGTGCATCAGCCTTGTGTTGATCCTCTGCACAGGGTGGATTGCACCCTCAGTGGAAAAACAAGAAAGCAAAACTACTTAAAAAAATCAGATTCTCTTCCACATGGAGTCTCAGAATTGAGATTTATAAGAATAAAGATGCTGCCAGAGCACCACACAGCAACGGTTCATCTAGTCCACTGCCACATCAAATTGGCCCAATGGCCCATGTCATCAGGCAGCTTTTCCTTCTGTCAGGTCAGATCAGTGGAGCAGGAAATGGGATGCACCAATGCTCTATCTAGTCCAGTATCCAGGGACCACTTCCAAGGTAACCAGCTAACACACAAGGCAGGCCTGGAGGTTCTTGTATTTAGTTCAGTTTGTTTTATTCCAAGCCAGACAGACACAAATGCACACTAATTATCTTATTCCTGTGTATCCGGCATTTGCCTTACATTACAAAATCTGCAGTAATTGGCTAATTCCTGCTCTGAATCAGGCATCACACACTGGAAAGCCAGCTGCTGAAACTCCACAACCTACCTGTCTCTGGAAGTTAAGCAGTCTTAGTGCTTTAAGTTCAATGGTAGCTTTGGTTCTCAGGTCACCAGCCAAGGACCCGGGCAGGTTTTCTAGTTCTTGAATTCTGTGAGCAATGCGAGCCTGCAATCTGTGGGGATAAGACACAATTTCGTAGCAGATGAAGACAAATAAAATGAGTTTAAGTCTGGGCACTTTTAGCCTTTTACTGTTCAACTGAAAAGACTATCAAATACATCTGTGTTTTGTCCAGTCCTTGAGTCACCGTATCTCAAGTAGGATGGAAGTTCTTGGCAGCTATGTACATCTTTGTTTGGAACATAGGGCTTAAAACATCATTTAATACATGGGCATAGCAGTAGCAGTCCTCTCTGGCATGAAAGAGACCCGGGCTCAATAACCGAAGTGCCAGGGAAATGTCAGCCCCTGGGAGAAGCAGAGGCAGGCATGTGTAAGATCTCAGGAGTTGCCCTGACAGGCTCTGAAGTGAACTTATGCACACAGTTCTTCTCAGTCCTAGATTGGTCTGTACAGCACATGTCAACTGGGAATTTTGATTGGGGGGGGGGGCGCTGAGGGGGAGAATGGTAAATAAGGAAAGTCACTGTATTCTTCAAGAGAACTGAGGACACCAGTAGGAGGATAAAAAGGAGAGAGGCAGCCAGCCACTTGATATCAGCATCTCACAATTCCAACAGAAGCCATGGCTTTTACCTGTATTCCCTCTCCTGAAGGATTTCCACTGGGTCAAGTCCTCTTGGCTTCTGGATCGGTGTGATACGATTCTGCTTCTGATGGAGCTGCACCATGGGGGCAGGCTGGGCTGGCTGCCCGGGTGACTGAGTTTGGGGTGGCATTACAGGAGATGCTGCAGGAGGTACCGCCGGGGGTGCTGGTGAAGGACGGCCAGTTGGCTGAGGAGGAATCAGTTTCTGAGGTGTGCTAGTGGGGGCAGCAGCATTTGCCATTGGTCCTGTTCAAAAACCAAACTGGGAGTGACACTGGGTTGTATGTCCCCCGACACCTCTTTAAACCTGTCAGAATTTGACCGTGGGCCCTGGCCAAAATGTTCAGACTTGGGTGACTCCAGTTAGGCACCTAAGTAAATGGCCTGATTTTCAGAGCAGCTGTGGGCACAAAGCTTCTATTGGCTTCACCACCTCTGGAAATCAGGACACTCATTTAGGTGACAAACTTCAGGCACCCAAGTTTGAACATTCTGGCGCTAAGTAGCACTGGAAAGCTGACATGCAGCCCAGCTACAAGGTCTAAGGGCAAAAAAACCTCTTCAGAGAAAACGGTTAAAAAATATTCTGCTTCTGCATATGTTCCGTATTCACTTTCCATACTTTATAACATAGGACATTGCTATGTTCACCCCATGCTGACTCCTGAACAAGTCGTTCAGTCCTACTGTTTATCCCCCCACCACCTCTCAATCATCTGGCAAGCTGTAAATTTCACATCAACCAAATGCAATTCCTTCCGCCTAGCTACAAGATGAACTGCGCAGCTTTGTACAGCTGTCCCCTATAGTACAACAGTTCAAGCAGAATAAAAGCATGTAGATGCCTGAGTCAGCTCTTTGGAAAGATCACCCATTGGGGTCTAACCACCTGATCAAAGACATCAAGTGGCTGCCAAAAAAACTACTCCAGAGGCTTCAAAATCTGCACTGGAATTAACTGGTCTGTCTGCAGGATCACAAAATCCAGGTGGAGGGTTTTAAAAGAGCTTAGCTAACGTTGTAAGGTCTTCCACAGTTGGCAGGGACACACTGTAGCAGAAACCAAAATAAAGGTCTTCTAGGATTTGCAACAACTCATGTGCTGGGGGAACAAAAGAAGATGCCAAAAAAACCTTTTGACTCAGTTTTCACTTCAGTATGCCCTTCCTCCACATGCCTGAGTAGCACATCCCCATGCTGCCTTCACTGCTCTGGGGAAGGGAATGCCAGAGAAATTTGTTGTAATTAACCGTTTAAAAGAACCCTAGTTATTCTCACCTTCAGGCCAGGGCTTTGGGGGTGCACCAGGGGGCTGCCCAGGCATTCCTGGGGGAACTCCTGAGGGTCCAGGAGGAGGCATGTTAGGCCCTCCTATACCTGCACAAAGAAGAGTAAAAAAAGACAGCAGTAAGACACTCTCTCTGCAGTTTATTAATATATCTGCTTGTTCCTTGCATGTAGCTAATAGGAACAAAACCAGGCTCCTTAATTAGTGAGAGCATGGTCAGCATACGTGGCCATTTCCAAGCCTTCCCTGAAGAGTTTAGAGTCCCAATTCAGACAGACTGAAACACATGACTGCATGTGGGTGATACCAGCACAGCTATAAAGGATGGAATGTTTCCCACAAGGGAGGTGCAATATGGGGGAGGTGCTTAGCAGCGGGCTTGAAAGGGTTTGTGAAAAGACACAAAACAGTGTGAAAGGAGACATGAAGCAATTAGGAGAGGGGCCTAGGAGGAATGCAAGGGAATGAGAGCAAAGATATTGTGGGGGGCAAAATGGTGCAGGATCTTGAAAGTGACAAAGGAGTCTTTGTGCACTCACGACCAGACACATTGTACAGACAAACATCCCTCCATAAGCTAATGTGAGGTACCAAACAGATAAACAGAAAGTGTATGCTACCCCCATGCATGTGCATCTGTACTGAAATGGAAGAGTCTTGAATTTAGACTAAGGAAGGAACAAAGCTGGCGCTTACCATGAGGTCTGTTGTAATTTGGAGGTGTTGGTCCTGGTCCAGGCCCAGGCCCTGCTCCTTGCACTGGTCCTGTCCCAGATACAGAGGGTGGAGGTAGCGTCGGCATTTGCTGCTGCATTCCGGGCATTGGTCTCTTTCCCTGCACTGCCATCTGAAGATGGTCAGGTAACGGCTGCCCTCTGGCAAGCATCTTATAGGCCATGATCTGAGCTCTTAACTGATGCAGCTGGTTCTGGTTAAAAGGGGTTGGGCCCCGATTCTGTTGTCCTAATGCTTGTGGGTCAGTACCATCTAACGGGACTCCTCCAGGACCAGAGGACATTTGAGAGCCAGAGGACGGACCGTTAGCTGGAACTGGGCTTGAGGCATGCTCAGAACCGCCAAGCGGAGAAGGGTAACCTGGAAAGAGAGATGCAATTATATTACAGCATACTGTAGACTTCGCATAGTAATACAGAAAGGCTAGTTTTATTTTAAAAATGCTATAGGAAAAAAGGCTATTTAATCACTCTTGATGGAGGCTGCAACTGCTTTAAGCCAGGGTCCCCAATGAAAGTAATTGCACTAAAACTTGTTTGGAACTAAAAAGAAAAGGAGTACTTGTGGCACCTTAGAGACTAACCAATTTATCTGAGCATAAGCTTTCGTGAGCTACAGCTCACTTCATCAGATGCATCCGATGAAGTAAGCTGTAGCTCACGAAAGCTTATGCTCAAAGCAATCCGATGAAGTGAGCTGTAGCTCACGAAAGCTCATGCTCGAATAAATTTGTTAGTCTCTAAGATGCCACAAGTACTCCTTTTCTTTTTGCGAATACAGACCAACACGGCTGTTACTCTGAAACCGGTTTGGAACTAAAGGTTTAAAACAAAGAACAAAAATAATCCCGTTTGAGGATTTACAGAGGAATCTGTCCAGGGAGGGTTCACAGACATACTGGTGGCTGCGAAGGGCTGCAGGTCTCTTACCTGCTGCATGGCCCATCTGTTCCCTGCTTGTAGATTTATTTTCTCCATCATAAAACCACCCTCTCCCCAGAGTTTCTTGAACCACTGCCATGCCCATGACAAAGGGAGCACAGGAGCACTCTCAGTGGCAGCAGAGGAAATTACAGGATATGGCTGGGTATCCTTTGTGGGAACTTTGTGCTATATGTGGCTATGCCAGGACACCAGCTGCCCTTTTGTGTAGCAACTGTCCTCAGTGTGGTAGAAAGAAAGAATATGGAGAGGAAGAGGTGGCCTTTCACAAAAATTCCAAGTTTGTATCCATATTGTTCTCTGCTCTTGCTACTGTAATAGTGCACTCTCCCAAGAGGAGTCCCACTGCAGCCGTAATCAACAAGGAAACTGAACACTAGACTGGGGCCCAGTGTCCTGTTCAGAAACTTGCTTGCAAATCTCGCCCAGGCCCCTCACTCAGGAAAAAGACAGACCTTGAGAATGCTGATCCATTGGGCTTGGAGGAGGACCCATTCCCGTGTGCCCACCTGGCCTCATTCCCATCCCCTTCATCTGGCCGTACCGAGGATCATCAGATATTCCCTTCTCATGCATGGAATCCATTGGCTGCAAAGGAAAAAGGGACAGCGCAAAACCTGCTTAAAAATAATTACTATCAAAGAAAAAGCTAAGCTACTCCTAGAGGCAAAGGACTAGTGGAAGCAGAGAATAGGCTGCTGCATTGTGTGGTACAGTTTGTATTTAGACGAGTAGTGTCCTAGGTACATGAATGATGCACCATTTGTAGCATGCTGACCCAGATTCTACCAACATCAATCTTCAAAAGGAAGATCTATTTATTGGCCACACTCAGGATACCATATAAACAGACAGCACTCAATGAAGTGAAAGAAAAAAAAAAATCACACGAGAAATATTTAAGGACAAATATTTTTTAGTCCAAAATCACATTAACCTTGGAGGGTATCTAGCGAAATTTCCTCATAGGCTGTAAAATTTGCCATTAGTTATTACATTATCTTGCATTATTTGTTCACAGTGGCATGAGACTGAGAGGTGCTGTATGTATCTCATGAAAGAATTTCAGGTATAACTCTGAGACTAAATGCATTATTCCTTGAAATCCAAGTCCAATTTCTTGTTATTTTGCAGCCCACATATCAGCAACTGAAAAATAGGTTATGCCTGAACACAGTATACCAACTGTTAAAACACCCTGTGTGTACCGGGTGTGACAACGGTGACCAAGTCAGGTAAAAAATTAGGGGTTGGACCTTTTCTTTGCTTTCTTACTTTGTATGAAGAGGGCCTGAAAGGGTGTTTATTGCATTAAAAACTGAGGTTTTTTTCCACCCTGGAACTCTATGGATAGCCACAGAACTACATGAATTCTGACATCACAAAAGTTGAGAACTAACACGGAAAAATATTTTTAATCAGACTTAAACTGTGGGGTAGGGGGAGGGTTTGTTTACTTTTGTTAATGTTCATTTAACTCAAATGCCTAATATATTCTTGTATGAGTTTATTAGGCATTTGAGTTAAATGAACATGCAAACAAATATATGTGTACAAACTCATACTAATATACAAGTATGAGTTTGTATACATATAAGTTTCAAATCCCCTGCCCCTTCAGTTAGAAGCAAGAAAGTTTTTCAGTTCACATCTGTAGAGCCCTGCATGGATACAAAATTTGGATCCGCATGCGATCCACAGACATGGCCCACAGATATCCACAGATATAAAGCAGATATCTGCAGATTTTCAGGGCTCTAGATACAAAATTTGGATCCACAAACATGGTCTGTGGATATCTGCAGATTTGCAGGGTTCTACACATCCAAAACCCACGTCTTCCAGCAAAACCATATTTTATATCCCTAAGGTATCAAAAACAAAGTAAACCATCTTTAAAAAAAAACAACAAAAAAACCCACCACATTCCAGGCCTTCTGTATCCATTGTCAAGAAATGGAAATGAGGCAGAAGCCTTTATTTATTTCCTTCACAAATCACCTTTAACTTATACTCATCTGCTTTCAGGTTTGGTCCACTGTGAAAGATAAGACCTAGGAAGGATCATATCTTGCTCTACATTTTACTGGCTGTGGGGAAATCGCATGCTGTAGAAAATTAGGGCAACTCTTAATGGTTTCATTTTATATTCATTTATTTTTAATAACTAGGGAAAGAGAGATGTACAAGCTCTGCCAGGAAAAAATAAAAGCCCCACTCAAACAGAGCACTGTTACAGTTGGTTACCTTGTGCATCTGATGCATGTTGTCCTGAGCATAGCCCCCAGACCCCTGAGGTGGTATAGCGTGTCCTGATGAAGGTGGTCCAGGGCTGGGTCCCATCATACTATGTGCAGAGCCAGGCGAGGGTCCAGGACTGGGGCCCAACATTGCACCAGGTGATGGGCCGGGTCCAGGAGAAGGACCTGGGCGAGGAGTTCCTCCCATTGGAGGATCTGGAGTGGACATCTTCAATGGAATTGCTCAAACCAGTATCCTAGTGCAAGAGAGCATGTCTTTAGACAGGACTGTCAGTGTAAGTCAGTCAGTGGCTTACAACATGGCAAACTGAGGGTGTGCCGCTTTGAAGACAGAAGTGTCGCCCCATAAAGTTGAGAGGGGGCAAGGGTAGAAGTTTATATACCCATGACTGGGACACTTAGACACTACAGTAATACAGTAAATAAATCATAATAGTGCTATTTTATTTCATGGAGCGACAAGGGACTGAAGTGAGCACCCTACTATTCGATATGCATCATCTTTGAAATGACCATGTTGCCAAAGAAGAGCATGAGCATGGGAAACAAATTCAGAAGACAGATGTGGGAAGCTGCCCATATACTTGGATGCACGGGGTTTCAAGCAGCCAGACTATGGGCTTAATAGAAATTCCAAATAAATTATACCAATATAAAAAATGTACATTAACAGTTTTATTCTTGTCTGCATTTGTCAGAAAGCCATACAAAAGAGAAACAAAAGATCAATTAATCCAATCTCTCCCTCCCCCCCACCCCAAACTCCCTGAAGCCAGGGCAGAACTGTTCCCCTGTGTTCCATCCAGACTAGTTTTAATGCCCCAACAGTGATGCAGTTTCCATCCCTTCTTCAAAGAGATGATTTCACAGTCTTGTAAATCTCATTTTCAAGAAGTTTTTCATGGTATTCAGACTAAATCTCCCCTTTAATTTCATCCCATTAACTCTCGTAGCACACACTAGGACCACCCTCAAGAATTTCTCTCCCCTTCGTTTTCACACCCTTCAAATACTTGTAAACCAGTTATCATTAGCATGTACGAAGTTCACAAAAGGGTCGATTTTCCTTGCAATGTATGTGCTTAACACCCATCAATATTACTGGGCATTATGTGAATGCAAAGGAGGTGTTATCCCAATAAGGCCTGGTCTATATGCAAAGTTGCACCAGTTTAACTAAAAGTGTTATTTTACACCAATTTTTGTTAAACTAGTGCAATTTTTTGGGTGGAGACAAACGGATTTAAATCTGTCTTATATTTGTTTACTTTGCATCAGTTAGTAAATTCAGAGTTGCACATTCGGCTGATCTAATCTATTTTAAAATTATATAATTGTGCCCACGTAAACAATGGTTTAACAAAAAACTTCTTTTTAAAACCAATTTAAGATTAACTTTAACTAATGTAACTTCTGTGTAGACTCAGATTGTAAAACCAGAAGGAATCATTGCCATCACATAATCTAACCTCCAGTATAACCCAGGTCACAGGACTTCCTTGAATTTATTCTGTTTGAATAAGAGCTGATCTTTTACAAAAACACCTAGTTTTGATTTAAAAATTTCGAGTGATGGAAAATCTATCACTAACCACGGAAAGCTGTTCCAATGGTACAAACAAGTCTCCAGATGCTACACCTTGATAGGTTATATATTCCAAGTAAAACTCTGGAATTTGAACCCAGTTCAATATGTTAATTTGGGAGAGATCAATATGCCTACAGAAAACATTGCTCTATCCATTTAACTTTTTGCAGAAGATATGTGCCCTAAGGCACTGGTTTGGCTCATAGTCTGAAAGATGCCAGTTTTCTTTTAAGGGTTGAGTCACTAATACATACCAGAAAACCTCAAATAGAAAACTTGACCCAGAACCTAAATTGTATAAGAAACTCATGCAGAGGCAAATCCAAACCATCGGAACATTTTCAAGATAAGTCTGCCAGTCCTGTGTAACCAAACCTAGGAAACTGTGTTGTGTGATGGGACCTGGGTAATATAGACTGAGTTAGCAGCAAAACGGAACCCGTGGTAGCAAACCACAGTCTACAACTGTGGCAGCATAAACCAAATTAAACACACTGTCTGATAATCAATGTATCCAAGTTTCATTTATTTTTCCATTTAAATTAGAAACTCCCTTTCTTAAACAAAAATTGACATAACATTGTATTTCTGATACCTCAAAACATAGGTAGGTGGAAATATTGTGTTAACAATTGCAACCACTATTGCATTTGTATGTTAAAATCTGCTAAATTCAATGGAAACAGTAGCTCCGAAGTACAGTTTGGAATAACAATTCCAAGTTACACAGCTGCATATTGCCAACAGAAGAGTCCAGATAGCAACCCTACAATTTCTGCAACTGAAATCGCTTTCATTTCAAGTATGGTGACAGTTTTGAGTATAAATATTTGTAACGATTCCCGATGGTTAAAGAGAACACAAGCCCCAGCTAATATAAGCCATGAAGAAGAGAACATTTATAGTATTCAGTTTTGATCATGCTCCTTTGCTCCCAGCCATGTCAGAATGAGTTTTGGAGGCAAAACCTGTAGCATCACTACAGTCTCATCAACGTAGCCATACTGAAGTTTCCACAGGATATAAAATGCCGAGATATTCACTGCCCAGACCAGATTAAAAGTCTAACTGATTATGCAAGAAAAGCTTCACTTGCTTGTGAGGCAGGTAATATAAATTAAACTTCTGATTTAAAAATAAAACAAGGATGCAGTGTTATTTCTCAAGTTCTAGAGATACTCAGAGCAATGAGTCTGGGGAAAAGATGTATGCCATTACCTGCCAGAATCAGCTATCTTAGAATTGCCAAGCTACACTGGAGCATGTAAAATGTTTACAACCAACCAATTGCCACATGGGAAACCAAATCCATTTCTGGATTTCATGCTCTGACACATATTGCAGCTGTGAGAGCAAAAAAGGTACCATAAGTGGGAACTGAAAGAACAGAATGCAAACCTGTTCTCCTACATGATCAAGGATAACAAATCTCAGTGTTTAAAATACTATATTTGGGTTGTTAAAGGAGGATTTTTAAATTTATGTCTCCAACACATTCATAAGAAGTACAATCCAAAGTCTTTTTTATTACTTTGCAAGGTGTATTGCTTAAATATTTAAGAATTCTTGAGCTTCTTGTTCTGTGGGACAAAAATATACTACTCTAAAAGGATTCGTGTTTGTCTTTTATGATCAGAATATTGAAAAAATAGAACACTTATTCTAGATCTTTCTCTGTAAGACACTGTCAATTGGTCAATATTAGATGGTAATCCATGTTGCTAGATAAGGTTCCAGTGTTAACCCCTTCCCTATTTTTTTGTCCCTCCTCTGCCTTATCTGTAAACAGGATAGAAAAATAAGGAAGTTTCTCAAGAATTTTTAAAAAAAAAACCCCAACATTTATATGGATATAAAAACAGAGTGATAACAAAAATTGTGAAAAGGATATGAAACCTCATGCTTCAGGGTTTAAGCCAATCTCTAACTGTTAGAGACCAGGATGAGACCCTCATCGGGGGCAGATAATCTCACATTTGCTACTGCATAGTTCTTTGCACCTTCCTCAAAAGCATCTGGTACTGACTGCTGCCAGATATGGGATTCTGGACTCGATGGTCCTCAGGTCAGATCCAGTCTTACAAATCCTATGTTCTTCATATATTAGCGCTATCAAGCGATTAAAAAAGTTTAATCACAATTAATCGCACTGTTAAACAATAGAATACCATTTAAATATTTTTGGATGTTTTCTACACTTTCAAATATACTGATCTCAATTACAACACAGAATACAAAGTGTACAGTGCTCACTTTATATTTATTTTTGATTACAAGTATTTGCACTGTAAAAAACAAAATAGTATTTTTTGATTCACCTAACACAAGTACTGTAGTGCAATCATGAAAGTTGAACTTACAAATGTAGAATTATGTACAAGAAACTACATTCAAAAATAAGACAATGTAAAATTTTAGAGCCCGCAAGTCCACTCAGTCCTACTTCTTGTTCAGCCAATTGCTCAGACAAGCAAGTTTGTTTACATTTGCAGGAGACAATGCTGCCCGCTTCTTGTTTACAATGTCACCTGGAAGTGAGAACAGGCATTTGCATGGCACTGTTGTAGCCAGCGTTGCAAGATATTTACGTGCCAGATGCGCTAAAGATTCATATGTCCCTTCATGCTTCAACCACCAATCCAGGGGACATGCATCCATGCTGATGACAGGTTCTGCTTGATAACAATCCAAAGCAGTGCAGACCGACGCATGTTCATTTTAAAATATCTGAGTCAGATGGCACCAGCAGAAGGTTGATTTTCTTTTTTGGTGGTTCGGGTTCTGTATTTTCCACACTGGAGTGTTACTCTTTTAAGACTTCTGAAAGCATGCTCCACTGTCACTTGTCCCTCTCAGACTTTGGAAGGCACTTCAGATTCTTAAATTTTGGGTCGAGTGCTGTAGTTATCTTTATAAATCTCACATTGGTACCTTCACTGCATTTTGTGAAATCTGCAGTGAAAGTGTTCTTAAAATGAACAACATGTGCTGGGTCATCATTAGAGACTGCTATAACATGAAATATATGGCAGAAAGCACGGAAAACAGAACAGGAGACATACAATTCTTCCCCAAGGAGTTTAGTCACAAAATTACTTAACACATTTTTTCAACGAGCGTCATCAGCATGGAAGCATGTCCTCTGGAATGGTAGCCGAAGCATGAAGGGGCATACGAATGTTTAGCATATCTTGCACATAAATACTTTGCAATGCCAGCTACAAAAATGCCATGCAAATGCCTGTTCTCACTTTCTGGTGACATTGTAAAGAAGAAGAGGGCAGCATTATCTCTTGTAAATGTAAACAAACTAGTTTGTCTTAGCGATCGGCTGAACAAGAAGTAGGACTGAGTGGACTTGTAGCCTCAAGTTTTACATTGTTTTGTTTTTGTTTTTGAGTACAGTTATGCAAAAAAAAAAAACTACATTGTAAGTTGTACTTCCACGACAATTCTGCACTACAGTACTTGAATGAGGTGAACTGAAAAATACTATTTATTTTTTTCAGAGTAGCAGTCGTGTTAGTCTGTATTCACAAAAAGAAAAGGAATACTTGTGGCACCTTAGAGACTAACCAATTTATTTGAGCATAAGCTTTCGTGAACTTTATCATTTTTAGAGCAAATATTTGTAATACAAAATATACACTGATTTCAAACACAGATTACTATATTATATATAATGAAAATGTAGAAAAACATCCAAAATATTTAATAAATTTCAATTGGTATTCTAGTGTTTAACGGTGCAATTAAAACTGCGATTAATCGTGATTAATTTTTTTAATCAATTACTTTTGAGTTAATCACATGAGTTAACTGAGACTAATTGACAGACCTAATATTTATATATCAATTTAGCTCTAAAATTCAAAATTCTGCTTGTCAGAGACCTGTAAAAACGTAAGTGTCCCCCATTTTCTCCCATCAGTTTGGGGAAGTTTGTTCTAACCAGGTGGTTCTTTTTAACATTAGGGCTGTTACCATACCAAACCTGCTACCAAACTTCAGATGTTATTTGCAGTAATCAAGCCTGAAAGATATGAAGGTGTCAAATATCAAGCAAGGCTGCCAAGCCTAAAGATAAATTAGACAAATTAGTTATCTGCACTGAGATGTGGTTTCCCCTCAGTTAAAGCTTTCTGCAGATTGCAGCTTCTACTCGTACTCAGATAAGAGACGTAATTGCATGTTGTAAAAATTGGACCAAATTGTGCCCTGAGACGTGCTGTGTCCAGGGGGCAAATGTTTCTGATTGGCTGCAAGATGGGTTTGAAGAAACTGGATCTTCAGAATGGCACATTCCTTGCCTCAATCCCCTGTTCACCCTCCCTCATTTTACTATTCCCAGTGTCACCTCTTCTTCAGGGAGTTGACACTGCCTTTCTGCATAAGGCCAAAGGTTTAGGAATTTGGAGCAGATTCTTTTGTTCCATGAGGCCTTATGGCATTTGAGTAAACCTCATGTCCAGTTTTAGATTCCTAAATCACAACTGCAGAGGTACTGGTAGTTAGTCACTACATTGTGACAAATTTGGTTTTTGCCTCCAGCATTTCTTTGGGACCTCTGAGGTTAGAAATCTAGGGCAAGTTTGCATTAGCAATGAAATTCATTGAAAGCTTAGACCTCAACTAAATGCAGCTCAGTGGAAGAATTTGTAGAGACAAATAGACAACGCAAAGAGGTGAGAGGGAAGAAAGAGTGCACACTAATCTCTTAGGTTCATAATTCTTGATCACAAGAAAAGGGAATCTTGATAACACAACAACATTTTTAATCAAAAATGTGTGTAGCACTTATTAAAAGGCACAAAGGAAGTCTGCCTGCATCCTTTCATCCTCACCTTCTGTTGATCTTGCTGTGAAGTCATAACCTGCATCTATGACATCACCAAAAATGATTATGAGGTCACAAATCTGACTGATTACTCAACAGGATTAAATGAAGACAAGACTATAAAGGAGCAATGCATGGTTTTGATACAAACATGTTAAGGAAAAAGAAGAAAATGGAAAGGTAAGCTGAGTCCAGATTTTAGTTTGATATAATGAGGCTTGGCAACATTTGATTTTTTTAGTCATTTAAACATTGATAATATCAGTTTATATTAAGCATTCTTTCCTAATTTTATTGACTTAAATTTTCACAGTTGCATTAAATTAGAGATTTTAAGCATTTTTTTCCCCCCCAATTTTTATCTGTTTAGATTTTCACAGTTGTGGGAAATTATGAGAGGGGTCAGACAATTTAACGACAGTAGATGTTGAGATTCAAAAAGTTAAAGCGTTATAACGGTTAAAACACAAATCAACATTACATGTAAAATACACAAAGTAAATATCCTTCAAACAAACTCTAATAAGTGCTCAAGCAGTCCTTTTCTTACTCTATCTGTAAATTTTGATGATCCCTCAATAGAAATATTTTTTGGTGGTTTATGTATACACAGTGAAATCGACATTTACCAACATTTGCCAATAAAAATCTAATCCTTCCAATTCTGGACATAGTGGAGGTTTCCTCTTCAAACATTCAGACCTGAGCACAAACATGAGTCAGAATGTAAAAAAAAAAAAAAAATATTTAGTCACAGCAAACAAATTTACCAACAGTACTGATAAATTCACTACACAGTGCCAGTGTGTTTAGCCCTGTCCTATATTCAAGACGTTTCAGTTTCAGTTAAATAGGAAAAATTATTCCACGTGAATTTAAAGATGACACTGAAAACATCTGTTCCTGATGGCTAGCCAGCCACTGACTAGATTTTCTTCCCAGTAAGATTTTTCTTCTGTGCGAATGGTCTTGCTCCATTAAGAAGGATGCACATTTTAGTACATTATGGATTCTTTTCCACTCTAAAGATGCCTTTCATTAGGATCCTGCTCAAAGAATAGTTAGTCTCTAAGGTGCCACAAGTACTCCTTTTCTTTAAGCAATGCAAAGGCATGCAACGTTAGTGTTTAAGCCTTAGGATTCTTAAAGCTTACAATATTCCCATTCAGAACAAAAGCAAAGCAATATTAAATAGCCTACCTACAATGTTACTTAAACCTTTGTTGGATATAGTTTATTTTTTTTGTGTACACGTAAGCACACTTAAGTGGTTAAGTCCTTCGAAGCAGAAACTGCATTTGTCAGCTGCACCTATTTTCACTGTCATGCGGAATTAAGAAGTTGAACAACGTTGATAGCTCTATCTCTCGCACTGCACAGAGCGGCCAACAGACTACAGTCAGACTTACTTGTTTAAAAGTTACTTCTTTAAAATGACTAGTATCCAGTGATAAACAAAAATTGATTCCAAACAAAAGCCAGAAAGTCAAAGTCCATCAGTTATCATAGTTTTTGTTAATCTATGTAGATGGGTATTTGTAGATGGGTTTCTGGTATTTGTATCTAGACTATTGTCTTTCCACTCATGTCTCTCTCTAGTCCTCAGAAATCTTACCAATTTCTGACATGTCATTGCACATTTTCCTCTTCCCTTTCCTTAAAAACAAAAACCAAAAAAATCCACACACCACAAAAAACAAACGCACACAACCTCTCTCCCGCCCCACCAAATAGCTAGTGGAAAACAAAGAACAATTAAATATCTTATGTTGACAAAAAAGGGAGGACACTACCCAATTACCTACAAAAGACTGAGCCCTAATTCACTGCACAAGATTCAGCTTGCAATGGCTGACCTACAAACCTGCAGTTTACAACTGGTCAATGAAATTTATGAAGGGACATATTCTTTATTGGCACAGTTGTAAGTTATGTATTTCATTCTCTTGCTGTCAATAGATAATGTGATCTGCCGGTTGCACCACACTAGGATTTCAAATGCTTTCAAGGACAAAATAGTGCTTTGAGAAAATGCACTGAAATGAAATGATGATACCGTACTTCAAGGAATATGAATGCGATTTAAGTGCTCTAGCTAGAAAGGAAGTCTGCTCTTAGAACCAACAAAGGAATCCAAAAAACCTGAAATGACACTACAGCCCCATTTTTCTAACGGGACACCCAGTTCAGTTCACTACAGATCTGAAAATGCGGCAACACTAAGATTCTTTCTCCCCTGCGTTATAGGCTCCTTAAATATATTTCTAAGGTGAGTGAAATTGAAAGATACTCCACTTTCTAATGTCAGCTAAGTGATATTTCAATAAACCATGATTAAAACTCACCTCTGTAGCACATAAAATATCAATATCGGAACAGAGATGAACAAGTCAGCAGCCCAGAACTCACCTGTGGACATTGAGGTCTCTAATATCTCACAGCCCAGAGTCCATGTGGTGATGATGGAGGGATTGAGGTCTCAGGATTACCAGTTTTTAATCCAGTGCTGTAGAAGAAACTGGTCATTACTATTCTGTCTTAAACGTGTGTTTATCCAATAAATAGATCTGCTTTGTCAAGATGTAAAATGACTGGCTCAGCTCCTTTCAGACTTTCTAATGCTGAAAGAACTGCTGCATCTCACTCAAACAAGTTTTGCTGGTGGAGAGCCAAACACTTAAGTGTGCTACTGAATGTTAATACAATTTGTGCTGTGTTCCTCCAAATGGGAAACTAACAATTGCTGCACTTAATAGATTTTAAACTTATTTGCCTTTCCATTAAAATACAGAAAAAATTCTAAGGGAAATGACCATTTCTAGGTATCATGAGATTTTTGTCACCTTATTTACCCTTTTGCATTCTGTGGTTGAGAATATAAAACTGTTTCCTTGTCCTCCCCAATCTGTCTATATCTGTCTTATATTCAGATTCTGAGCTCTTTGGGGCTGATTACGTTTTTGTTTATATCTGTACAGCTCCTAGCACAATGGGGTCTTGATCCATTACTGCAGCACCTCCACAATACAAATACACATCTACCCCAATATAATGCGATCCAATAGAACACGAATTCAGATATAACACAGTAAAGCAGCGCTCTGGGGGACGGAGCTGCGCACTCCGGTGGATCAGCGCGTCAGGCTCCGACACGCTGCTCTGAGCGGGGTGTTAAGGGTGCCGGGCCGGGGCCGAGCAGTTGGATAAGGGGCAGAGGGTCTCGAGGGGGCGGTCAGGGGCGGGGTTGTTGGATGGTTCGGAGGTTCTGTGGGCGGCGCGGTCAGGGAACAGGGGCATTAGATGTGGGAGTCCCGGGACTCCCACACCCTGTCAGGGAACAGGGAGCGGGGGGCGTTGGATGGGTCAGGGGGCAGAAAGTGACTATTAATAATGGAAATGCTCGAGGTCAAAGCAAGTTAGATATAAACACGGTTTCATCTATAACACGGTAAGATTTTTTGACTCCCGAGGACCGTGTTATAGCAGGATAGAGGTGCAATAAACAACAGTCATTCCACGCAAAACACTGACCACATCATTCCCCCCTTTGGCTGCACCTGTACGAGGAGAAAAAGTACATTTTTAAACCCATTTAAATTTTTGTCACCTTATTTACCCTTTTGCATTCTGTGGTTGAGAATATAAAACTGTTTCCTTGTCCTCCCCAATCTGTCTAATATTCAGATTCTGAGCTCTTTGGGGCTGATTATGTTTTTGTTTATATCTGTACAGCTCCTAGCACAATGGGGTCTTGATCCATTACTGGAGCACCTCCACAATACAAATACACATCTACCCCAATATAATGCGATCCAATAGAACACGAATTCAGATATAACACAGTCTTTCAGCATTGTAATCCTAGCATTGACAGGGCAGTTATAGTTTTAACCTGTTAGCTGGTTGAGATAAACCCTAACAGGGAGCTTAGGACGCAGTGCGGCTAGTGGACAGAGAACTGGACTTAAACTTGGACTAAGGAGACCTGAGTTCTAGTCCCGGCTTGCCAATGTCCTGCTGGGTGACCTTGAACAAGTTACTCCCCACCGTACGCGCCAGTTTCACAATCTGTGAAATGGGGACAATTATACTGACCTCCTTGGTAAAGCACTTTGAGATCTACTGATGAAAAGCACCAGCTATTATTAGTGAAGACATCTAACCTCCAAGGCCTGTTACAACTCCGCCCCTCTCTACTTATCCACTCTTATCACAACCCACACCTTATACTGATGCCAGCCTCAATTACCACTTGTTCACTCCTCCCACAAACACCTTTTTGCTTTCTTCTATGCTGCCCCTTATGCATGGGTCATCATCACTGCTCTGGTTTATGTGCTCTCCTGCTTCAATCCACTACAAAAAGATACTTGCACTGCACACTCTTCAGGGCATGGACTGTCTTTTTGTTGCGTGTTTGTAAAGTACACTTTGTAAGGACAATGTTAAATATTTGTTCAGTGTGATCCATTGGTTTGTTCTGACCCTGATTGGAGGTCCCAGGTGCTATTCTAACATAATGAGGTGCAGCTGAGTAAACTCAACATTTATTGAAATGATTACAAAAAATCCATATATTCCATTTAAAACATTTATAGGTGATTGTTTCCCACTCCCCTAACCCTTCACAGAATAGTCATCTTTTCAGATAGGCAGGGATGATGGACAATTCTGTATTTGTACATAGCCTAGCACAGCTGAGATAGCCTGACCTAGACTAAAACCCTGAGTGCTAATGTATTATAATAAAATATTAATTGCCTCAAGAATCAAAACTAGTGATCTTTGTGTGAACATGTTTGTTAAAGCGGCAGGGATCTCACACTTCTCTCCGCCCCAAAATATCTTATTTGTTTCATAGCCATAATTTCAATCGAAACAAAAATTAATATAGGACCCTAGAGAACTGTTACTACCCTCTTGATCACAGAAAAAAGTTATACTTAATTTTATTCATTTGTAATGTTTTTCCTATTGCCAAAGCATTTTGGTGCTTTTTTTAGATTCACATATTATAAGGCCAGAAGGGACTATTGTAATTCACTGATCCTCTCATGGAGCAGTGACTGTTTAAAAGATAGGAAACAAAGGGTAGGAATAAATGATCAATTTTCACAATGGAGAAAAGTAAATAGGGGGGTCTCCCAAGGATCTATACTGGGACCTATGCTGTTCAACATGTCCATAAATGATATAGAAAAGGGGTAAACAGCGAGATGGCAAAATTTTCAGACAATACAAAATTAGAAAAGATAGTTAAAACCAAAGCTGATTGCAAAGAGATACAAAAGGATCTCTCAAAACTGGATGACTGGGCAAAGAAATGGCAGATGAAATTCAATGTTGATAAATGCAAAGTAATGCACATTGAAATACATAATCCCAACTATACATCCAGAATGATGGGGTCTAAATTAGCTGTTACCACTGAAGAAAGATCTTGGCGTCATTGTGGATAGTTCTCTGAAAACACCCACTCAATGTGCAGCGGCAGCAAAAAAGGCTAATAGAACGTTAGGAATCATTGGGCAAGGGATAGATAATAAAATGGGAAATATCATAATGCCTCTATACAAGTCCATGGTACGTCCCCACCTTGACTACTGTGTGCAGTTCTGGTCATCCCATCTCAAAAAAGACACATTAGAATTGGAAAAGGTGGAGAGAAGGGCCACACAAAATTATTAAGGTATGGAACAGCTTCCATACAAGGAAAGATTAAAAAAGTCTGGGACTCTTCATTTTAGAAGAGAGACAACTAAGAGGGGAGATAGGACAGCGGTCTGTAACTCTTGACTGGTGTGCAGAAAGTGACTATTTACCTCTTCATAGAGCACAAGAACTAGGAGTTAACCAATTAAATTAATAGTCAGCAGGTTTAAAAACAAACAATAGGAAGTACTTCTTCATAAAATGCACAGTCTACCTGTGGAACTTGTTGCCATGGGATGTTGTGCATACCAAAAGTATACCTGGCTTCAAAAGAGAATTAGCTAAATTCATGGAGGAGGGGTCCAGCAATGGCTATTAGTCAAGATGGTCAGAGATGCAACCCCATGTCCCTAAATTTCCAACTCCAGAAGCTGTGACTGGATGACAGGGGATGGATCACTCAAAATTGCCCCGTTCTGTTCATTCCCTCTGAAGGATCTGGCACTGTCAGAGACAGGATACTGGCTAGATCAGGGATTCTCAAACTGCAGGTCGGGACCCCTCAGGGCGTCGCAAGGTTATTACGGGGGGGGTGGGGTCACAAGGTGTCAGCCTTCACCCCAAATCCAGCTTTGCCTCCAGCATTTATAATGTTGTTAAATATATTTTAAAAGTGCTTTTAATTTACCGGGGGATGTCACACTCAGAGGCTTCCTATGTGAAAGGGGTCACCAGTACAAAACTTTGAGAACCAGTGGGCTAGATGGACCATTGGTCTGACCCAGTACTGCCGTTCTTATGTTCTTAATTATCTAGTTTGAAAGCTTACTTGCTTCAAAAAATGTTACTAGTTGGTTAAAAAACTAAGCATTTGCAATTTTAACAGTTATTTGCTAAAGTATCTTTTATAATTTGTGGAGTATCAGTTTTATTTGAGTTTTCTTTAACAGAGAAAATGATAGCAGAATTCTCATTACACAGAAATAAAAGCCTTGGGAAGGTTTAAAACCTTTGAAAACCATTCAGGCATTAAAAATAAAATTAAAAAGCACATTTTCTCTTCTTGAGGTTCATCCCCGAATAACACAAAGGATGGGATTCAAAGGAGTCGGGCACCCAAATCCCCTCAACTGCTTTGAAAATACCAGCTGCAAAGAATAAGGAAACATGCCACAGAAGTCTCACTTGGGGATGACCTCCTTCTTGAACTGTCTGCTGTGATAAGTATGTTCCACTATGCTGAAAACCCAACCTGTGTAGAAAGGTAATCAAATATGCTACACTTAAAAGCCACTCATTTTTATATGATCTTAATGCAACTCATGAATTTTAAAAAACAGCTGCACAAATCCTTTAATTATATCCCCATTTCTGCTTCTCTTTAGATTCTGATCTTTGAAAAAGGAAAATATAAATTATTTTAACAGAAAATTAACAGATTCCCTCAGTTAACTTGCCTATCCCCTTTCATATTTTAATGGCAAGAAGATTAGCAAAGCACAGTCAGTGATCTGAACACGCTATATACCATTTATCTGTCATTACACTGAGGGACCAAAGCAAAGATGAATGCAAAACATATGAAGACATACATCCAGTCTACCAGTAAAAAACCTGAAGAAATCCTCCCAGCAAATGTCAAATATCTGTCACTCTCCTCCATCTCTGAAGGAGACATGCAGAAAATTGGGTTGTACTTTAAAATAAAGATATTGCATCTAATATCTGAACATTAAAACAATTATGCAGAAGAGAAATTCAGATACTTAGAGTAATTTCTCTCTCAAAGATGGGAATGAGGAAAAAACATTTGTAAAAATATCTAACATTTAGAACGAGGTATTATTTAATATATAGTTAAATGTCTCAGACTTCAACGCAGGCTAATATTTGTGTCAAGTTTATACACATCAAAACCTGCAGTATCTTAAAAAATGTAGGGCATTTTGTGAATGTTGAATTAAAAAGACTTTTTATATGAATGATCCTCAGAAACACACACCACAAAAATAGGTGTATTAGCCAATATATATGACAGTTATTAAAAACCTGCTACAAATGTTACAAAATACAACAAAGAGCCTCTGCCTTAAAACAATTAGACTACATTGTTAACTGTTGTGTGACCAACAAAGGCGATACAAATTTGTCCCAAAAACAGGTGATGAAGGAGAACAGTTAAAACCCACCATTAAAATATTGGGGTATCAGTAAATATTGCTTTTATTTCCAATTGATTTCCAAGTGGAAGTTGTGCTACATATTGAAACCATTCATATTTAAATGTGCTTTGTGTGTATCAGAAAGCCATGTGGGTGTGGGGGCAGGGGGAAAGGAGAATGCTGGGGGCAGAGGGGGTGGTTATTAATGGGCTTTGTGAGCAGATCCTCTTTAAATCGCCCCCACCCTCAAATTCATGTAAATGAGCTGAGTAGAACTGGGGCATCTGACAATGGGCTTTGCCGGTGGAGTTGCCTGTGGTTATGTGCCTATTTGGTGCAGCTGCTGCTGCTAATGGTGCACCTTTCAACCTCCTCCCCCAACACATGAGAACAGGGGTGTCTCTCCAGGAAATGGGAGCATGGGCAATGGGATTCAGCTAGGGGAGAGGATTTCTAGCCCTTCCTGCAAGCACAAGTGACTGGACTTGATTCTGTGGATCTGCCCCAGGCAGATGGAAAATTGGAACCCTCCCCACAATATATATATGAATGGAAAGCATGCACATGTGTAGGAGGTCCAGCCTGGAGGTTGTAGGCCTGAGGAATCTAAGGCCACACTCCTCACATCACCCAAGGAAGGAGAAGGGGGGGGCGGGTATAGCTCTTGAGGGCAGAACAGCAAGCCAGAGGGCTAGAGGGAAGAGATGGGGAAACGCAGTTCCTCAGGGCTGGGCAGATGATGGTAGTGAGGACAGGATCCCTAAAATGAGGTGAGGAAATGTCCCTTGGCAGGAGGAAGGATGCTAAAATAGAGGCAGTACCCCAAGGGGAGTGGGAGGATGCTGATGGGTGAAACTGGTTCACACAGGGTAGGAGATATTATGGGGGGCAGTAACCTTGGGGTAGATTGGATGGGGTAACAGACACGGATGGTGGGGAAGTACCCCAGCCTAAAGAGCGAGACATTAAGGAGCAGGGAAATTTCTGGGTGGAGGGGGATGCTAATGAGGTAGAGGCACAGTGTCACCGGGAGAAAGGATGAAGGAAAGAGGCTGACTGGAGGAGGGGGCACAGCCCCTGGGTGGGGCAGTATCGGGGAGAGGGGGGAAAGGATTCGTGAATGGAGGTGGCAGGAGGGGTCGATGCTAATAGACAGCATGCTTGAGGAGGGGCCGAACCCCAGAATGAACGGAAATGCTAATGGAGGCAGTGCACCAGAGATGGGGTGCTGATAGGGAGAGAAGAGATGCTAGCAGAGTACAGTGCACTGAGGATGGGGTGCTAATGGGGGAGAACTGATAGTAACAACAGGGAGTTTAACTGGTATGTGGGTGCTAATGGGGGCAGGAACAATGCTACTGGGGGGGCAGTGCCCCAGGGATAGTGGTGCTCACAGGGGGGAGGAACAATACCAGTGGGGGGGCAGTGCCCCAGGGGTGGGGATGCTGATGGGGGAAGAGGGAACTGTACCACAGACAGGGTGTTAACAGGGTGAGGGGCAATGGATGGGGGAAGGGAGGATGCTCGTGGGGGGGGGCAGTGCCCCAGGGATGGGGGTGCTGATGGCACAAATGTACCAAGGAATGGGGGATAATGGGGACAGTGCCCCAGTGATGGGGGAAGGGAGGGTGCTAGTGGGGGGCAGTGCCAAGTGTACCAGGGATGCGGGTGTCAATGGGGGGGGAAGGGGCTAATGGGGACAGTGCCCCAGGGATGGGAGGATGCTAGAGGGGGGCAGTGCCCCATGGATGGGGGTGCTGGTAAGGGGGGGGAAGTGTACCAGGGATGGGGGTGTCAATGGGGGGAGGGCCCCAGGGACGGGGGAATGGAGGATGCTAGTGGGAGGGCCGTGCCCCAGGGATGGGGGTGCTGGTAAGGGCGGGAAAGGGAAGTGTACCAAGGATGGGAGTGTCAATGGGGGGAGAGCCCCAGGGATGGGGGAAGGGAGGATGCTAGCGGGGGGGCCATGCCCATGGATGGGGGTGCTGGTAAGGGGGGGGAAGTGTACCAGGGATGGGGGTGTCAATGGGGGGAGGGGGTGTCAATGGGGGCAGGGCCTCAAGGACAGGGGAAGGGAGGATGCTGGGGGGGCCGTGCCCCATGGATGGGGGTGTCAATGGGGGAGGGGCTGTCAATGAGGGGAGGGCCCCAGGGACAGGGGAAGGGAGGATGCTAATGGGGGGGCCCGTGCCCCACAGATGGGGGTGCTGGTAAGGGGGGGGGAAGGGGAACTGTACCAGGGATGGGGGTATCAATGGGGGCAGGGCCCCAGGGACAGGGGAAGGGGGATGCTAGCGGGGGGGGGGCCGTGCCCCATGGATGGGGGTGTCAATGGGGGAGGGGCTGTCAATGAGGGGAGGGCCCCAGGGACGGGGGAAGGGAGGATGCTAATGGGGGGGCCGTGCCCCACGGATGGGGGTGCTGGTAAGGGGGGGAAGGGGAACTGTATCAGGGATGGGGGTATCAATGGGGGCAGGGCCCCAGGGACGGGGGAAGGGAGGATGTTAGCGGGGGGGGCTGTGCCCTGCGGCTGCTGATGGGGGGGTTGTGGGGGGTGTTATTAATTGCTCCCCTATCCCACACAATAAGCTGGCCGATCTCTCGCAAAGGGAAATCACGGAGGCCTCTTGACCCGCCCGGGCCGCCGTAGCCCCCTCAGCCCCTCGCTCCTCCCCGCCATTTCATTCAATGGGGGAGCCGGCCGGGGCCCCCTCCCTACGCGGCGCGTCAGGCCTCCCGCACTTACCGTGCCCGTCCCGGGAGGAGCCGCTCGCGGGGTCCATCCCCGCCGGGGAAGCGAGCGAGCGGGCGGGCGGGCGGGCGGCCCGGGGTCTCTTTCTGGGGGGGACAAAGGAACCGCCGCTGCCGTGTGTGAGGGAGACGTTCGAGCTCCCCCTTGCGCGCGCCCCCGCGGAAGGCAGCACCGCGCGCGCGCTCCCGGTCCAACTCCACCGCGCGCGCGCGCGCGCGCGCGCTTCGCGGCAGCCTCGGTCACTGGGCGGGCCCTAGCGGGGCTCGCGCACTCAATCACCCGTCCCCGCCCCCTCTCCCTCTGGGCGCAGCCGCGCCTTCGCGTGCACGTCAGAGTTGCACGGCCAATCAGGGCCATGAGGGAGGTTCGCGCTCCTCCCCTCTTTCAGCCAAGGAGGGTGGAGTCCCAACCGCCCTTATCCAATGGGAAGAAACATGACGCATGCCTCGGCCAACGGGTCGAGACGATCCCGATATAACCCCGCCCACTGCTTTCAGCGCGGCAACCAATGGGAAAGTATCTCAGGGCTCTCCCTTCCCCCACCCCTCGCAGCCGGGGGTTTCTCGCGCTCAGCCAACGGGCGCTAAGGAAAGGGACACGCGCTAACGCCTTCCAGCCAGCCTCAGCCAATGAGGTAGGAGAGGGAAGCGTTCGAGCGGCGGTGGGCGGGGGCGAGCTGTGCCCGCTCTCCTTGGTGGCGCGCGCCGGCGGTGCGAGCGGCCTCCCCCTCACTCCCAGTTAGGAGCCGCCGCCGCGGCCACGCATGCGCAGTGCCCGCGCCACTGCGGCGAAGGGGAGGGGGTTGGTGGGGCTGAGAGGAATGGGGGCCTCAGGAGGGGGGCGGGGACGGAGGAGAATCGGCTGATGGGGGGAGGGGGAGTAGAATAGGAGGCTGATGGGGGCAGGGAGGGGGCTTGGGAGGGGGCTCAGGAGGGGGATGGGGGGCTGAGGGCAGGGGCTCAGGAGGGGATGGGGGGCTGAGGGGAGGGGGCTTAGGAGGGTAATGGGGGCTGAGGGGAGGGGGCTCAGGAGGGGGATGGGGTTCAGAGGGGAGGGGGCTCAGGAGCGGAATGGGGGGCTGAGGGGCTCAGAGGGGGTGGGAGTAGAATTGGGGGCTGAGGGGAGGGGGCTCGGAAGGGGCTGAGGGGAGTGGGGGAAGAGAATAGGGTGCAGATGGGGAGGGGAAGCTGTGGGGGCTCAGGAGGAGGGGGTGAGGGAATTGGGGCTAAGGAGTGATGGAAGAAGCCAGGGAGGAGACTGGGGGGAGTGAGGAGGCAAGGGCTGATGGAGGAGTGCCTGGGGAAGGGAAGGATGGTGGCTGAGTGGTGATGGGAGGGGGGCAAAGTGAGGAGGGGGATGATGAAAGAGGCAGGAATGGGGAGACAGGAGCTGGTGGTTCTCTTGGGGACTCTCTCACAGCCTGGGAGTGAAAGGGGTTTTCTTCCATGTGTGAACAAACTGTCTTCTTCAGTCGGGTTTAGTGGTGTTGATGGAAGGGACCTGAGGGGACAATAGCTCGCGTGAATGGGGTGAATGAAGAGATGAGTACTTTAGGGTGAAACTCATGGAGAGTTCCCTGGGAATGAAATGTGTTGGACTGGGGAATGATTCCTTGAGGAATTGTGGAAGCCATATTGTTTGGGACTGGACCAAACCTTTGAAAAGAGACCTTTAAGGAGAAATCTTCATAGAATATCAGGGTTGGAAGGGACCTCAGGAGGTCATCTAGTCCAACCCCCTGCTCAAAGCAGGACCAATCCCCAATTTTTGCCCCAGATCCCTAAATGGCCCCTCAAGGATTGAACTCACAACCCTGGGTTTAGCAGGCCAAAGCGCAAACCACTGAGCTATCCCTCCCCCATAAGAATGTAAAAATGGCCATGCTGGGTCAGATCAGTGGTCCATCTAATCCAGTATCCTGTCTTCGGACAGTGGCCAGTACCAGATGCTTCAGAGGGAAAGAACAGGACAGGGCGGTTATCGAGTGAAATTATCAGTAGAAAAGGTGGCATAGATAATCTAACCGGTCTTTGCCAGCACTAGCATCTGGGATTCTCTTGATCTGTCCCATTCTTTTTCAGCATGAAAGAGGCCACAGTGTGGGCTTCCATTTCTGCTTATGCATTGTTATTTGCAGCATCTAGTGAGAAAGGCCGTCTCAGTCAGCACACTAGGTCATGTGACAGCTGAAAACTGGTGTGTACTTGCCTAAATAATCCTTTGGCCTTCTGCAGACCCTCTCTTCCAAGGCTCTCAAAGCACTTTATAAACATACACTAAGGATCCCCACATTTCTGTGAGGTATATAATATAGGAATGCTTTCAACTACATCTGGGGCAGAATGTAGCACCTGTTTAACAGCATGGAAAACATCACATAATAGTTTAGGGCAGGACATAAGGAGCCCTATATACAGTTGAAACAGCAGGGGAATTTAGGTCTGCATAATGGGCCAGAACACCTGAAAATGGCCAGTGTTTAGTGGCCAGCTTCTAAATTTTATGATAAATCTAAACCTAGCCTTTGCAGCAACACGGCACCCATTAAGGAGCATTGACTCAGAGGAGAAAGCACTTTATCATTCATCCAACTACTGTCCCAGCCTGACCCTGCTCGTGTGTGAGAACTGATAGGGTCAGAGGAAATAGTGGTACCTCCGAAGGTGTTAGCTTAGATAGCTGATGTCAACAAATTTCAGAGTGGAAATGTGATGTGATCAGTGAAGTAAATTGCCTAAGGTATGCACATGCTGGTGAGTACTTCTTTCATGGGCAGCAAAGACCTTGTGGACCCCACCCAAAATGGAGACAGTTTGCATCTCCCACAAAACCTAGGCCCTGCTTCTCTATTACAATTAACAGGTGGTGTCGGAGAGCTAATTATGGCCCCTGATTCTCTGCCCAACCCAAAGGACTATTGTAATCTGCACTAGCTGGCATCTGGAAGCTCAGCAGGATGAAGAATCTGCCCCCTCAGCTAAATTTCATGCTCTTCTGGAGGCAAAAATTCATGTCAGGATACCTGGTAGGATGGATTTTCCCGGTCTCCATTTTCTCCTGTCTCTTGCCTTCTAGATTTTTAAAAAACGAGTGCCCAGTCACATGGATTCCTTGCCCAGATTAGGAATCTTGATTCCACAAAAAACTCCTAAACCTTTCCCTGGCAAAAGCTTTCAGAATGTAATCTGCTTGTGGGAGACATGGATGTTTGAGAATGACGATTGTTTATGTAGCACTGTGCAGTGTATGCAGGATTGTTAATATATGTACAGTGCACTGGAAGTTAGGGAAGTACGCAGCAGTACCTCAGTGGAGTCCAGTAAAGGCTACTGGGCTCCTAAATCCTTCAAGGTGGAGGCAGAGGTGTTGGCAGTCATGGAGGATGGAAAAGGGATGCTGGGGTGAAAGAAAGGGAGTTCCCCTTCCAGCCATGTGAGGGTTGAGAATGGAGTGGAAGTGGGTACTTCTGTGCTGGTGGGGGTGGCTCTGGTACAGCTCGTGGGCAAGGGCTAGCCAGTGACCTTGTCAGATATGGCCGTTGGAATGGAAGGAGCACTAACAACTTTTCCTACCACTGCCATGCCTCTCCTGTGTTTAGAGAAGCGCGGTGGGAAAGGGAAATATAAAGAGAGAACAGGAAAAAAACCAAAGGAGGCGGACAGGACTGATATTAACAGGCCTCTCTGTATCCTGGGCAGGGAGTGATATGAACAGGAAGATGAGAGAGAGAGGCAATAAGAGATGGCAGGGGGGGAAACATCATCTTAGAGGAGAAAACAGCAGAAACGTGATAAGCGTGTTTCATTCGGGAAGGGGATATTGTATCTGGACATCTCTCCCAACCGCCACTGCTTCTCCTTATTCCCTTTCTCTCTTCACCTCTCCCTCTTTCTGGGGAGGTGATTGAAGTGTGGGTACCTGTGAGACTTTTAGCTCAGACTCTTATGTTAGGCCTCTTCATTCTGGCATGTAGAAACTTACATAAAATGGTCAAGATAAGCTTAGATGTATATATAATGTGGCTGAAATGAACACAATACAGTAGTGCAATTTCAATAAAAAAAAAAATCACCAGCATTTCTTAAGGAAGCATTTTTCCCAATCCCCGCTGGAGCGTGGAGTTAGATTTGTCTCTCCACTTCCAGAAGTCTCCAGCCTCTACTGCTCTGAGTACAATGCAGAGGGCAAAGCTACAGAAGGGGCCATTTTATTAGCAGTCCTGGGTTGTGTACTGCCTGCCTTCTTCTGTCCCAGAGATGGCTGCCTTTCGGTGGTGGGTGAAGGGACACCCTATTGAATCTGGAATGCATGCTGGAATCGTGAATGATGGGTGCTATAAACTAAAGGATGTATCTATAAATACAAGCACGCAATATTTATTCTGTGCCAGCTAGTTTAAAAGTTGTCTGCCTCACAGCCCAGTTTGACAGATGAATATAACTTGATTATTTCATCTAGCATGAGTGTTCCATTTTAAGAGATTGCACCCTTACAGGCATGTGTGAGTTATTCAAGCTTTTCCTCCTCAAGTTCATTCCTTGAGAAGCATTGATATTATTAAGCTTCAATTAACATGCACATTATTCATGGAGCTTTACAGCGGTACATGCTCAGAATGCCATATTATCCTTTTCCCCCCAAAAAAACATTTAATTTTCACTGCAGCAAAGGAGACCATTGAGTCTGTTGTCACAGAATGAAGGTTTTCTTTTGTTATTTTACAAAAGAACTTCAGTGCTTGCTCCAGGTAACAGCAAGAGACAAATCTGTAAACCCTACTCTTATTAAATGAGCCTAAATCAAAGAGCGCTGCCGACTCTGATAGGGAAGATTTGCATTTTCTTGCCTGGTAGTTGCTGGTGCCAGACAGACGCTGTTGATTCAAAATTCATGTGGAGCAACAGTCAGCCCAACGTGTTTATTGCCGATTGATTTTTTTCCTCTGTCTTTCCCGGCCACGGTGTAGTTTGAATGCTAACAGATTACCATTGTCTTTAGCAGAAGCAACAGCAAAACAGAGCGTTAAACACACAAGCCCGTATGTGCTGCTTTACATCTACAAAACACTTGACAGGTGTGTAAACTGAGGCAGCGATTTGCCCAAAGCCAAACAGCGAGTTGGTGGTTCTGAGTCTCCGGGTCTGTCTAGTGTAATCCCAGGTGTGATTGCAGCATGGATAGCCATACGCATGGTAGCACAGCTAAAAATGACAGTGTAAACATAGTGGCATGGGTTAGCAACGCAAGTATATACTCAGGATCCCAGTTGCGCTTGTCTTGCTCTGAAGCCCCTGTTGCCCTGTCTATCTACATTGCTGTTTTTAGACATGACAGTGCAGATAGCTAGTGGGGGTATGTCTACCCATGCAGTAATCACATCTCAGCTTGCAGTGTAGACATACCTTCAGTGATCTGCCCCCTTCTCTTGCACTTTCCATTAGTAGGAATAAATGAAGGAGGGGATGGTGCAAATGGGCATTTATAGTTTTCTGAAAGATATTCCTGGGTGGAATCAGGTTTGATTTTTTTTTGAGCTGTAGCTGGCAGAAATTCTTCTTGTGTTGTAAAAAGAAAAGGAGGACTTGTGGCACCTTCGAGACCAACAAATTTATTTGAGCATAAGCTTTTGTGAGCTACAGCTCACTTCATCGGATGCACCGATGGATACTGGGCTGTAGCTCACGAAAGCTTAGGCTCAAATACATTGGTTAGTCTCTAAGGTGCCACAAGTCCTCCTTTTCTTTTTGCGAATACAGACTAACACGGCTGTTATTCTGAAACCTGTTCTTTTGTTGTGTAATTCAAAACTTCTTTTCTCTACTCCAGTTACAGCAAAGCTCACAAGTAGGAAATAAGAATGAAGGTTACGCTTGTAAGATATGAGAGCGTATTCTGGAAAGCCGTGACTCAAAGAAGTGCTTAGGGTTCGTGGTAGATAGTGATACCAATTGAACTTAGCTACAGCTTCACACTGGCAGCTCAAGAGGGAGAGTATGATCCTTGGATATATGAGCAGGGGAATATAAAGTAGGAATATGGAGGTGGTACTACTTCTGTATATGACACCAGGGAGACCATTATTCAAATATTATGTCCAGTGCCAGGGTCCACACTTCTAAAGGGATATTGAAAAATTGGAAAGAGTTCAGAAAAGAGCCACATGAGTGATTTATGTACTGGAAAATGCCTTCTAGCAGGAGACTAAAGAAGCTTACCCTGCTTTATTCAAGAGAAGGTTAAGAGGTGACTTGAGCACAGTCTACAAGTGTCTATGTGAGGAAAAGATTTTTGATAGATGGCTCTTTATCAGAAACAGTCATGAGATCCAATGGTTGGAAGCTGAGGCTAAGCATATTTAGACTAGAAATAAGGTGCACGTTTGTAACAATGAGGGTAAATAATCACTGGAACAGAATTAGAAATTAGGCACTTTTTTTTTTTTTTTTTTTTTAAGAACAGGGTGATTTACCACTGGAACAAACTTCCAAGGCACATGGTGGATTCTCCATCCCTTGATGTCTTCAATTCAAGACTGGATGCCTTTCTGGAAGATATACTTTTGCCAAACGTAAATTATACTTTAGTCAAAGACCAAGATACTGGGCTCAGTATAGAGATAACTGGGTGAAAGTTAATGGCCCATGAGATCAGACTGGATAATCTAATAGGCCCTTCTGGCTTTGAACTCTATGACTAAATCAAGACTGGATGTCTTTCTAAAAGATTTAATCTGTCTCACCAATAAGCTGTAGACTTGATGCAGAAATAGAGTGCAGTTCCTTGGCCTGTGTTAGGAGAATTAGACTAGAAGATCAAAATGGCCCTGTCTAGCCTTAAGAAGCTATGAACTCAGTGGGGCTCTGTGTGGGCATAGTGACTAGCAGGATCAGGGTCTATTTTAAGTGCTTCAATTTTGGGGTGTTCCACTTGAGTTCAGGCCTAACTTTTAAAGGTGGTGTGCACCTAGTGACTTCACTTGGAGTCGTCAGTGCTCAGTATTGCTGAAGGTGGCAAGTGCAGAAGCAGTAAAAGGAAATATTTTTTCACACAATCAGACTGGAAATCTGCCACAGGAAGTCATTGAGGCCAAGAATCTAGGAAGTTTCAAAAGGGGATTGGACATTGATATGGATAACAAGAATATCCAGATTTCAGAGTAACAGCCGTGTTAGTCTGTATTCGCAAAAGGAAAAGGAGTACTTGTAGCACCTTAGAGACTAACCAATTTATTTGAGCACGAAAGCTCATGCTCAAATAAATTGGTTAGTCTCTAAGGTGCTACAAGTACTCCTTTTCTTTTTAAGAATATCCAGAGTTACCAACAAATCACCAACAAACTCTGGAAGGGATATTAACCCTCATGTTTCTGGGCTTAAAACAGTCTCTAACGATTAGAAATTAAGAGGAGACCTAATGCAGGGGGAAGATTATCTCACTACTGCCCACTGCAAAGTTCTTACACCTTCCTCTGAAGATCTGGTGCTGGCCCCTGGTGGAGATCGTAGACAAGACAAGATGGACCTCAGGTTTGATCCAGGCTTGCAGTTCTTATGTTCATAAATATCAGACTTACGGTGTATTAAATTAGTGATGCAAAACCAGAGCTAGTCAAAATGAGTGGCCCTGTTGAGAATACGGGCGTTAGTGTCTCCATCTTTATAATGTGGATAATACAGTCTCAGAGGGGGTTGTGAGAATTAATTAATGTTCGCAAGATAGAGTAATGCTGGCTATGCTAAGTATTATTATTATTGAGCAGATAGATTGTAATTGTTCTGACTATGAAAAAAATCTCCTCATGACATTGTGTTCAAAAATAGTTTCTGAGCTCCTCTACACAGCTGCCACATTTCCAAGTTAAATATCTCAGCTGGGTGTTACATTTGTTTTCAAAATACCGAGAGAGATAAGACCACAGCGGGGACTGATGGTTTGCCAAATATCTTTGTGGGCCTTTCAAAATCAAAACCATGTGAGTTTCCTGGACTACACTAGAAAGGACGTGTCACTGGCAAAAGTGCAGCCCAGAACATGAATTGTCCGAGAGCCCTGGAATGAGGGGGGTTAGGATTAGAGTCAGGATGGTTTTATGGTGAAGGGAGTAGGAAGCAGAGTTCAGTTCTGGGGGCTTCCACGCACTTCCTCTGTAACCTTGGCAGCGAGTCAGAGTCTGGGTCAACTGACTTGGGCTCACCCGGTGGGCTAAAAATTGCAGCATAAACATTTGGGCTCGGGCTGGACTCTGAAGCCTGGTGAGGCAGGAGGGGCTTAGAGCTCCCGCCCGAATGTCTGCACGGCTGTTTTTCGTAGCATGAGCCTGAGTCAGTTGACCCAGGCTCTGAGACTCGCTGCCATGGGTTCTTTGCTGTGTAGAGCTACCCTCTTGTGCCTCAAATCCCCATTTGTAAAAGGGGGCTACTACTTTCTTCCACCATCTTGTTCCTTTAGATTGTAAACTCTTCTGGGCAGGGAGCGTCTTTTACCGTGTGGCTGTAGGGCGCCTTGTAGAATGGGGCCCCAATCTTGCTAGGGATCTCTATGCACCACTGGCACACAAATAATAAAGAAGTTGTGTGGTAGAAATGCTAACGGGGGGATCGAGGGCCATTTAGACAACAATCCAGCATGGTGGATGCTTCCAAAATCAGCAACATGTTTATGAGGACCCATTAAATGAGAACGAAACATACATTAGTGCATGGTGAGTTCCTTCTCTATCTTAAAATGCTAATTTACAGCATAAATACAGAGAAAAATTAATCCCCCAAGGAAAGAAAACTGACTTCTTTAAAAACAACCCATCACCAGTGAACATGCCGCTACCAGCAATTTCCCACCCCCCATATCCTTGAGATGAAAACTCAGACGCTGTAGAAGGTACAAACTCTTCAGCTGGGGAAATGTTTGGAGAATCAGGCTCGCAATGATACATCAAAAGCATGCATGATTTTGTTGGAGGATGTATCAATGGTAAAGTTTATGCTTTGAATGTGAAACAGAGACCAGAGAAACTGGAAAATAGTTTTCAAAGAGATGAAAGAAACTCAGACCATACAAATCATAGAAACATAGGACTGGAAGGGACCTTGAGAGCAGAGGTAATCTAATCCAGTCCCCTGCACTCATGGCAGGGCTAAATGTTTGATGCACTGTTCCTTAAACAAGTTATGCTAAATTAGGGTCACAACTATATGCATATTAGAGGTACCTGCTAGCACAGAATTCTGGAGCTAGTAGAGTTTGCATAGATACTTTGTGGAAATTTGCTAAAGCTTAACATACAGGATGACCTGTAGCTGTGGAAAAATGCTATCGACTCTCTTCCAAGGCAGCACATACCAAATCTTCAAACGGAGGCATGATGGCAGCTTTTTCTGGTAAACAGGAGTGGAAGCAAATTCTCACAGAAGGTGGGTTTAAAGAGGACTTACATTTGATGATGACTCATAAATCCTTTTCCTCTTTTCCCTGCTCTGAGTCCAGAGATGCAAAGCTAGGAGGCGGAACTTGAGAGATGAAAAAGGACTTTCAAAGCAGAAAGAGTGGGAACTTCATTTTTATTCGCAGCAGAATTTAGAATTATAAATCAAGGGAAGAAGATTATACATCTTGAAGGATGTTATTTAGCGCTCTATTTGCAGCTTTAAAATTAGTAAGCGAGCACATTAGGACCTCGGAAGAAGAATAGCACAAGCAAATTCTGCAGCCTGTTATAATGGTCGAAGGTTGGGAACATGTTTGCCCCAATTCATCCCTGGTGTAAAGCCAATGGAATTACATCCAGTATATATTTAGCTCCCTTGAGAGACTGTGTCTTATGCAGTTAACAAGACAGAAAAAAGGATGTTAAAAATATGTTATGAAAAAAGAAAACTGGACTTACGTTCTCTATATCTTTCATTCTCCTGTACAGTCCTGCAGCACTGCCAACTCCAAACATGAAAGAGTAATGAGTCAGCCCTCCCCATAAATCACACAATTGGCTTAAAAGTCACGAGATTTTAAAAATTAATATATCTGGGTTTTCTTTTTTTAAGTTTGCCTTCTGACTTTTGAAGCATTTAGGAGTCACGTTTTCAAGCTTTGTAGCCGTGAAGGCAAAAAACTTACTTTTATTTGTTTTCAATTAAAGTGGAGAGTTTCACATAAATACCACGACTCTGGCAGCTAGGCCTTTAAGAAACACACCAAATATCACGAGACTTGCATTAAACATGTGCAAGTTGGCAACACCCCCCTTGTATTCCCTCATATTAGTCTCCTGTCTGTTTTAGTTCCATCGTGGATACGCACGCATGTGTGTAGGCTGTACAGTATATTCCGGGTGTATTTACAGTAAGAGCTACTGGAGCTTGCCGCATATTGTACTGGCATATACTGCGATTGCTGATGCTTAAAGAAACTGCCAATAACGATGAAGTAGAAAGAAAAGGAGGACTTGTGGCACCGTAGAGACTAACCAATTTATTTGAGCAGAAGCTTTCGTGAGCTACAGCTCACTAAGAAATGCTAACAGGTTTGTAATAAGAGTTTAATGGCACCGCAGATAGAGAAGCTAGAAAAAATGAAAGGATTGTCCCTTGGCTTCCCAGGAGCATTGCAGAAGAGCATGTAGACCAGTCAAGTTTAAGAAAAGGAAACAGAAAGTGTTAGGGCAAAGTTTGTGGGAAAAGAAGGAACCGTGGGTCCAGACGTTTACAGTCAGCTCACGGGTCACAGCTATTTGGAGAGAAAGAAAAATTAAACGATTTTCTCTGTTTACATACAAAAGATTCATGTGAGTAGCCCAAATGACAAAGCGGGTAGCTTACTAAAACATCCAGATCTCACAGTGAGATAATCACTTAAGCACCCACATTGGTTACAAGCTCGTTCTGCTGATAGCATTCCTGTTGCTTTTCTGCCTACGTTTTGACCACGTTTTTTTCAGTCTGACTCCCAAACGCAAACTGTGATATTTGTGGATTAAAGCCTCTTCACAGCACCTGACAACTTGCCCACAACAGCCTGCGAGGTAGTTAAGTACCATTATCCCCACTTTACAGAAGGAGAGACTGAAGCATAGAGAAAGGGTACTTGCCGGAGATCTTGCCGCAAACTAACGAGCTGGGACAAGGAATTCCTACCTGCCAGTCCAGCTTTGATAATCCTTTGGATGCATTTAACGTTTGTATCTATAAGAGAGTCAAACAAAAAAAGTTAAAGACTAAGGGTAAAAATTTTCAAATGTGCCCAAGTTCCAGGGCTTTGGCCCAGATCCTCAAAGGTATTTAGGCACCCAACTCCCATGGGAATTAGGCACCTAATACCTCTGAGGATCTAGACTTTTGGCACCTATTATTTGTATTATCATAGCACCAAGGAGGCCTAGTCAATTAGGCACCTACGTGCTTTTGAAAATCCCCCTAGGCTTCTATCTCCATCTGTAGGTACCAAAATACCTTTTAAAATCTGCCATGGAGCCCTTAGGAACCTTGTCTTTTAATGAGATTTAACACCCTAGGTGCCTAAATCACTTTTGAAAATGGACTTAGGGGCCTAAGTCATTTAGATATCTTAGACATGTGAGCTTTGCCTGAGATTTTCAATCTCCCCTCATGAATGGAGGGATTATTTTTCTGCCTCCTGTTTAGGCACCACCAGTTCTGAGGAGACAAAGCAAAATCTTTCCCCTCCCCTTTTCTGGTTGGAATGGTTTGAGGTGGTTTAGGAGGTTCAGAGGGGATCCAAATGTAAAACGCTAGTTATTTAGGTCTGTACAATGAGCTGCTTTCTTTGCCATCATTCCTCACCCGTGTTAACAGCCGGCCAGGGAAAGGCAGGGGTGGGGGAGACTTGGCTTGCAGGTTTCACTCTGATTCTTCGCTCTGATTTCTCAAAAGACTCATAACACTTTTGAAAGAGACTGAGAGAAATAATTAAGTCAAAGAGCAAATTGAAGGCCAAGTCCTATAAGTCTCTGGGCAAAGATCCTGCTCCTGTTGTAATTAGCATTTCCTGCTGATGTTATTAATTGCGTCCGGCTCCCCACCCACACGTTTCTAAAAGGGTTGGGCAGAGGCTGTCTTCCATTTCCATGTGATGGTGGCGGGGAGGAGAGGGGTCAGCTTACCATGTGCGTTTCCTGAGGAAGTGGGCAGGTCAGTTGTCTGTTTCTATTTAAACCTGATCTCCTTGCACTTCACCCCACTTCCCCACCCCCAGTCTGTCCTAAAAATGGAGAGAGATCGACACAGATGGCCTTTTTGTTTAAGCAGTTAGGCCCAGCATGTAATTCTCACCTCCAGTGGGACTAGAGGACAGCACCTCCCATGGTCTGGCCTCAGAGCTTCTACTACCCTCTATGACAGTGGTTCTCAACTAGGGGTTCACGTACCCCTGGGGGCACGCAGAGGTCTTCCAGGCAGTCCAACAACTCACCTAGATATTTGCCCAGTTTTACAACAGGTGACATAAAAAGCACAAGCCAAGTCAGTACAAACGAACATTTCATCTAGACAATGACTTGTCTATACTGCTCTATAGACTATCCACTGAAATATAAGTACAATATTTATAGTCCAGTTGATTTATAATAAGGTACAAATGAGAAAGTCAGCATTTTTTTCAATAACAGTGGGCCGTGACACTTGTATTTTTATGTCTGATTGTGTAAGCAAGTAGTGAGGTGTAACTTGGGGTATGCAAGACAAATCAGACCCCTGAAAGGGGTACAGTCATCTGGGAAGGTTGAGAGCCATGTCAAGGTTCCTTCCCCACTCTGAACTCTAGGGTACAGACATGGGGACCTGCATGAAAGACCCCCTAAGCTTATTCTTACCAGCTTAGGTTAAAAACTTCCCCAAGGTACAAACTTTGCCTTGTCCTTGAACCCTATGTTGCCACCACCAAGTGTTTTAAACAAAGAACAGGGAAAGAGCCCACTTGGAGACGTCTTCTCTGCGAGACATTACAGTAGCCCTGAGCTTACTGTGTTGTCCAAGGAGACCACAGAGGGTCTTTTGCAGTAGAAGAGAGGCATTACTCAGTTGCAACGAAGATAAGAGGGATTTCTTTCATTTAGGACGCCAGGCACAGACATGACGCCGCAGCTTCCAGATTCACTCAACTTGGCCTTTGCTGCCGACGAGCACGTCCACCCTGCAACTTGGAGGGGTAATTTCCGGCTTGCATAGACATACAGGCGCTAGTTCCGATCAAGCCGGTGCGGTGAAAATAGCCGTGCAGCCACAGCGGCTCAGGCTACCTGCCCAAGCACGAACCTAGGATCTTGGACAGGACCGCACACGGGTAGCCAGCCCTTGCTGACACAGATACACTGCATTTTTAGCACGCGAGCTCAGTCAAAGCCAGTGCGTGTACTTTTACCCAAGGGTACAGGGTGGCTCCACTCTAAATGCCACTACACTGGGGTTTCCTGAATCTCAGCCTGGCTAAAGCAAATCATGGGAGAGACCGTAGACTCAATCACAGCACCCTAGAGCTGCTGGGGCCGGGAGCAAGGTTAGACCATGGGCCATTCGTCAAGATTTGCTGGCTCATGCTTGTTAGAATCCATGTTACAACTGGTGGCAGCTGGGAGCGTCCTCCCCATGGACTGAGACGGCATGTGGGAGCTGGCCTCCGTTGGGAGTCACTCTTTAGTATACCTTACAATTCCCCAACTGGGGAACCAAGGATTCAAATTATCGACAGGATATCCAGTAATCTAGCAAAGGAACCGACTAGCCTTATTTTCCCCCCAAGCAGGATAACGACAGCTACAGGCTGATTGTAGTGGGGCGGGGGTGTTATGGTTCCCTTACATCTACCTGCTGCCGGTACAAAACACCAGGCCTGCTGTATAGGGGGAAAGCATGTGGCACTGCCTAAGTAATAATACAAATAGAGCAAAGATCATGGCATGGCACCGGGGAAGGGAAGGGAAGGGAAGAGAAGCCATGTTCCAGGAACCTGCTAGAGGGGATGGGGCACATATGCTGGATGTATCTGTATTACCATAGCACCTAGGAGTCATGGATCAGCATCCTGCTGGATCTGGCGCTGTACATGCACAGAACAAAGACAGTCATTGCATCACCGGCTCTGCATGAACCGCGGAACTACTTCTCCGCACTGCTCTTGTGAGTATAAAGCCCTTTGCAGGCGTGAGTCACCACAAACAGCACATTCTGGGCGCCAGAGAGAGAAACTGACCATTGTTTTAGTGGGGGAGGCAATAAAACCCATCAGCCACGTTGCACTCCAGCAGCTGCAGCTGGGGTGCTCCCTGCAGCTTCTCGGTCATCCGTGGCGCTTCATTACAAGACTTGTCAAGCTCGGGGGTTGAATTCAGCCCCACAGTATCGACGGGCCGTGAAGCAGGCACAGCTGGCTGGAGTGAGGCTTGCAAACAGCCCAGCGACTTCAAGTTCCCTCGCTGCTGACTTTCTCTGGCAGGCGCGCAATCCCCTGAGCTGATGGGTTTGCTGGGAAAAGATTTGCAGTTTGGAGCAAGGACAAAAGAATCGCTCGGCTTTGCCCCCTGCCACCAGCAGCACCATATCGATAAACTTAATGGAGTCGCTCTCAGGGTCTCAGACCTTATCAGCCCTTCAAATCCTCCCCCACCTGCAGTACATAGGCCTTTGCTTCCGCCCCCGGGGCCTGAAGCGATACCATCTTGCGCTCAAGTCAGGACAGTGCTCAGAAACTCAGCAGGGTCCAGGGGCGTCAGCACTTCAACGGGGGCTCTCCATGGCGCCCTCTTCTGAGTCAATGTCCCAGGGCAGCGCTCAGGGCTCGGCAGTGTCGGGGCGGTACAGAGGAAGCATTAATCCTGTCTATTATGGTATGCCCAAGGGCCAACCAAGAGCAGGGTCTCCATTGTGCTAGGCACCGTACAGAGCAGGAGACGGCCCCTGCCCTGAAGAGCTGCCAAGCTAAATAGATGAGACGATCAAAGCGTCGGGGGTGCAGGACACCATATACAACCCCAAAGCCCCAGTAAGATGCTAGGTGTCGGAGATGCCTGGGAAGCACCATTGCCCTGGCCCTGGCTCTTGTGATCATTAAAAATAAGAGCCTAGGAATTAACCCACCATTAACTAGGGTCACTAATGTTGTAACTCCCTGAATCCGCCCTGCAGGTTCCCTGGATGGAGAAGTCTCCTTCACTTTCCTTAGTTTTATTTACGTGGGTTTGATGAAATGCCCGGTTGCACACCACGAGCATTCATGGATGATACACAGACAAGACGCAAACCAACTCCCCCCTCCTCCAAAAAATCGTACACATTGTGTACACAGTGCTGCATTTCCTGACCTCTTAGCAGCCAAACCAATCACCTAAATTTTTGCAGGTTAAAAAAAAAAAAAAAAATCAAATCACACCCCAACCAAGAGAGTTATACCCGTACAACAACTGTGTGCAGAGCAACCCTTAGACACAGACTCTGTCTACATGGAGCGGCAACACACGCTACAGAGGTGAGATTTCTAAAGTGCACTGACGTGTTGCACACATTAATGGCTGCACGTAGACTCTGCTAGTGCAAACAGAGTTCCCTAGTGCACTTGAATGTTGTGCTAAACAGCTCACTGTCCAGATATCCTCCCATTCTCTCTTCCAGAGGGTGACGGTGCTGAGGACCTAGTCCAGGGCCAGGGACTTCACCAAAGTTCGAATATCCTCGCTCATTGCTTTGGCCATCTGGGATCCCAGCCATAGGTCACCCCATTCTGTTTCTGGGACAAGTGCGCCCCGAGGTCTCGCTCCATGGCAGCCACTTGGAATTTTCCCTTTGGACAAGAGGCAAACGGAGGCCTCTGGAAATGAATTGTTAGGCTTAAACTTCACTAAGTGTGATGGAGGATTCTCCATCCCTGGCGATTTGTAAACCAAGGCTGGATGTTTGTCTAAAAGCTCTGCTCTGGGAATGATCCTGGGGCAGTTCTCTGGCTTGTGGTACACAGGAGGTCGGACTAGATGAGCCCAATGGTTCCTTCTGGCCCTGAGTTGGTTATTCATGGAAGAGGAACGAGCGCCAGTTTATCGGGAATGGCTTGGTCTGGGAGCAGACTTTCATGCCTCATGTTAGGGCTGCGCATGGGCACAAATGGGAAGGTTTTTTTAATTCCTGTATGCAAAAAAGTACGTCCTGTAGGTTCCCAGCCTCTGTTAGGAGATGGAGTCTGCCCAGAGAGGGTCGTGCACACTAGAGAGGGGATACGTGCCTCTCCCCAGTGCTTCCATCCGTGGATCTGAAAACTCAGCCTCAGAACAGCCCCGGGAAGTCTGCATCATCCCCGGGTTAGTGCTGGGATATGTGAGGAAACAGAGGGGAGGCGACTTGCTCCCAGGCAGTGGCACAGCTGGGCCTCCCCACAGGAACGCAGCATAGCTCAGTGGGCAGAGCATTGGGCTGGGACTTGCGACACGGAGTGACTTGCTGCTCCATCCGCTGAGTGACCTCAGGCAAGTCACGTCCCCGCTCCGTGCCTCAGTTTCCCCTATCTGTAAAATGGGGATAATGCTACTGACCGTCTTTGTAAAGCGCTTTGAGATCCACTGAGGAAAAACACTATATCGGAGCTAGGCATTATTACTATTTCCTCTGCCCTAACCACTAGGCCGCCACTCCTCTCCCATAGCTTGGAACAGAACCCAGCAGTCCTGACACCCGTCCCCACCTCCTCTGCTGTAGCCCCTAGACCCCAATTCCCTTCCAGGGCTGGGAATAGAACCCAGGTGTCCTGACTCCCAATTATCTGCCCCCACCACCTCTTCTTTCTGTTTCTGTTGTTTAAGTGTGAACTGTCTCCAAGATGGATTCTTTCCCATTAACAGTTTTCTACCAACATCTAACACTGCCGCTGCTTTATTTCCCTGTGACCTTCAAACGAAGCGGCGGAGGGGAAAGTGCCTTTGAAAGACCTCCTTCGGGACCTTAGCCCTGGCCTAGCAGGGTGCTTGCCACTCAGGCAGGCAGGCATCGATCTCTGAATACAAGACAATGTAATAGACTTTCCACCAAAAACAGCAGCGGCCTCCCCAATTCCTGGGTGCCTCTGATACATTAATTTCTTCACACTCTTTTTACCAGGATAATAGCTGGCACGATCGCAGTTAATAGCAACGGAGCAGTTGTCTCCATGACAACATTAGACCCTATTAAAATCACCCTCATCTGTCTGTCTCCTAGGGACAATAGGAACAACTGAGGGGAAGGGAAGAAATGATATTCGGGCTTGTTTGTTTATCTCTCTTGCTTTAAGATTCCCCATCTCTCTGCTGAGTTGGTCCAAAGCCCAGAAGACTCCTCAGTGGACTCTGGTCTACTTCCGAGCGATCTATCAAGGGGAGAACTGCAGTTTTAGATCCGCACAGGGCCCGGTTCCCATGTACACGCAGGCCTCTTTACGGCCATTCAGCAGCAAAAAGGGCCTCGTTACAGTGGGCACAGATTAACTGACGCTCAATTGGAAGCCCCTTTCCCATGCCGGAGCAGTGCCACGGAGAACAAAGCGCCCCAGAATTTAAGATTGGATTGTGGAGGAAGATGGAGCAGTGAGTCACCAGTCCACCCACATGTGGCCCGTTTCAGCCCCTGGGCTCTTGAGGGTTTTTATTACATGGGCTGGGGTGGGGAGAAGGTGCCCCCTACATCGCTGGCAGCCATTGGGACTGCTTTGGTCTAAGCCCACTGGAGCATCACATTTAGAGCCAGTCTCTCAACTCAGGTTTGCCTTGCGGGTGGCACAAGGTTACTACCATCTAACAGCCAACAAAACTGGGATACTTCTTGCCCTAACCCCTCTCTTGGTATCTGGTATCTCTCGATCTCCGGCTCCTTCCAGTTACCCAGAACAGTCTTCTTGTCTCCCTTCCCTGCCGTCTCCCCCCTACGCACGCACAAAGCTTCTGCACAGATTTTGCTCTCCGTCTCGGGCCTCCATCCGCCTCCTCGTTGCTTTTCCTGCTGCATTAAGATGTGCAGGGCGTTTAACTGCATTATGTAATTCTAGAACGGCGTAACGTTTCTGTGACTTAGATCTCTAACACAGTTCACGATTCAAAGCAGCTCTGTCCCATGATTAGGGCCAGAGAGGGTAGACGGTACCATCGGTAGTTTTATGCTAGTAACTTGCACTCTCAATGTGCACACGGTTACCTAGTGGTCAGAGGACAGGCCTGGGGTCAGAAAATTGTCCCATTACTCATAAGCAGCAGCGAGAGAATATGGTCTGCCACTGAGTCACTTTGTGATCTTGGCCAAATCACCTGCCCTAGTTTTCTCATCTGTAAACCAGGTGGAAATGACAGCTGCCCAGCTCTGCAAAGTGCTCTTCAGTCCTGTGGAGAATGGTGCTGCAGCTGCTCTGTCTCGGCCAGCAGCTCTCAACCTTTCCAGATGACTGTACCCCTTGCAGGAGTCTGATTTGTCTTGCGTACCCCAAGTTTCACCTCATTTAAAAACCACTTGCTTGCACAATCAGACATAAAAATACAAAAGTGTCAGAGCCAGCTAGTGCTGACAAATGGCTGACTTGCTCATTTTTACCATAGCATTAGAAAATAAATGGATTGGAATATATTGCAGTTACATTTCAGTGTGATACTTCAACCAGTTTTTTCCACTTGTGAGCCTTGTCTGAAGCCTGAGCCCTGCCGCCCATGGCTGAAGCATGTAACTTAGCTTCATAGAGACCCCTGTGGTGTGAGGCTCTGGGCAACTGCCCTGCTTGCCAGCCCCTATGGCCGGCCCTGCACTTACAATCCCCCAAACCTGTCCCGTAACCACCAGGTTGAGAAACACTGATCAAGATAAGTTGAGTACCCCCTGGAAAACCTTTGTTCACCCCCAGGGGTACACGTACCTCAGCTGAGAACCACTGCTCTAGAGGCCACAACAGAGGTGAGAGGCCCATAGTGCCAGGCGCTGCACAGACACATAGCAAGAAAGATCCCACTAGAGTTCGCAAGCTAGGCACGACAGGCAAAGGAAGGCTTATTCTCTTTTCACAGAAAGGAAACTGAGGCATGAAGATGTTACAGGCCAGATGCTCAGTGGGAGTCTGTCAAAGGTGTCTGGGCCTAAGTGACCTTCCCAGGACAAGACTGGAGAGCGAAGCCAGATCTCCTGAGTCCCAGCCCAGTGCTTTAACCACCAGAGCACCCACCATCTTCAATCCGTGAGTGGCAGTCACAGGATTACCTGGGTGTCAGAGCTGAGCGTCCCAGTTCCACAGCAGATCTTTCCTGAACCCACAAATGTTCCGAGGGAGCTAGTGGTTCTTACACCTGTGTCACATTTGAATCGAAAGCTCGACTCATAGATCTCGCCCCTTCCATTTGCACCCATGCAGAACCTCCCGGTGGCCAACGCAAACACTTCCTGGCTGACAAGAGGAAGTGTTTCACTAGAGGCAACATTTCTGTGGAGTATGAGCTTTGGAACAGGCCATGAGAGAAACACCTCTAACCAGGAAAAGTGAGATGCAACAAAGCCGGTGGTTTCATGGAGGCAGAACAGACAGCCTTTGACCTGCCTGCAAAAGCAACAACATTGCTTTTACGGTCTCCAAGCTCTCATGGCTCTTATTACCAGCAGCAAAACGAACCGCAGAGAAGCATCACTGACGGGGAAGAGACAGGACGTGAGTCACTTGGATTACAAAATCCAGCCTGCATTACTTGAAAGGTTCATGGACTTTTGGGGTGAATCTACCCCCAGCTGTGATCAAATGGGAGGCTAAAATATGGTCTCGGCTCAATTTTTGGTGTGTTCACACCTGAACTCAAAGCAAACGCCAGGAAGCATCAAGTCACACTGATCAAAATCCTTGACGGAGTGTCACAGACGTACGTCCATGTCCTGAAACCCCCAAGATCCACTCATAGAATTGGTATGTGCTCTGTAAATTGACAAAAAACACAAGATAATCATGGTACATGAGCCTGTGACGGTCTTGGGTCAGAACCAGGCAGTGACCCAAATGCAACATCTGGCCATCACACAAGAAATTACTCAGCACTTCTCCCCGATCTCATTGGCTGATAATTTGCCCTCCATCTGGAGACTCACTGACTCTGGCTTCGCCTACACCAGTGATTTGCAAACTTTTGTCCTGGTGACCCCTTTCACACAGCAAGCCTCTGAGTGTAACCCCCCTTTATACATTAAAAACTTTTTTTTATATTTAACACCATTATAAATCCTGGAGGCAAAGAGGGGTTTGGGGTAGAGGCTGACAGCTTGGGAACCCCCACATAATAACCTCACGACCGCCTAGTCTACACTGATCAGCCCTGATTTCAGCCCGCCGTGCAGCTACCCCACTCAGGTACGGGAGGCTCACTGTAGGTCGAGCCTTCAATTAGCGAATGGGAAAGAAAGAGAACGTAGGTGAAGAGCAGCAAAGGGAAACAGAGGCCAGAGCTAGGCTGCGTGACCGGCTGCCGCTGGTGGTCTCAGCTGCTCCATGGAGTTACCGTCAAATATTGGCGATTCTCTGAGCAGCGAGTCACCCTGAAAAACTGCAGGGCATTGATGTCTGGCTAGAGCCAAGGGCTTTGCGCCTTCCTCCATTTAAAGCCTTGAAGCTCAGGGTTCTGTGACATGGGGGGGTTGAGCAGGATCCCGGGCACAGTTTGTGTGAGGGGAGGGATAAATCTGAGCCCCTACTGGTGAGGGACAAGGTGGGACTCAATGGGGCTTTTCCATCTCTAACTTCTCTGGCTTTATAAGGCAGTTCTCACTTCCAGAACACGCTCCCGTTTGTTCTTACGGACTGTAATCAAGTGTCCCCCATACAGTCTATAAATACTGTCACTGGGAACAAAGAGTTAGTAACGGGCTCTCCCATCTAGCTAAGGAAGGTCTAACATGATCCAGGGGCTGGGGATTGAAGCTAAGATTCAGGAGGAAAACAAAGAACACATTTTTACCGGTGAGAGTAATTAACAACTGACCAGGGTGGTGCTGGAGTGTCAGTCACTGATCATTTCAAAATCCGGGCCGGATGTGCTTCTAAAAGCTCTGCTTGAGCAATACTTTGGTGATGGGGCTGGGGAGGTCCTGCGGTCTGTGTGATACAGGAGGCCAGACTAGACGGTCCCTTCGGCTTCGGAATCTATGAACCTACCCGAGTGGTTCGGGCTATAGACTTTCATCAGCCACCCTGGGCAGCTCGCAGAACAGTGGCAAGTACAGCTGATGGGGCTCTGGTGAGACCCTAAGAGGCAGGATTGTTCTCCAGTCTGAGACTCCAGGGCCGTGTTTTAAATATCGGGCTGGGATATGGGACTGGGACCTCCCATGGACATACCCCAAATCAGGAGAGAGCTGGAGACAGAACCCAGGAGCCCTGACTCCCTCCCCTCCCCTGCTCTAACCCACTAGCTCCCACCCCTCTCCCAGAGCTAGGAACAGAGCCCAGGAGAGCCCTGACTCCCAGCCCCACCCCAGCAATTTCTTCCCACTCTCTGGAATCAGGAACCAGGTACTTACCACTAGACACGCAGCGTGCAGCTTTCCACAAACACCCGTGTATGTTAACGCATCTTTCACTTTCTTTTGATGAGTGTAGGGGACTGGACTAGGTGACCTCTCCCTTCCAGTCCTAGGACTGACGCCCACTGCAAGGGCAAACAAGTCGTGTTTTGTGCCACGGGCCCTGCAGCCACTAGGAAGCCAGCCTACCTGTACAATGCAACTATTGTTTGCCTACAAGAATGTAAAGAATAAATTCCCTGCTGCTTTGTCATTGTGCTAAACTGTGAAAAATTGCTCCTTAAGCCTTCGCACTTCAGGGACTTTCGCCTTTCCAGAGCAGCCACTCTAGATTTTCCGCAGTGTGAAACCCAGGCAGGAATGGTAACAAGCCAAGTGCGGTAGTTATTTCCCAGGGAAATGTAGTTAGTAGAATGGAGTGTCTTCCCACTAGTCCCATGAAAACAACCACAGAGAACTCCTGGGCCCAGCTCAGCGGGAGCTGGACGAAATGCAATGGCTTGTGTTGGACAGGTCAGACTAGAGGATCTAATGGTCCCATCTGGCTTTAAGCTCTAGGAGTTGAATATCAAATGTAGTAAGAGTTTGGCTTAATCGTTGGATTTATTAGAAACTTTCCCTCCACCATGAAAACATTTGCCTGCAAAGGAAACATTGTGGACATGGGGCAAAACATCTCAGTTGTGACCTGCAGGCCACCTTGCTCTCCCAGCCCTGAGCTCCCCACTCTGCCAGGCCCCTCAGTCCCGACCCACGGCCTCACTGCTCTCCCAGCCCTGAGCTCCCCGCTCTGCCAGGGCCCTCGGTCCCGACCCACGGCCGCACTGCTCTCCCAGGCCTGAGCTCCCCGCCCTGCCAGGGCCCCTCGGTCCCAACCCACGGCCTCACTGCTCTCCCAGCCCTGAGCTCCCCGCTCTGCCAGGCCCCTCAGTCCCGGACCCACGGCCTCACTACTACCTCAGCCCTGAGCTCCCCGCTCTGCCAGGGCCCTCAGTCCCGACCCACGGCCTCACTGCTCTCCCAGCCCTGAGTTCCCCGCTCTGCCAGGGCCCTCGGTCCCGACCCACGGCCGCACTGCTCTCCCAGCCCTGAGTTCCCCGCTCTGCCAGGGCCCTTGGTCCCGACCCACGGCTGCACTGCTCTGCCAGGCCCCTCAGTCCCGACCCACGGCCGCACTGCTCTCCCAGGCCTGAGCTCCCCGCTCTGCCAGGCCCCTCAGTCCCGACCCACGGCCGCACTGCTCTCCCAGGCCTGAGCTCCCCACTCTGCCAGGCCCCTCAGTCCTGACCCACGGCCTCACTGCTCTCCCAGCCCTGAGCTCCCCGCTCTGCCAGGCCCCTCAGTCCCGACCCACGGCCTCACTACTACCTCAGCCCTGAGCTCCCCGCTCTGCCAGGGCCCTCAGTCCCGACCCACGGCCTCACTGCTCTCCCAGCCCTGAGTTCCCCGCTCTGCCAGGGCCCTCAGTCCTGACCCACGGCCTCACTGCTCTCCCAGCCCTGAGCTCCCCGCTCTGCCAGGGCCCTCAGTCCCAACCCACGGCCTCACTGCTCTCCCAGCCCTGAGTTCCCCGCTCTGCCAGGGCCCTTGGTCCCGACCCACAGCTGCACTGCTCTGCCAGGCCCCTCAGTCCCGACCCACGGCCGCACTGCTCTGCCAGGCCCCTCAGTCCCGACCCACGGCCGCACTGCTCTCCCAGGCCTGAGCTCCCCGCTCTGCCAGGCCCCTCAGTCCTGACCCACGGCCTCACTGCTCTCCCAGCCCTGAGCTCCCCGCTCTGCCAGGCCCCTCAGTCCTGACCCACGGCCTCACTGCTATCTCAGCCCTGGGCTGCCCCCAGCCCCAGCCCCGCTAATCTACTTCCTCCCGAACCAACAGGACTTTGCTACCCCTGCTCAAATTCCTTCCCCATCTTTTACCAGTTACTTCCCTCCCCATGGTTCATCTCTTCCCTTGCTGCACCCCTGACACGGTCGGCTCGGCCCATGTAAAACCATAATGCCAGCAAGCCTGTGCCGTTATGATTAATCAGCTAAGAGGGGAATGCCCCATTAGAGCATTAATGCCGCAAGCAGTTTCTCCAGAGGTATTTTTGCAGCTCGTTTGCATAAAGGAGAAGGGGGTGGAATTTGCCCAGCTGGCACCCTGCGATGGGAAGCCCCAAGTCTCTACAATTGCTTCACACTTCTGCCCCTGGCACAGAGGTGGAGCTCACGTATTTCCAAACCTGATGCCCAAAACCCCAAGTTGTCTGTTGGAAATCTGGGGCTAAACTTGAGCTTGGAAAAGAATGAAATCCTGGTTCCTGGAGAGCAAAATGCTTTAGTTGGGGAAAAAAATCACAAAGGAAAATATTAGCTGCCCTAAGACAAATTATAGAGGTTTGCATTCCGCTCTGACCAAGCAAACAGGGCAGCAGGCTCACAACGTCCCACAAGCCTAATAATGCACTTCCCCAAGTGGCCCCCGGGGAGCGCTAAGAGGAGGGTGTTCCCACCATGGAAGGGGCTCTGCGCTCGCAACAGGTGCAAGACTGGGAACAAGTTCCCTAGGAAGGAGGTGGATTCGCCAATGCTGACCGAGATTAGGTGTCTCTTTCCAACGGATACGACCTCGCTCAGACCAGAGTGACAGACTGGATAGAGGAATCACGCAGTGTTATCCTCCGGCCTGTGTTACCCAGGAGGTCAGTCTAGATGGCTGTTATGGGCCCATCTAACCTTAAAGGTGCTGATTTCTGAATCAACCATCTCTCCCTCCCAGAGTGGTGCTGGGCTAGCAGGGATCATGGCCTACTGAGCACAGCAAGGCTGGGGGGGGGGGTCAGGACCCCTGGAAAATCGGTGCTGTGTAGCCTGCTTGTGGCTGCCTAATAACAATGGCCGCAAACTTGCAAATAATTGCACCGGGGCAGAACTCAGAGCTCCTTGCAGGGCCTTCCTGAGCATTTCTGTCGGCTGCTCCCACTGAAGTTCTTGGGGCCCGGACTGAACCCCCTGCAAGGTTGGTCAGCGTTATCATCCCCAGTTCACGGATGGGAAAGTAAGGAATAAAGCGAGATGGCGGAGGTAAGCTGACCATGCTCCCAGAGGAAGTCAGTGGCAGAGCTGGGAATAAAACTCCAGAGTCCTGGCTCCCAATCAGGCTCTCACACTGCTCCTCTAATGCAAGCAATTCACGCCCTTTCTTCTTTGGACCCCCACCCCCGATCCCAATGACTGTAACTCCGCCATGTCAGCCAGGACCTGTCCATCTCCTCCACGGTCACGGGAACATGAAATACCATCTCACCCCAGAGGCAGCATGCGACTCCAGAACTCGCTACTCACTCGCTCCAGGGCGCCTTCTCTTTGGTGATTTCCTCGCTGAGCGAGCTCATCTCTGTCCGAGGTTCTCTCTTCGCAGGGCTGTTTGAAGCCGTTCTCCGCTTTCTCCTGGCTGTGTCAGGAGCAGAGATGATTGGAAGGCTCAGATCCCGGCCAGGGGGAAGAGAGATGGGGAGAAAGCAAACGCCATTCATCAAAAGAGCCTCGGCCCTTTTCACATCAGTGGCCTGACAAGCCTCTCCAGTCACAAGCAAAACAACTCAGCCCTTGATGCTTAATAATCCGCTGCCCGTCTCCAGAGCCATTCATCAGTGATCTTAACCAGCTGCACAGATGTTAATTAATGAAACCTTAATTGGGAGGAGAGTTCGGCTCACTCTCGGCTCTGAGTGCCAGTTCCTTGCTCCAACCCAGGGTTTCTCCAATGGGGGGTGGGTGGGGGTGTCATGATCTGAAAGCCAGCTGTGGAGGCAGTGAATATCTTTAGTGCAATCTAAAGCAAAGAAAATCTCACCTCCACGCATGCTGACCTTTCAAGGTGAAGGATTCCACGCGCCAAGTCGTTTCCATGGGCTTAGCCTTGATACAATTTCTACCCACACTTGTACCAGCCAGGCAAGGGGGTCATGAACATTTCTGATGTCAGATTGGAGGTCACCAACCGGGAATAGTTGGCCAACCTGCTCCAATCACTAATACGTACTCCCCTGCTAGCATCTCTCGCAGGGACCCTGCAAGCATTCTGCCCTAATCTCAGCACTGTCCGTTCAACTAGTTAAGAGAATTCCTTTCTCAACATTGCACAAAGGGGGGGAAGTTCAGATGACAAAAGTTTGTTACCAGGAGGGACTCCCTACATGAAGAATTTCAAAGCTCAGATCAGTGTCTTTAGTAACATTTCTAAAGGTGTCTGCAATGCGCATTTACTCTCCCTTTCATAGGATCCATTAGCTAATCATTTTGCAGGAATTAATTATTTAAGATCTATTTAAGAAGCTGCTGATATTTGCATGCGTTGCATACAGAGGTTTAAAACCTGTGACAGTGTTCTTAACAAATCAATTTCCATTTAGTGGCCAGACAGCTGCTCTTCATAAAACACCCAATGGAAAGACTTAACTGAACTTGTTACCAGAGCTGAGCTAAAGTCTCCAACTCAAATCTGTTTCACAAAACTGCTGCTGTTTGTCCACTCGGAGCCAGCAGCTTTGAGCCACAAACAACTTACTGACCTCAGGGCCGAGACAAAAAAAACTTGTGTTTAGCGTCTTTACAGCTGAATGCTTTTCCATGGCAGATTGTCCCTGAGTCACTTATTAATCTGTGTCTTGAATTATTTATTAGGTGTATTATGGTAACACCTAGGAGCCCCAATCACGAATCAGGACCCCGCTGTGCTTGGCGCTGTACGTTCTTTACTCGGTGTATTACGGTAGTGCCTAGGAGCCAGTCAGAGGGCAGGGCAGCTGCTGCACCGACACAGAACACACACAGCCATGCCTAGAGATCCCCACAGAGATCAGGGTCCCTTTGTGGAGGAGAAGATGGGCAGGGCAGGGGTCTAGGACTCATTGGAATAAAGGACCCAGGGCTGGAAGGCAGCTCCTGGTTCCTGGAGTCCAGCCCCTGCTACCGCAGTGACTCCCTCATCCCAGCCTGCTCCATCGGCACACGAGTTGGCTTGCTGTCCTCCCTGCACCAACTGGAGACTGTCCCAGACCCTCCGTCCTCAGCTTCTCGTGGCCAGCCCCGATCTGTTCCCGGTCAGTTCATCCAAATTTGGTCTTGTGCCCGCCTTGCCCTGAGCTTCACTGGCTCTTCTGCTGCCCAGTGGGTTCCCCCTTGATGTATTCATAGAGCATGATCTGCTCCCTTCGTTTTGCTAGGCTCCTTGAGCCAGCCTCTCTGTCTCCTCTCCGAAGACAGGTCCCCTATTCCCCGATCAGCCTGGCAGCTCTTCCCTGCACCTGGTCCAGAATCAGAGCGTATCCGGGTGAGGGCCTTACCGGTGCCTTTTACAACAGTGTGAAGTCTTCCCTTGCTCGGCTAGAACGAGGAGCCTAGGCTGCCCCACAGGGGGTATTTGCCTGACTCTGGAGACCCCGGTTCAATTCTCTGCCCCGCCACAGGCTTCATGTACGAGCTCGGGCAAGATGCGCCGTTTCTCTGGACCTCAGTGGTACCTAACGAAGAGTGCAAGGGGCTCAGTTACTACGCTAATAGGGCCTGTATAAGCACCAGAGATAGGCCCCGCACAAACATATAAGAGGCAGTTCCTGCCCCAAAGAGATTACAGTCTAAATAACAAAGGGTGGGAGGGGAAACTGAGGCAAAGAGGTGAAGGGACTTGCCCAAGGTCACCCAGCTTGCCACTGGCAGAGCCTGTTCCCTTCAAGGAGGCCAATTTCTCGGTTGGTCACTTTCCTTCTTCCTTTGAACATTCCCAACGTGGGGAAACGCATCTCTTCCCCCCGCCCCCCAAAGTCCCCAAACACGTGAACGTACAACGTGCCTACAGCCCCTAGGTAGCAGCAGCATGTGGCCAAAGACAGCAAGTTCCACCCAAACCCTTTATCACAAGAAAGCCACCAAGATTACTTGCTGCCTCCTCAAACCACCCCACCAATCTGCTCCAGCGCCTCTTTCTGAAGCTGACCCTGGGAATAACGTACCAAGGGTGGGGGTAGATTCTCCATCATTGCTTGGATGTGACCTGAAAAGCCCTGCTCTGGGAATGAATTGGGGGCAGGTCTCTGACCTGGGGTATGCAGCAGGTCAGACTGGATGGTCACAGCGATCGCTTCTGGCCTGGGGAGCTAGGAAATGCTCCTGCAGTGCAGTAAATGGCAACAGAAGACACAATATGGCAAAGAACCAGGGACGCTGACCTGTCTCTGGGTGCCCGTGTCTGGTCAAGGTTAGGGACCTGCATTTAGGCTGAAGCTGTGACTTTTCCATCAACAGAAAAGGATGCCTGTGGATTGAGCTGCATTGACTAGGATGGTTGGCACCAGGGAAATAAGCCACAGTTCCATCTAGAATAGAGATCACCCCAGAGAAATCTTCACTAACAGGTGTAGTTTATTGGCCATCGAGTCTGCGATTGCCCAGATGCTCCTAAGCTGAGTACTTAAGTGGTGAGATTTTCAGCCTAAAGGGTCCCAGTGTCTATCATAAGCAAAGGAGATCGGAGTCCTCATTGTGCCAGATGCTGCCCAGACCCCCAGCCAAGATCAGGGCCCCTGTCGTGGCAGGCGCTGCGAAGACCCCAACTGTGATTGGGGACCCCATCGTGCTGGGCGCTGCAGACACTAAGCGAGTGAGAGGCCCTGCTCTGAAGGGCGCACAGTCTGTATAAACCAAGGGTGGGAAGAAAGGAGGTATAATTAGTCCAGTTTTGAAGGCGGAGCTACAATTTCATCCACTGCTAAAATGCAGCCACCTCTGGGCTGGAGGCAGCAGCTGTTAAGCAGCTCACAGCAAACACTTCCCAGTGGTTTCAGACCAGGTGCAAAGAAAAATTTTGCGTTGGACAGAAGCAGAGCGATGCACATCAGGGAGGCAGAACGGCCACGTCGGAACTGAGGCGAACGCCCTGCAATGGGGGGCTCTCATCACCACAAGTGGCCAGGACCTCAGCTTGGTTTGCACAAATGGTATTTTCAACAGCACCCCTCCACCCCCGCACAGCACTAGCTTTGAGAGGGGAGCGCCCTCGTCACCACTTGCTGCTGACCGCTTTCCCACTCCAGTACGGTCCCAGTGAGCACAGGTCCTCAGGGGCACTAGACCTCAATAGTACATGACCCGCGCCAGGCGTTCTCTTCTGCTGAAGAGCTGGCCTGTCCAGAGCATCAGACCAACTCCTTCAACGACCCTTAAAAGGCCGACACTGCACAAATGCCTCCCATCTCTGGCAACAGCGTGACGTGACTACACCCGTCTGCTGCTTGTCTTGCTTTAGCTCATCCGTGGCATTAAAACCAGAGAAAGGAATCTCTGGAAAACTGGACGGCGCCAAGATCGGAGCCAGGGGTGCTTACTCGGTGTGCAGGGCTCGACTCTGCTACAGACAACGCTTTTTCTCTGGAAGGGACTGCTCCCAGGACAAGGGGAAGGCCATAAAGAAGAGGTCTGCATGACAAACAAGCCACGGCGTGAAATTAACCAGGTAGGAGCAATAAAGCTCACGCCAAAGGAGAATAAGAAACACAGAACAGGAACAGTTTGCTACTGAAACCCAAATTTCCTCTGTGTTTACACAGCACATATTGCTGCGCAGAGACCTTCAGAGCAGTTTGGGTTAGGAAAGCCATTCTGTACCAAAGGCACTGAGAGTTTATGCACAGATCAGAACTGCAGGGCTCCCGTTCCCACCCACCGCCAGGAAGGGCTTGCAGCTTTGCAGAGATGGGCTGTTCCTGCAGAAGGATTTACTGAGGCTTCCGGTCAGCTGGGCCTCGTCCTACGTGCCTGACCGCTGGACAGCGGAGAATGGTGAGATCATGGGTCGTTCTTTTCCCACACCATGAACATAGCCACTCACAGCATCTCTGTCTCTCCAGTTCTCTCTCACGCACAGAACCTACAGTTCTACCGCTGCAAACACACTCAGTCTCCCTTGTCTCTCTCTGGGTGCGTGCGCACACACACATTTTTCTAGCTTTACTCTCCACCACATACCAGACTCCTTTGCACACCTCCCTCTTGCTTTCTGTCACACGCTCATGGGCTTTCTAGCTTTACAGAGACACACACACAGTGTGTGTTTAACACACCATCCCCATCTCTCATTCTGCGAGTGGGGCACGAGCACTGGATAGGTTGTGGGTCTGATTCTCAGCTCCCCTCTTCCTGTGCTTGGGGAAGGAAAGGGGTTTGGTGGCTTTAAGTTCCCTTTGCGCTCCTGCATTCTGGGGCTGCCTGACCCCTGGTGTAAGTTAGAGCAGTGTTGGGGCTGCTCTAACTCAAGCCCTTGGGAAGCAGAGAATAGCTGTAATGCAGCAAGCTCTGGTTGCTCCCCTGATTTGCCCCTCCACACCGGAGGCTGGAAACAAGGTGGGTGCAGGGCCTTTATGCCAATTCCACACCAGCCAGGAGGAAGGCCCCTTCCCAGCAGGGATTGTCAGAGGACCCAGATCGGCCTAAAGGGGCCTTCAGAGAACCGAGAGTCAGCACAGCCCAGAGGCCACTTATTGTCTCGAGTGGAGCTCAAAGGCAGGCTGAGCCGACGTGCCGCAATCAAAGACTCCGGCGAACTCAAAGAGGAATCCCTCCGCTGTGAAAGCCTCTCAGAGCCTGGCCCTGCAGCTGTTTGATCACTTATTAAAAAGGTTAATAAATCATTCGGACAGCATTCACAAGAACCCGACGTGCTCCTGTACGCAGCCTCGCAATTCCAACCCAGCCACCAAACAGTCTGGTTGGTCTGTGAAGCCATGTTCCCCTTCCTGCCTTCCCCCATCACCTTTCCCAGAAGAGAGAAGTGCCGGTTGCCCCAGTGTGATTCTGTCACTGGACTGGCAGTTCCCCCCAAGCCAGGGCAGATCTGCAACACCCACCAATCGACCATGGAACCATTCCCACGGGGGCCAACCCAGCCATGGCCTATTGCTACAGAGAACGTCCGCCCAAAAGAGAACGGCAAGAGGTAGCGCGACACCTCCGCCGAAGCAGCACAGGGGAGTTTTTCCTTAATTCTCTAGTGCCCTCTGCTGCCTCTTTAGGATCCAACAGGAAAAAGTTCCCACTTGTTCTGAAAACTAAAGCTAGGTGAAATTTTACAGACAACAATTCTTTTCCACCACCACCGACAACAAAAAAATGCAGATGGAAACACTTTGTTAATTCGTGTCGCTAGGACCCTAAAATTGTGTCAAATTCGCCAAATCGCTTTGGTTGGGGAAAAAAAATGTAAGAAATAGGAACGTTTCACATTGATGTTTTCAATCCCCAACATTTTGATTCAAAATGGCTTTTGGGTTAGAAATCGGCTTCAGTTTCATTTCGCTGTTTTTTTAAAGTGTGAAAAAAAGTAAAAACCAACCATGTGGTTATGGGTCGAAGGGAACGTTTTATTCCAGCCACAACGGTTTTTGGTTTGGCCCATGACCCAGAGTCAGCTATTCACGCAGCTCTACAGAGCCGCGAATGTCCGCGTGCGAGCTCTTTTCACTCTAGAAAGACAAGTATCATGGAGGAGTCAGGCCTTGCTGCTAAACACTAACCAGATCGATCCCTTTCAATGCAATGCTGCTCTGGGCATGCCCCCTGAAGACCCACACACAGGCTGAAGTCTTACTTTTTGTCTAAGAAGCCAGAAGTAATACGAAACCAATGATTCTAGAGCTCAAAATCTGGAGCTACTGACCTCCATGTACTACTGACCTCCATTCAGGTTTCAGAACGGACAGAGGTAAACAGCGAGATTCCCCCAGGGATCTGTACTGGGACCAGTGCTGTTCAACAGATGTAGAAAAGATCTGCAAAAAGGGGTAAACAGTGAGGTGACAAATCCATGGGGCCGGACAAGTTGCATCCGAGAGTGCTGAAGGAATTGGCGGCTGTGATTGCAGAGCCATTGGCCATTATCTCTGAAAACTCGTGGCGAACAGGGGAAGTCCCAGATGACTGGAAAAAGGCTAATATAGTGCCAATCTTTTAAAAAGGGAAGGAGGAGGATCCTGGGAACTACAGGCCAGTCAGCCTCACCTCAGTCCCCGGAAAAATCATGGAGCAGGTCCTCAAAGAATCAATCCTGAAGCACTTACTTGAGAGGAAAGTGATCAGGAACAGTCAGCATGGATTCACCAAGGGAAGGTCATGCCTGACTAATCTAATCGCCTTTTATGATGAGATAACTGGTTCTGTGGATGAAGGGAAAGCAGTGGATGTATTGTTTCTTGACTTTAGCAAAGCTTTTGGCATGGTCTCCCACAGTATTCTTGTCAGCAAGTTAAAGAAGTACGGGCTGGATGAATGCACTATAAGGTGGGTAGAAAGTTGGCTAGATTGTCGGGCTCAACGGGTAGTGATCAATGGCTCCATGTCTAGTTGGCAGCCGGTGTCAAGTGGAGTGCCCCAGGGGTCGGTCCTGGGGCCGGTTTTGTTCAATATCTTCATAAATGATCTGGAGGATGGTGTGGATTGCACTCTCAGCAAATTTGCGGATGATACTGAACTGGGAGGAGTGGTTGATATGCTGGAGGGCAGCGATAGGATACAGAGGGACCTAGACAAATTGGAGGATTGGGCCAAAAGAAATCTGATGAGGTTCAATAAGGATAAGTGCAGGGTCCTGCACTTAGGACGGAAGAATCCAATGCACCGCTACAGACAAGGGACCAAATGGCTAGGCAGCAGTTCTGCGGAAAAGGACCTAGGGGTGACAGTGGACGAGAAGCTGGATATGAGTCAGCAGTGTGCCCTTGTTGCCAAGAAGGCCAATGGCATTTTGGGATGTATAAGTAGGGGCATAGCGAGCAGATCGAGGGACGTGATCGTTCCCCTCTATTCGACATTGGTGAGGCCTCATCTGGAGTACTGTGTCCAGTTTTGGGCCCCACGCTACAAGAAGGATGTGGATAAATTGGAGAGAGTCCAGCGAAGGGCAACAAAAATGATTAGGGGTCTGGAACACATGAGTTATGAGGAGAGGCTGAGGGAGCTGGGATTGTTTAGCCTGCAGAAGAGAAGAATGAGGGGGGATTTGATAGCTGTTTTCAACTACCTGAAAGGGGGTTCCAAAGAGGATGGCTCTAGACTGTTCTCAATGGTAGGAGATGACAGAACGAGGAGTAATGGTCTCAAGTTACAGTGGGGGAGGTTTAGATTGGATATTAGGAAAAACTTTTTCACTAAGAGGGTAGTGAAACACTGGAATGCGTTACCTAGGGAGGTGGTAGAATCTCCTTCCTTAGAGGTTTTTAAGGTCAGGCTTGACAAAGCCCTGGCTGGGATGATTTAACTGGGAATTGGTCCTGCTTTGAGCAGGGGGTTGGACTAGATGACCTCCTGAGGTCCCTTCCAACCCTGATATTCTATGATTCTATGATTTGCAGACACAAAATTACTCAAGATAGTTAAGTCCAAAGCAGACTGCGAAGAGTTACAAAGAGATCCCACAGAAGTGGGAGACTGGGCAACAAAATGGCAGATGAAATTCAATGTTGATACATGCAAAGTAATGTATCTTGGGAAACAATCTCAACTATACATAGTTCTCTGAAAATACCCACTCAATGTGCAGCAGCAGTCAAAAAAGTTAACAGAATGTGAGGAACCAATAGGAAAAAGATAGATAAGAAGACAGTAAATATCATAAAGCCTCTATATAAATCCATGGTACATCCCCACCTTGACTACTCTGTGCAGTTCTGGTCACCCCATCTCAAAAAAAGATACATTAGAATTGGAAAAGGTTCAGAAAAGGGCAACAGAAATGATAAGGGGGATGGAATGGTTGCCGTATAAGGAGAGACTAAAAAGACCGGGACTGTTCACTTTAGAAAAGAGACGACCCAGGGGGATGTGAGAAAGGTCTGTAAAGTCATGACTGGGGTAGAGAAAATGAATCGGGAAGTGTTATTTACCCCTTTGTATAACACAAGAACAAGGGGTCACCCAACGAAATTAACAGGCAGCATATTTAAAACAAACAGAAGGAAATACTTCTTCACACAATGCACAGTCAACCTGTGGAACTCTTTGCCAGAAGAAGTTGTGAAGGTCAAGACTATCACAGGATTCAAAAAAGAACTAGATAAGTTCATGGAGGGTAGGTCCATCAATGGCTATTAGCCAAGATAGGCAGGGACCCCATGCTCTGGGTGTCCCTAAGACGCTGACTGTCAGAAGCTGGGACTTGATGACAGGGGATGGATCACTCAATAATTACCCTGTTCTGTTCATTCCCTCTGGGGCACCTGGCACCGGTCACTGTCGGAACACAGGACATTGGGCTAGATGGACCTTTGGTCTGCCCAAGTCTGGCCGTTCTTTAGTGCACTGTTGTTCCACTGAGGTCCCCCACCCAAACAATGACTGAACAAGGAGGTGGTTTCCTTTTGGAATACAGCCCCTTTATATGGACCAGCCTTAGACAGGAACACCCAACATCGGGCCAGCGATGGCGACTGCGAGTTAAGGGGAACCAGTGGCTAACTTATCCCAGGAACAGCTCATTGGTGAATGGAAAACTCACAGAACTGATTTATTGACCTCAGCACAGTTGGGCCACGAGGCAGCGAGCAATAGCTTGGATCAGCACAATTATATTTCACTATAGGATTTTTTCCGTATTTCATCTTCCCATCCTCCCATAGTGCTAGCTCCTAGACCGACTGTCCCTGAGAGCTCACAGAAAACAGAAGTCTTTTTGTTCAGATCATTGGTTTAAGGCTCCCGGAGGTCACTGCTGCTGCTCCTCCTTTTCCGCCTGCTCAATCTGCTCCTCTGTCAGGACGACGGGTTTGTATTTATCATCAAAGAGTTTTTCGTTGGCTGCCGAGTGGAGGTTCTGGGGGGAGATGGTCCTGAGATGCTCAGGGAGATACTTGAATTCCTCTTCATTGATGTCAGAATCCTTCATTTTCGAACTTAAAACCCACCAGCGGCCCAAGAACCCCACATCCAGGATCCGCCCGGGAAAGTCCGTCCAGCGCGGCTTCAGGTGTTTGCAGTGAGCCTGGTACAGAGCAGCTTCCGCATCAAAGGGGGCCTGGTAGACGAGGGAGAAGAAGACCAGGCTCTGGTAGCGCAGCCGCCCCTGGTTCCGGAGCTTCATCAGGCGCTGGACATGCCCCTCAGAGCTGCTGTTCCGGATCCAGGGGGAGAGCAGGAGGAGGGTGCCCGAGGCTTCGAGGAGGGAGGACTCGAACGAGGCGTCGCAGGGGACCTGGAGGCTGCAGGCGGTGGCTCCAGCCAGCAGCGAGAGGTAGAGTCCGGCTTTCCCAGGCCGCTCCTTGAAGCCAAGGGCCACATCCCGGCAGGCGTCAGCGTAATCGTGCAGCAGGCTCTTGCACCACAGACCTGTGCCGGGAGGGAAAGCTGAGGTGCTGCCGGCTCCGGGGAGCGAGGCCCGAACACCCCAGGCCTCTGGGGGCGGGTACGTCTGGGTACGGGGGGGGGGGGGGGCTGGGCTCAAGTAGGGGAAGAGTCTAGGGATGATCGCGGGGGGGGAGCAGAACCCAGGACACCGGGCTGCCAGCGCCCTAATCTAATGCGTGCCCCAAAGAACCCAGGCGTCCAGGCCGCCGCCCCTCCCCGCTCCGACCCCCTCCCCAAAGAACCCAGGCATCCGGCCCCCGGCTCTGACCCCCTTCCCAAAGAACTCAAGCGTCCGGGCCGCCGCCCTTCTCCGCTCTGACCCCCTTCCCAAAGAACCCAGGCGTCTGGGCCGCCGCCCCTTCCCAAAGAACCCAGGCGTCCGGGCCGCCGCCCCTCCCCAAAGAACCCAGGCGTCCGGGCCCCCGCCTCTGCCTCTGCCCCCCTTCCCAAAGAACCCAGGCGTCCGGGCCGCCGCCGCCGCCGCCCCCCGGCTCCGACCCCCTTCCCAAAGAACCCAGGCGTCCGGGCCGCCGCCTCTCCCCGCTCCGACCTCCTCCCCAAAGAACCCAGGCGTCCGGGCCCCCGCCTCTGCCCCCCTTCCCAAAGAACCCAGGCGTCCGGGCCGCCGCCGCCGCCCCCCGGCTCCGACCCCCTTCCCAAAGAACCCAGGCGTCCGGGCCGCCCCCTCACCCAAACGGCCGGAGCCGATCCGCTGCCAGCGGCTCCCGCCCCCCGCCATGGGCCGCTCGCTGCCCGGACCGGAAGTGGTTTCCGCCCGGCCGGGACATGGGGACGGACCCGGGCGAGACCATCTCAGCGGGCCCGCGGGGGGGAGGGGCAGAAACACTCGTGCTCCCCCGCGCGCGCGGGCGGTGCGCGAGGCCGGGCGGAGAGCGACACGCAGCAGCGGGGCGGGGAGGCCGGGCAGGTACCGGGGGGCTGAGAGGCGGGGGGCGGGGGACGACAGGGGAGACTCGGGGGGCTGCTGGGGACCTGGGGGGAGGGGCAGTGGGCTGCTTCATGAGCCCCTCCCCCAGCTCTGCGGGGGGGGGGGCTCAGTCTGGGCCCCCCCTTTCCTCCCCTAGCTGGGGTGGCCCCCCCCCGGCCAGGCAGGTGCCCCCATGGCAGGAACCAGCGGCTCTAACCCGCCCCATGGCTCGCAGCCCCAGCCTGCTCCCTGCCTCAGTTTCCCCCCCTCGCAGAATGGGGACAGTGGGCCTGAACCCTGCTGGGAGGTCGCGGCGGGGCGGGGAAGGGCCGGGGGGAGGCCAAAGGATTCAGCAGGGTCCCCCCCCCCCTCGCCCTGGAGCGTCTGTCAGCCGGGTGGGGCAAACGGGGGCCCCGCTGCCCGCCCCGGGCTGCCCCTTCCAGCTCCCTTCCCGGGCGCGGGGCGCCCCTCTAACACGGGCAGCGCCCGGTGCCACGCTGGCACCGGCGTGGCTTGTCCCTGGAGGAGCCGCTCCCCTGGTGCGTGGGGCTGGGCAGGGGCAGATCTGGAAGGCAGCCGGGTAAACAAACCACCTGCTGCTCCCCCCGCCCTGCCCCCCTCCAGGGTTCCTGGCCCAGCTGGGGCCTGGCTGCTTTGGCGCTGAAGGCGTCCCTGCGTTGGACGTGCGGCGAAATCCGAGCGTTAAAAGGACCTCGCCCGCTGCCTGGCATGAAATGCATGTGCAGGAAGGGAAGTAGCTTCAAAGTACCAGAGCTCCGGGCACTCGAGTGGTAGGAGCTGGGGCAGGGGGTGGCCGTCAGGACTCCTGGGTTTCATTCCCAGCTCTGGGAAGGAGTGTAGTCTGGTGGATGGAAGTGGGTTGACTCAGGACACCTGGGTTCCATCGCTGACTCCTTGTGTGACCCTGGGCAAGTCACTTTCCCTTCTCGGCGACTCCTCTCCCCACCTGCACAATGGGGCGAGATGGGGAACTTCGGTCATGCCCCATAGGGGCTCAGTGCGTAGCTGTTCCCAGCTGCTCTGTCCAGCCTTCACGTCACAAACGCTGTTTGCTTTGCCCTGGCAGCAGAGTCCCTGACATGCGATAACCTGCAGCAATGGCCACGTCAGATGAGCTCAAGTTTCATGGTGAGTGTTTGCCTTCCATAAAGGTTTCAGTCTCGAGCATCGCAATTCGTGGGGGAGGAAGAGATGGGTATTTTTGTCTGTTGTTTCTCACATAGGATTCCAAACTCTTCTGGGTCCTGTAACGTAGTTGGGTCTCCCCTAACTGGGGAGAACGTCACCCCCTGAAAATGTGTATTAGAGGCTGGTTCATTTCAGGAGGCTACTCTGCATCTCAGGCCTGGGGCCATCTTCATCTCCAGGATCTGTCCTGCTAGCTTCTTTCCCCCTCAGGCTCAGCTAAAGGAGGCTAGTGGATAGAGCACTGGGCTGGGACTGAGGAGACCTGGATTCTATGCCTAGCTCTGCCACTGGCCTGCTGGCTGTCCTTGGACAAGTTACTTCCCCTCTCCCTGCCTCAGTTTCCCCATATGTAAATGGAAATAATGATACTGACTCGTTTGCAAAGTGCTTTGAAATTGGTGGATGAAAAATACTATGTGAGAACTAGGGATTATTATTTTGATTAAAGCAAAGCCATGCAGTGATTGGCCACAGTTAGCCTGCAGAACTCACCACGACAAGAATATCCTGAAGCCAAACACTTAACAGGGTCTAAAAGAGGACTGGATGTTATTATGGATAACAAGAAGTGTCCAGAGTCAGAATAGTAAATAAACAAGTTAGGAAGATGCTTCAGGGCTTGATCTAACCTGTGACCAGCAGCGATCAGGAGCTACCTGCCCCTGGGGGCAGGTTATCGCATCACTCCCACCTGCAGGGCTTCTTGCATTTTCCTCTGCAGCAGCTGGTCCTGGCCAGGTTGGGCCCCATGGCTGACCCCAGCTGGTGATATTTGTGTTCCTAATCTGACCTATCCCCTGCTGTGGCCTAACTGAAATCCATCGAGTAAGAAAAGAGCTAACTGGCCCATCCCTTCTCTTCCCCTTTTCAGTTTCACTTGGGCCTCCCCAGGGAGGAGGGGGGGTCTGAACCCTTTGAGGGGGACGATAGTGGTCGTGCTTGAGGCTGCCCAAGGGCAGGCTGGGAGCTGGTTTGATACAGGGATTTCACCCGTGCTTGGGCAGATCTGAGCCAGCACAGGCGATGAGAATGGACAGGGCTTTAGCCTGCCCGGGGAGCACCAGAGCAGGGCTCGGGACGCAGCTGCCAGCCAAAGAGATCCCAGAGCTGTGGATGCTGATTTCCAACCTGTTCTGACTGCTGGGGGTTTCCCTGCAGAATTCGACGAGGCGGCCGACTTGCTGGCCGTGAACCCTGACGCCACAACCACCAGCATCAGCGAGCGGCAAAGCCACGTGGCCGTGGACGTGAGCACCGGCTACGAGGAGGGTGAGCTAGGGGAGGAGACAGATAAAACCGAGGTGAGAGGAAAAGCTGAGCAGGGAGGAGGACTGGCAGGCTTGAGTGGGCTACAGGGTCTTTCCCCTCCAGGAGGCACCAGACCCAACCCATCCCAGGGCCCCAGCTGCCCCATCAGCAGTGACTAGTTGCCATTTGCCAGTTGAGGCAGCCTGGAGGGGCCCCTGGCCCGAGTATCCTCATTGTCAAAATCACCAGCCCAGACTGCGCTGGGTGGGGCCCAAGCACGTGCTTAAACCTTTCCCTGAATCGGGGCCCTGTCTGGCTGCCGAGAAGAACCCTGGCTCTGACAGCCGCGGCCAGGGGACAAGATGGGGAGGGAGTCACTCGCACCGGAAATCGACCCTGATCCCCGGGTTCAGCAGAAAGGCTGACGGCTTGTCCGCCATCACAGAGGGTCCTGGCTGCGGCTCAGATTTCTGCCGCGAGCCAGATCCGGCTGTCTGGCACGTGGGCCGAGGACCATCCAGTCACGCGTCTTTTCATCCACGCAGCTCCTCAGTGGCCAGAAGAAGCAGCCCAGTTTCTGGACCTTCGAATACTACCAGACTTTCTTTGATGTCGACACCTACCAGGTAACAGAATCTCCCTGTCTAACGTATCCGCCGGTCGGCTGGAAAGTGACGCGGGCAGGAGCAGCAAAACTCGGGAGAGGCAAACGGGCCATCGCGCCAACCTGGCTATGGCGGCCCAAGGAGCCTTGCCAAAACGGCGGCTCCATTTTCCAGGGAGGCAGGACATGGACCTGCACTCGGTGTGGGCAGGGACGTCCCCAGATGGACACACGCCTCCCCCTGGCAAGGAGGTTGGTCTTGTGAAGGTGTTCCCGGCTCTGCCGCAGACAGCCCGGGCAACCTTGGCAAGTCACGCCGTGGGAGTTCCCTGCCTGTGAAATGACCCTTCCTTGGTCTTCAGGGCAGGGAACTCCCCTCATGTCTCTGGGCAGCGCCCGGCCCGACGGGGGCTGGATCTCAGCCGAGTTTAGAACGAACTGAGGCAGGTAGTTACAACTGGACCCCCGGTTGGCACTTGCTGGAGGGAAGCCTGTTTCCCCGATGAAGGCAAAAAGCACCTAAAACAAAAGCTTCCAGTGACTGGAAACGCTGAGGCCTGGCTGGATGTCTAGGCCCAAAGCTAGTGCGTCTCAGCATTGGCCTTCGCATTGCTCGGAGCCTGCTTGGTGTGGATGGAAACCCGCTACTGGGGATTGAATCCTGGCTCTCCGGACTGAAATGCCATGAGCAGCCAGAGCTTGAGCTAAACAGCTGGGCCCTGTAGCTGGGGCCAGGCCAGACTTGTCCCTGGGGTGGCTCTCCCTGCTTACACCCCCACAGAGGTGCGGACGAGCTCTCTGCTCTGCCGCTCGTCCGAGGATCTGAACGCCTTAACCTCGGATTCCTTTTCCTGGCCATTTCTGCGACCCGGCCTGCAGCGTTGGGCTGGGACCCGAGGACGGGGAAGTGGAACCAGATCGACACAGACTAGCCCCACGGCACTGTCCCAACCGAGAAACGGAAATGGGTTGAGAGCGCTGTGGGTCTCCTCTGACTTCTTGCATGGCACGGGCCCGATCCCTGTGCCCCGTGAGCCCGGCCTGGAGCCGGTAACTCGGGGCGTAGCACGCACAGCAGTGCCCCGGGGGGCTAAAGGGGAGTTTTGCTGGTACCATTGGGCAGGGGCAGGTCCCTGTTGTGGTAGGTGCTGGCCCACGGAGCTCGCAGGCGAAGTACGTGAGGCAGTGACAGGCCAGAGTCGTGGCTCTGGAGACGACCCACTAACCCTGGTCTGGTCCCATCCGCCAGGTGCTGGACAGGATAAAGGGGTCTCTGCTGCCCTTGCCTGGGAAGAACTTCGTACGGCACCACTTACGGAACGACCCGGACCTGTACGGTGAGTACGGCGAGGCCGGGCCGAACCGCACAGACCCCCTGGTGGTCCCCGACGTCCCGGGGGCAGCTCTGGGTTCCCAGCGACTCACTCGTCTAACCTGCACCCCTTCTCCTCGGCTCGGCAGCCATAGCGCCGGCCCAGGAGCCGAGACGCCCGCACCCGCCGACCCGGCTGCGCTGGTGCCTTGGCCGTCCTAGGTCAGCTTCCACGGTGGGATCTGGGGGGAGCCCTGAGGGCTGCCAGGTGTGGCGCTGGTGTCCGGCTCCTGTCGACACCCCTCCTAACCCTGCCCCCCATCTGCCTCCCCAGGGCCCTTCTGGATCTGCGCCACGCTGGCCTTCACGCTCGCCGTCAGCAGCAACGTGTCCCACGCCCTGGAGAAACGGGGCGACCCTGCCTTTCACTACAGCCCCCAGTTCCACAAAGGTGAGCGCCCGCGGGGGCAGGGCTCTTCTCCACACTGGGGAGGTTTCCCCCAGGGCCACGCAGCGAGTAAGAAGTGTGAACAGAACCCAGGAGTCCTGGCACCTGCCCCCCCTCCCTGGCTCTAACCACTAGACCCCACTCCCCTCCCAGAGCCAGGCTAGAACCCAAGAGTCCTGGCTCCCAGCCCCCTGCTCTAACCCCTGCTGCTGTTCACGGGCGGTGGTTTGTCTTTGCTGTTATCTGTGGGCAAGGCCAGGCGGCAGAGCCCTGGCTCCTCCCTGCCTGCGCGTCCCTGCCGGTAACCAGTGTCTCTGCCCCCCCCCAGTGACCGTCGCCGGGGTCGTGATCTACTGCTACGCCTGGCTGGTGCCCCTGGCCCTCTGGGGTTACCTGCAGTGGCGCAAGGGACTCAGCCTCCACGTGGGCTCCTACAGCTTCCTGGAGACGGTCTGCGTGTACGGCTACTCGCTCTTCGTCTACATCCCCACCTCGGTGAGCGGCCGGCCCATGGAGGGGCTAAACCCGCCGGCAGACCCCTGCCCTGGCGGGGAGTCAATCGGGTGCCCCAAAAGCCTCTGAGGGGGGGAGCCCCGCCTCCCTTGGGGCCGGGTGCCTGACCCCCCCTTCCCTTCTCTCCCACCCCCTGGCAGATCCTGTGGCTGATCCCGGCTGCCTGGCTCCAGTGGGTCCTGCTGGCCTGTGCTGCAGCGCTTTCTGGCTCCGTGCTGGTTCTTGCCTTCTGGCCGCTGCTCCGCGCCGACAGCAAGCCGGCCACGCTGGCCACGCTGGCCACCATGGTCTCGCTCCACGTGCTGCTGGCCCTCGGCTGCAAGGTATGAACAGTGCTTCCGGCCGCCTGTCCGGGGTGCTGCCCTGCGCAGCGGGGAGAGGAGACCCACAGGGCCTAGACGGCTCCTGTTCTCCCCAGCGTGGCTGCTGCAAGAGGAGATGCAGGCCCTGAGCTCTGGGGACCCTGCTTGAAACGTGGCACTGGCCCAGTACAGATGGAGAAACTGACGCACAGAAGATCTGGGGGAGATGGCTTTTTTCCAGCCTCAGGGGACAGGTGCTCTGCAGTCCGAGGGGCATAGCCCCCCTCCATTGGGGAAGGTCCTCTGTGGGGCATGACCCCCTTCCCCCCATCAGCCAGAGGGGCAGGGCCAGTTCTGGCCCCAGCTGATCCTGCCCTCCTCCTGTTTTTTGTAGCTCTATTTTTTCCGGACGCTGCCCAGCACCGTCTCTCCCCTGCAGACGCTGGTCACGGCCCAGCAGCCCCCTCCCCCAGCCAATGCCTCGGTCCCCCTCCGCCAGTGAGGTAAGCCAGCAGGTGAACTCGGGCCCTGGGGGAACATGCAGGCGGGGGAAGCGAGGGCTATGGGTGCTGGAAAGAGACAGAACTTGCTCCTCAGGAGTTGGGGATGGGCCAGCAGCTCTGATGCAGGCCCCTGTGCCTCAGTTTCCCCACAGAGTGAGATCTTTGGCCTCAGTCTCTCTGCCCGCAAAACTGGGGAGCTGCATGTGCCCTGCAGGGGGCTGGGGAGCCCATGGGGCCCTAGTAGCTGGGAATGATCTGGTCTTCAGAGGGGCTGGATTAGTGCCTGCCCCCTCCAGCCATGGAACCCCCTTGGGGGCTGGGCCCAGTGCCAAACCAGGCTGAGCTCTTGCCCCACAGGAGCCGAGGTGGGGATTTGTAACCTCGTCTCTCTCACCGTGGGCTTCTGCTTTTGTAGGTGTGGATCCCCCAGCACTGGGCACAGGCGAAAGACCGGAGCCACTGCTGGGCCACGGTCCAGGCTCCGGCCGGCTTAGGAAGGACCCTTCCTCCGGCCTGTCCCCCGGCCCGTGGAGCTCAGCCACGCTGCACAGGGAGGGGGCGGCAGCTTGGCAGTGGCTGAGCCTAGGACACTCGGCTCGTCTAATTCTTCCCCTCTCCTCCTGCATCAGCACTTCAGCCCTGGCTCATTCCCAGCTGGGAGCAGGGGCATCAGCTCCAGTGACCAGACCAGCCTCCAACTCGAGCCTGGCTCAGTCAGTGGCAGGAGTCCCGCCAGGACAGAGCCCGGGCCCTGCTCTCAGGGCGTCCTTGCAGCACCGGGAGGCAGACACCTCTGCTGGCCCCAGGGCTGATGTTTGCAGCCCCTTCCTCGGGCAGATCTCAGCACTGCCAGGTCCTGATTGACAGCACAGCTGCCCCTGACCTGGAACAGCTCTCCTGCTACCCCCCAGGCTAGGCTGGGACAGAACACATGCTATGGAGGGATAATGGACAAGGGGATTCTGCTAGCAAGGTACTCGGGCTCTCCCACCCCCATCTCTAGGGCATGGGGGGCAGTGGTAGGGCTGGCTGCTCCCTGGGCAAGGCCCAAGGATTGGGAGCTGTCAGCTGTTTTCTATTCAAAGGTGATTGAAATAAACTGGGGCTTTGCCCCACCTAGGACCAGGGCTGGTGCCTGTGTTGGGGGGATGGTGGCATCACTCACACTGGCTGGGTTCCTTCCCCTCCCTGCTGCTGGCAGGAGGCTGCTTTGCAAAGGGGCAGCAGGTGCCAGAGGCTGGGAGAACAGGCCCCAGGCCCACCCTGGCAGGCTGCAGGGAAGGAGCTTCCAGCTAGAGGTGTCAAACAACCACCCTGGCAACAGCCCTTCAAACCCCTCCTGCTTTATTGGGTGCCACAGCAGCTCTGTGCCCCCCTGGGCGGCCCAGCCAGGCTGGGCCGGCCCAGCCCGGCCCCAGAGCTGAAGGAAACTGCCTCCATGAAACACATAATTCCTTTATTTCGTTTTCTCCAGAGGGGTCCCTGCAAAATCCTTTCGAAAATCACCACGGGGGGCTCTTGGAAAGGAAACAAAACAAAAACCATCCGCGCTCTACCTGGGTGGCGGTTACACTACCGGACTGCACTGTCCTGGGGGGCTACAGGGGGCTTTCCCAGCAGAGGCCACAGCTCCTTAACTCCAGGCCCTGGCAGCTGGCACCAGGGCCATGGGCTAGGCTGGCTCTGCTCTGCCAAGAGGAGGGGGCAGGGTGATCCAGCAGGCTCCAGCCACCTGCTCAGAGGGGACGTGGAGCTGGCAGCAGACCCTGGCACTGCTGGTCCCCGTGGCATAAAGGAGTTAGGTAGCCGGCAGCCACAGTTTTAGGGACATTTAAGTTTTGTTGAATGCTCTCCTGCCACACCAGCATTTCCCTGGAGGCAGGTACCAGGCCTGCTGGTCACAGCTGCCTTGATGAGCAGCCAGGCCACCGCCTCAGACATCAGCAGAGACTAGGGCTGGGATGATAAAAAAAACTCTCCCCAATGAGGCACGGGATTTGCTGCAGTCGCTGGGGGCAGGGGCTCCGTTGGGCTACTCTGACAGCCTTGCTGCCGGCTGCCTGGCCAAACAACTGCCCAGCCCAGGTGCCCTGCACCAGCAGGGAGCAAGGGGAGACCAGGGGGCCGGGCCTGAAAGCCCCAGAGCTGCAGCTAGGGAGGAATCCTGGACACCGGGCACTGCCGCGGCCATCTCTGTGAAATGCCCAGCCAAGGCCATGGCGCCGCCGAGCGGCACAGCCCCGGCTAGCATGGAAGATGGTGAACTAAAAGGACTTCACTACATGATCGGGTGGCAGGGGACAGCTAGCACTGGGGGCTCGACACGGGCGGAGAATCTGAGGTTTGACATTTCATAAAAAACTGTCCAAGTCCGATATCAAAGAGCAGAGGAGCTGATGGGTGGGTTGGGCTTGTGGGCCGGTAAAAATAGCCCCAGCAAGCCAGCTGGCGGGGGGGGAGGGGGGAACAGTTTGTCACAGGGGGAGGGGGGAAGGGTCATCTTCATTTGGTTTCCTGGCGCTGTCAGTTCAGAGACGGGGCGGAGGGGTTTTAGCTCCCGTAATGCATTGTGTTGGTGGTGATGGACATGGGGGAGGCCATGGAGATGGCGGGGCCCCCCATGGTGAACTGGCTGTTGACCGGGTAGTGAGCGCTCGAACCGCCTCCACTCTGGCTGCCGGAGGAGCCTGCGGAGGAGACAAAAGGAGTCGCCATCAGATCCGCCCACCCCGCGAGAGCTCCAGCGGGGTGGTGCCCCGAGCCGAGGCCTCCCCGCCCGCCGCTGGGGGGCTGCCTGGGAGAGCAGAGGGGAGTCTGCAGCTCAGGCCACCGCCCGAGTTACAGGCGCGTGGACAAGGCCAATGGCGGGTGGCAGTGGAGGCGGGAGGACGCCCTCAGGAACGCAGAGATCCCTGGGGAACGGAGCTGGGCGCGGCCAGGAGCGTTACCTGGGACGATGCCGGTGCTCATGATGGAGCCCATCCTGGAGTGCGTGTGATTGACAATCCCCGCGCTGGCCGCTGCAGGGAGACACGGGAGATGCTGCGTGAGCAGGGGAGGGCCCCCCCCAGGGTCCCGGCCTCCCCCAACCCCCTGGCAGCACAGGCCCGTTCCCAGGGAGCTCTGGCCCAGGGGCTAGCAGCTGCTCCACAGCCGAGGGTTACAGATGCACTCCCACAACCTGCCAGCAGTGGGCGCTGCTGTGTCCCAAAAAGCCACTCCCAGCAAGGCTCTAGTCCAGTGGTTCTCAGGACCCATTTGTTCATGGCCAGTCGTGACCCAGTAGATGGGCTGGGGGTGGAGGCCCTGGGGCGGTTTCAGTCAGATCCTGCCCCCCGGAGGGGTTGGGCTCTGCCTGGCTCTCACCCCACAGTGCCGGCTCCCCCGCTCCGGGGTGGTCGCACCGCTCGGGTTTGGCCCTGCCCCCCAGCTTGGTGAGAGGGGGCTGGGCCTTCGCCCTGGGGCTGCAGCACCCCTCACTCAAATCCGGCCTACCATTGTCACCACAGCTGGGCCCCGCGGACCCCCACAGCCGCAACGCCTGGAGCAGGGAGACAAGACCAGCCAGCCCCGGGACTGGACCAAACAGGATCCAGAGCAACACGTGGGTCTTACGGACATGGCTCCGATGTGATGTTCAGCCTGAGGCCCTTCTCAGCTGGGGTCTGTGCTGCACCCCACACAACGGGGCCCCCCCATTTCAGCTGGGCCCAGGCACGACCCCTAATTAACGGGACACTGCGGCACCTGCGGGCTGAAGTGAGCTGGTCCAGGCAGTTAGGGCTTCCCCCAGAGTCACACGTCAAACCCTCTGCCATGACTGAAGCCCAGAGCTGCCAGGGGCCATGTCCCCCAGAGACCCGCAACCAGGGGCCCCCCCTGCAGGACCCCAGTTCCAGGGCTGACCCCTCCTGCCGGGGGATTCCCGTTCAGATGCTGAGACACTCACCTAGAGGAATCAAGTTGTTGTGGCTGACATTGGAGCCACCGGTAATAACACTGCTGAGGTCGTAGGCCGTGGGCATCCCTGCACCAAGGGGGAGAGATGGGGAGGGGTCAGCAATGGGACGCCCCCCTCAACCCCCAGCCATGGCACTGGGGACCCCAAAACCAACCAGAGAATCCATCCAAGGGCCTCAGCGTCTGCCCCCCTGCGGCCGAGGGGTCCCCAGCGTGGGGCTGGCCGGGATTTGCCCAGTGCTGCAGCCTGGGGGCCCTGGCTCGAGGGGAACCACAGGCCAGCGGGGAGATGGCCAAGGCAGCCCAGGACAGTCCCTGGGGCTGGGCAGGGAGGCTGGCTTCAGGGTTCTCTGCCATGGGGAAGTGCCCTGGGGAGGGCCGGGCACTTGGCCAGCTGAGCTCAGCAGCCCCGGGACTGTGGCCAGAGGAAGTAGCATTGCCCAGCAGCCCCCCCTGGAAGCGCGCCAGGCCCCTGCTTGCAGGGCTCTGGATCCCAGGGCCAGGGACTGGGCAGCAGCTCTTCCCGAGCACAGGCTGGCATGACGAGGGCAGGGCAGCCGCCCTGCCCAGCAGCCGCCTCGGGGCCCAGGGAGGCTGGGAGTTGCCAGCAGGGCCTGCCACAAGAGGGGGCCGGAGAGAAGCCGGCCATGAAACAGGCCCAGAGGCCCCAATCTGGGGCTCCAGGACATGCCGCCCTGTGGCCGGGTCCCTGAGCCCATGGCAGGATGTAGGGGAGGGTGGCAGGAAGGCACAGAAATGGAGGGAGGGGCTGGAGGCTCAGTCAGGGAGCCAGTCACTCTCCTGCTTGGGGCTTCAGTTTCCCCACTGGGACCAAGGCTGCGGGGTGAGGCTCAGAGGACACCCAGCCCAGCAGGGTGTGACGAGTCCTGCAGCAGGGAACCCTCCACTCTCAGCTAGCAACAGCCTGAGCTGCTCAGCGTCCCCAGCCGGGCTGCGCCGGGCTTGGAGCCCGGGTGGCTCCCAGCCAGCAGGGGGAGGGGAGGACGGACAGCTGGGGCCCAGCCCTGCACCAGGGGGAGTTTCCCGAGGTCCCAGCCCCAGAGAGCCGATCCCAGCTCAGCAGAGACAACGGGCCAGGCTTGGCGTCTGGCTTGAGCAGCTGCACTGAGGGGCTTGGGCCGGATCGGCCTGGCTTGGGGGTGCTGGGCACTGATCCCTCCCTTTTTCCCAAGGGGAAGTGCAGACCAATGGCAGTGCCCAGAGCAGGAGGGGCATGGCGGTGAATGGGCAGGGGCTGCACGCACCATGGCTCAGCAGGACATGGATCCAGCAGCCAATTAAGCTGCTTCAGCACAGAGCGGGTTGTGTGTCTGCACTGGCCAGCCCCATGGGCTCCCTGCCCCATGGGCTCCCCGCCCCCCCAAGGACCCCCGGATGGCAGGGTACATTACCGGCCACGCCCATCCCCGTGCTCATGTTGTAGGCGCCACCCGTGTTCCACATGTTCTCGGATGGAGACGTGTAGTGGGAGCCCGGCGGAGGGGAAGGAGTCGTGCCTGTGTACCTGTGAGAGACACGTGACGACACGTCAGCGAGGCCTGGACGGGCGGCGGGAGAAACCTCGGCCCCACCGCCAGTCACTGCGGCTGCAGGGGGACGGGCTGCTGCCCAGCCAGGTCAGCCTGTCGGCACGAGGCTCCCCACACAGCACCGGGCTCCCGCAAAAGGCAGAACGGGGCCAGTGACCCTGCACCTCCCAGCCGGGGGGGAGGGCATGGCCAGCGCAGGGTCTTGCTGCCTTTGCCAGCGGATCGGGGGCGCCGCTGAGGCAGCCGGCTTGCAGGGTGGGGCCGTACCTGAAGAAGGGGTTTTTCAAGTCGAGGAGGTTGCTGGACTTGGAACCCGTCTGATCCACCTGGGCGACAATACTTATGTCGTAGCTTTGACTGTGGAGAGAGGGAGACGCATGTCAGAGACTGATCCGGCGCGGGACCCTCTGGCCCAACCCTCCCGCGAGGGCTGGCCCTGCTGGAGCTGCAGACCCCAGCAAGATGGGAAGGGCCGAGCCGGGAAAGAGGAGAAACCTCAGGACAGAGACGCCCCCCCCCAGGGCGAATTCCATCTCTGGCAGGGCTGGGCCGAATGCTGGGACAGTGCAGAGGCAGACAAGGGGGCGCTGAGGGCTTGACTGTGGAGAGGAGGAGACGCCCAAATTGCAACTGATGGGGAGTGGCAATTTGCATGTCCCCCCAAGGAGAACTGGCCTGAGGACCCCCCCCGAACCTGATTCACAGGCCTTCCGGTCACTGCTGCTCTAGCCGGGCTTGGAGGTGCGTTGGGCAGGACAGGCTGGCGCTGGGCAGAGAGGAGGGCTGCCCAGTGATTAGAGCACCAGCTTGGAAGACCTGGGCTCAAACCCCTGCTTTGCCACAGACTCCATGTGACCTTGAGCAAGTCACTTGACCTTGCTGGACCTCAGCTCCCAGCTGTACGTGGGGGTGACAGCCCTGCCCTGCTGGCCGCAGGGAGAAATCCATTCGAGATGGGGCAACTGGGCTGAGTTGACAGAAGGTATTTCCAAGGGCCCCCAGGCCTGGGCTAGGCAGGCGACCACAGACCCAGGGCCAGGCCCCACAGCAGCACGACCCACAGACTAGCCCAGAAGCGGGGTGCAGTGCAGTGCAGGGAGCCGTTTGGAATACAGCTCAGCCTGGCTGCTGGAGCAGTGCATGCTGGGATCCGTAGCCCTCCCAGCCCCAAACCCGCGCCCCGCGGAGTCTGCCTTACCGCTTGTTGGCGATGAGCAGACACGTCCCTGAGAGCGTGTCCCCGGCTTTGGCGAAAAGTGGAGACTGAAACAGACACCGGACCTGGTACCAGTGGGTCAGCGGCTCGGTGGGGGCCGTTGAGAGCCACACTGTCATCCTGCCGGAGAGAGGGGACAGCGCCTAGTTAGCAACAGACGTGGGGACTGGCTGCAATCACCGTCCTGCCAGCCCAGCCCGCTCCAGCCACACCACCAGGGGAACGGGGAGGTGGGGGGCAGAGGTGTCTTCTGCTGGCCCAAGGTGTTTGTAAAGCAACCAATTGCAGCCCCACATGGCTGTTTGCCGGAGCCTCCCACCCCATAGTGATGGGGACAGGGCAGCGCCAGCCACTGAGTCCCACTGGGCCCGTCCAGCCGGGCGGGGGAGGCCCAGGACATCGGAGTCTCAGCTATGCTAAGGACGAGCTCCAGAAGTGAACTCCCCCTGGGGTGGCAGCAGCTGGCCCAGCAGAGCCCAGCAGCCAGGGGCAGACACGAAGGGAGGTGAGGGGTTGAACCAAGATCTCTGTGGTCCCAGCCTCCAGCTCAGGTTCCTGGTCTCATCTGCCACAGGGCTGGGAGTGAAGGAGCAGCGTCAGCCCTGACTCCACGGTGAGGGTACAGCACCCACCGCTCACTGAGAGAGGCAGAGGCAATTCCCTAGGGCTTAGGAACCACTGCTCCGGAGGGGCACTGGGGCACGGAGTTACAGGCGAGAAGGTGGCACAGCAGTCCAGGTAACCGACCAGCTGCTTTCCCATACGGCGGGATGGTGCCATCTCACGGATCACACTTATGCCAGAGGCACTGATGCAGTTAAGACAGGTGGGACCAGGACTCTGGCGTCTCGTTATGGCTCGGAAACAGCTGCCAGAGTTTGTTGGGATGGGACACGTCTCCTTTCCCCTCCTGCCTGGCCCTAGAGCCGATCCAAGTTAAGCACCAAGAAATTCAAAGCACCTTCAGTCAACATACACGTATTGAAAACACAACGCCATCTCAGGCCAGCCAAAACGGTCGTCTACAGTCAAATCTCTTTAGGAAGAATCTACAGGGAGAACACCCGCCCCCTCCCCGCCCCAAATCTCGTGGCATATCCAGGATCCCAGGGGGATTTTGGCTTCCCCACAGAGCACCCCCAGCCCCCGCATAGGATTGTGGCAGATCAGAACAGACCGGGGGGGGCTGGGCTCAGAGTTCTTGCTAAAGAAATCTCACTGCAGCGGGGTTAGGCAAAAGCGTGTACGGGTATCGAGACAGGACCACAAGCGAAAAGGTGACGGAATTGGAACTTGCCAGTTTATTGCAATGTAGAATAGGAGCGATAGCCAGTTATTTGTTTTACAAACCCCAAGCTCTGGTGGGAGGTAGGGGCAGGCTCTGCATTGTTTCCTCCACCACTTACATTGAACCAATGAAGGCTACATCAAACCAGAAAGCCAAGCCATGGACTAGACCTGAATGCAACACGTGGAACTTGAAGGGGATTTCTATCCTGCAAACCAAAGAGAAGCAGTTAGTAGCGGGGTGGGGGCACCTGGGGAGATGCACCCAGAGGTGTGGGGAGTCAAAGCCTGGCAGCGGCTCCCCCCACAGCAGATCATCGCTTCCCACCCAATTCACAGCTCCCCACACACGCCCCACCTCTGGTGGGCCCCCCGGCCAGGGCGTGAGGACAAGTCCCTCAGCCGGGGGCGCCTCTGCACTGACAGAAAGCCGGGCCGAGCTACGGAGCCCCCACGTTCCAGTGCATTGGCTTGTGGCCACTGACCAGCCACGGGAGCTCTGTGGGGGCGGAGCCTGTCTTTGGTCTGTTTGTACCAGCGCCCGACACAATGGGGGTCTGGGGGTGACTGGAGCTCCCGGGCGCTACCGTAATTCCTCTAATAAATACCGCCCAGCGTCCACCATGGAGTTTTGATCTTTCGTGACGGCCGGTGGGTTTCCGTTCAGGGTCCAATCCCGCGCTAGTCCCGGGGGAGGCATTTCAGGACTAGGCTGGACAAAGCCCTAGCAATCCTGGGGGGTCCTGCCAGGGGTGGGCAAGGCGGGACTGCGTTGTGGGACGTTAAATGCTGCCGTGGCTGACAGGGTTGATGGGGGTCCCCCCTCCGGGTTCCAGCCCCACAGGTGTGGGCGAAGGGACGGGTGGGCGTGTGACTGGCACTCACAGGCAGGGCCTGGGAACCTCCATCAGAGCCTGGAGGCTGCGGCTCTGGACATCCTGGCTGCCAGAGGCACCTCCACAGTAAGCAAAGCACATCAGACAGGGAGGCGGGGTTAACGACACCACCTCCCTGCAGCACAATGGGATGCTTGGGGGGCAGCTGGTGGGCATTGGTCCCTCTACCCTGCCACCCGCGGGGATCAGCTCCCACCTCCCCACCCTCCCGCTAGGAAAGAGCGAACAGCTACCTGTGCAAATCGCCTTCTTTGGCTTCTAAGAAGTTGACTGTATATTTAACGGACTTCGCCATTAAAATCCTGATATCAAAGGTGTCCTAGGAGAGAGAGGCACATTGGTCAGTGTCCCAGCCGCAATCGGAGGGTGCACCAGCCGAAGGGCACCGCGGAGCGCAGCCTTGTTCCAGCCTGGCAGCGAGGACGCACCGTTAATGGGCGCACACAGTACAGCGCACAAGAGCGTTTTCTGGGAAGGAAACTGAGTCGGGAGTTGCAGAGGCAGGGAAAACAGGAAAAGGGACTCAGCGGGGCAACCCGAGGAACCAAACACAGATCCTGCTACTGAGCAGCCCAAACTGCTCATGGTCTTGCCAGCATCCCGCGTCGGGCTAGGATCCCACTGAGAGAGAACTGGGGAGAACATACTCAGCTCTGTCCGGGTTTATGAACACTGGGAAGCCCCGGAAACTCCCTTGGAAATGCAGCCACTTCTGGGGAGGAAGGCAGCTGAACAGCTCAGAGCAACACCACCCTACAGCAAACGCTGGGAAGTCAAGCCCAAGCCCATACCAGGGGGACGCAGGAAGGTGGCATGTAACGACCGTGGGCAGCATGCTGGAGCTAATGCCCTGACTCTCTTGGGAAGTGCCAGGGGTCCCAAAGGATCAGAGGGTCAGAATTGCAGATCTGGCTCTTCAAGCAAGAGGTCACCTCTCAGCACAGCACCCCCTAGCCTTCGGCAAGCCAGGCCAGCGAATGGCAAGCCATCCCAGCTCTGCCAGGGGAGGAACGAAGCATAGCCCAGCCCTACTCAGGGCGCTCTGTCCCCTCAAGCGGAGGCTGGGCTGCAGAAGGGCGGAGGAACCTGCTCCAGCAACAGACATCAGGCTTCAAGATGTGAGGTGCCGGGTGTGACCTCCCTGGGCACAGGGCTAATGTAAGCGCTGTGAGAGCCGAGACGGACCCCAGGAGGGACGGGTACAGGAAAGGGCGCAGAGCAGAAATGCTTCCCCAGAGCAATGTCCTCCAGGGGGAGGCTCCCGCACAACCTGGGAGTCTATTGAGCATCTGATTGCTAGTTACTCGGCGGCTCACCAGTGACTTCAATAAATGACTCATCTCAAAGCAGGTCAGTATCACCCTCCCCGCTTGAGGGATGGGGAAACTGAGGTATGGGAGGAGACGTGACTTGCCCAAGGTCACCCAGCAGCAGAGCCAGGACCAGAACCCAGGGTTCCTGCACCCCAGTCCGGTACTCCACCCACTGGCCCAGCCTTCTCTTCCTGCCCTAAGCAGCTGCACAATGCTGCTGTATTCTGGTGACCAGTTACCACCGTCTCACTCCAGCAGCCGCCGCCCAGCGATCCCGGTTTATTCCCTCCCAGCCCGTTTAAACGGCCCGATCTGGGTCCAGAGGGAGGAGCTGGGGGCAGAGGCGGCTGGCTCCCACAACTCACCACAACAGGCTGTCTAAAATACTCATCTACCGCGGCTCCTCTAAGCGCCGACAAGTCCACACCATGAAAGGACGGTTGGTACCTGCAAGAGGAGACACCCATGGAAACCCGCCTGCGCTGACCAGCTCCACCCGCCCACGTGGGCCGGCTCAGGAGGTGTGGAAACCCGCCGGAGGTGCACAGCTGCCCAGAAGCAGAGCTCAAGCCTACGTGGCTGACAGTCACTTCCCTTTGGGGCTCCGGCGCAGACACAAGGCGGATCGGGGCAGAGCTGGGGCTGACCGGGGAAGCCAAGAAGATCGGGGCGCCGCTTGGAGCCCTCCGGCCCCGAGGGACTCAGTATTAGCAGACGACAGCTCAGCATCATCTTGAGAGACAGGCGGGCGCCAAATCAAAGCAGCGTGTGCCACGTGCCCTGGGCGTTATCCCAGAGAGTCCAGGCAACCAGCACTGAAACCCCCCTCATCCAGGGGGGGCGCGGGGGGGGATTATCTCTAGGGGCCATTCAGTCCTTAGCCTCGGCCAAGGCTGACCACAACGGGACCGACAGGCTTTGGGCACCTGACCCCTGGGGAACTGGAGTGAGACCCAAACGCGTGACACGTGGGGGGTTTGGGTCCACGCCCACCTGGGCTATGGAGCCATTTACACTGGGGCTAAAGCCGGGGTGGAAACTCCCTGTGAAGGAGGGGGAGGGAGCGGTGCGGCAGCTCCAGACTGGGAAGGGGAGTCCCGGTAGTTCCTTAGCGGCTGGTGCCCCCCTGAGCCCCAACAAACGCAGTCCCCACCCCATCGAGGCAGCTGACAATGCGCCCCTGCCCCGGGCTGGGTGTCTCTGCCAGGACCTGCGGCGGCTGGAAGGCAGGACCGGGCTATCCTATCTGCTCCCTGAGGCCGCTCGCCTCCCAGATATTGCGGGAGAGACAGAAACATAGATCCACCCTCCCCCCCCCCAAATATTCCCACCGTGGGGGCACTATCTCCCACCGGTGACAGCCCCCGCCGTGCTTTGAACCAGCTGCTGGGCCAGCCAGCGCCTCCTGGGCCCACCCCGGTGGGCAGGGCACCAGCCTCGCGCCAGGGAAAGGACTCACCAGAAATTGGCCTTTGTAAACTGCTCCATGTAGAGCTGCTCGTCTGTGAACGGGGCCAGGTGCACGTCACCGATCGTGGGGAACATGTTACCTGGAAGGGGAGCAGAGGGGGTCAGCGCCCCGCAGGGCTACGCCAAGTCCCTTCCTACCCCTCCAGCACAGGCTGCCCTGCACGCCAGGTTACTAGGGCGCTGGATGGGAGTTTTCCCTCCCAACCGCTTCAGCCGCTAAACAATGTGTCAGGAAAAGTGTCGGCTTTTAGCGCAAACATCTCAAAGCCCCTTGGGTCCCCATTGTTCTTGCTAGGCAGAATCCCACCAGGACTACATCTCCCACAATACACCAGGGCCTTCCCCTTCCTGGGAGGGAGACCATGATGCATTATGGGAGATGCAGTTTGCACCTTGTGTCCTCATTCTCCTCTATGGGCAGGGATCCCCAGCTGGACTACATCTCCCATGAGGCACTGCACCACTCACTGTCAGCAAAAATATTGAACTTTCAAGTTTTCAGCAGAAACTTTCAACTAAAACCAAATCCCCCCCCAAATTTTCCAGGGTGTATTTTTCCCCAGCCCAGCCCTGGCTGGGTCAGAGCATGCCTGGCCCACCCCAGCAATGCCCGGCCCCTTTCCAGGGATTTCCCCAGCACAGAGCCAAAGGTACAGGCCCAATGCATCATGTGTTCGGAAGGAGGTGAGGACTGATTTGGGATCTGGCCTGGGTCTCTGGCCAACCCCCGCCCCAGGCAGCAGCTGGCCCGAATGCCACCCGATCTGGTGCATTTCGGTAGGTACTGAACTGTGCGGGGGCTGCAGGGCTGGCATGTGCATGGGCACAAAACCCCCTTGGCAGCCCAAAGCAGAGCTCAGAGCTATGCACAGATACGCACGTCATTTTCCTGCCTTGTTCAGGTCTCAAGCACATCGAACCCACCAGCCGCACCCTTCCCCCCTCCGATGTCTGACTTGGGTTATGGCTGGGCGGGACGGAGACCGGCAGGGGCACAGAGCCGATCCCCCTAGCTAACAAACCGAACTCCTCGACCGAACGAGGTCACTGAGGAATGTTCAAACAGCGCGGCCTGCGGCAGATCAGCAGCAGAGGGCTGTTGGCTGGGCTGGTTCCCCTTGGCTTTGCGATCTGGGCTCTCTTCCACATGGCCACAGCTGCCGATAGCTATGTGCATCGACACTGCCCAAGATGCTTCCCCCGATTCTATCCCCTTCCCCGGCAGCCCCCAGAGCGCTCTGTCTCCTCCAGGCAGGCCGCTCTCACCACCCACCCCGATAGCTACGCCAGCCCTCAAAGGAACTGCCAGGCCGGGTCAGACCCGACGCCCATCTACCTCACAATCCCACCTCCGACAGTAGGCAGCAGCAGATGCTGAAGAGGAAGGTGCGAGAGGCCTGCGGTAGCAGACATGGAACAATCTGCCCCCCACAAAAGCCTCCCGATCTCTAACAGTTTGACTCGTTTGCACCCCAAAGCAGATGGCTTTACAGCTCCAGAACTCTACCATTAACAACTACTCAGGCTCTTCTGGGGAGCTGTAGAAAATGCCAACACCTCTTAGAATCCATCCAAGTCCTTGGCCCCAAAGCCATCCAGTGGCAGTGGGTTCCGCAGTGTCACGATATGTGGAACAGGATCGCCTCGGACTGGTTTTGAATTTGCTGTTTCAGTTTCACTGAGTCCCTGGTTGATGAGATGGGGAGAAGCCTGATCTGCCGTTCTCTCCCCCATTCGCCAGAGATTTATGTCCCCTCTCTAAGGTCAGCCATCACTCTTTGCAATCTCTCCCCCCAGGAGAGTTTCACAGGTCCTAATCACGCCCTTTAACATTCTCTGAAGCCCTGCTAATGCCCGAATGTCCCTCACATGGGTTCTCCAGGACAGGGGACAGCCTGGACTGTAAGAAGCCAGGCAGCAGAGTTTGGGATTGGAGCACAGCTCAGGGGCTTTAGCGGTTAAAGTTTCAAGATTAAAGAGTGGAGCATCTAAGGCCACATCTGACTTGTTAGCTAAACCGGGCTGGATCTGTAGCTAGCCCAGGACCTTGGCAGAACTGCCAACCCTGAGAGCCCAGAGAAATCAAAATTACCTAAAAATGAAACGTGTGAGAGAACAGCCTGGGGGGGGGGTTCACATTTCCAGGCTTCTCTCCAGTCTCCAGGGTTAAAAACGGACTCGAGACAAGAGTCTCCGACGCACGTGGCTCCAGGAGCAGAGGCTTTACGAAAATCCCCCAAATATTCCCCGACTTGGGCTCTAAATCCCGAGAGCTGGCGACCCTGCTTATCCACAGGCTGATGGGGGTCCCGCCCTCCAGATTTCACCGTGCCAGAGAGCAGCACTGCCTCCACCCCAGCGTGGCATGGCCAGGACTAGACTGGTAGCCCAGCTCTTCCAGGCCCCTCCAGCTGGCGGAGGCTGCCTGGCCGAGCCTTCCTTCGCTTTACGCACTCCGTTTAAAACCTCTTCACCTCCCCATTACCTAGCGCAGCTCCAGACCTCTTCGGGACCAGCTCAGCGACTTGAGCCCCGCTCCAGAAAACGACGGCCGACCCGGGTTCATTTCCTCCCTCCCAGCAAACAACTGGGTTCCTTTCCTCCTGGCTGACGCCCACCCCTTGAAGGGAGAGGAGCTAGGCGCAGCTCAAGGGGCGGGGAGGGGTGGCGAAGCCTCTGGGTGCGTCTACACTGCAGTGCAAAACCCACGGCTGGCCCCTGCCAGCTGACTCAGGTGCGCGCCAAGGGGCTGTTTAATTGTGGCGCAGATGCTCAGCCTGGCACCCGGGCACCAGGGCTCTGTGAAGGGGAAGGGCCATCTACACGGCAATGAAACAGCCCCACGAGCCTCAGTCAGCTGGCACAGGCCAGCCGTGGGTGCCTAACTGCAGTGTAGACAGACCCCACCATCTTCTCAGCATCAGGGGAGGGGGGAAGGGACCGGGAGGGGCAGGCAGAGAGTGGGAACTATGACTAGGGCAGACTGAACTTACAAAACCCCACACCTTGCTCCCAACCCCCACTAAAGACGCATTGGTCGCCAGGAGAGCTGGTGTGGCCCAGGGCAGGGCACCAGACTGGAGTTCAGGAGACCTGGCTCCCGTGCCCAGCTTCACCGCTGACCTGCTGTGTAGCCTCCTGCCCCTTTTGGTGCCTCCCCTCCAGCTGAGCCGTTTGGGGCAGGGGGCCCCGATCCTGGTCAGGGTCTGAAAGTCTGTGCTTTGGAGACATTGCAACATTTCCAAACAGTAACGGTCCTCGGAGCGGCTCTGGTAAGTGGCTCAAAGGGCTGGTGAGCCCGCGGGGCCGGCAGCAATCGCTCTGCAGGGAGCCTGGGCTGAAAGTCGCGGGCAGGGCCGTTACAGTCACATTCCCATTTCCACCTTTAATCTTTGGTGCAGCCACTGCAATTCAGTGGAGGGACTAAAAACCCCCGTGCGCTCAGTGTGTCCATTTTCCTAATGATCTATATCCAAAAAAGCTACCCGGGCTTCCGGGGGTTGCTGAAGGCTGGTGGTCTGGGGATAATCAGCGTGGAGGTCAGGCACTGCTGCTGCGAACACAAGCGGCGACCAAGACTAGCATGTTGGCAGGGGACTCAGGTGAGAACAGAAATATCGAAGTGGTAGATGTTACTAGTTTGCCCGCATGTTAAATGCAAAAAAAGACTCCCCCCGCCCCTCCTTTGGTCTCCATTGCAGGCTGGGGGATGATTTTCCCTGTTTAAATTTCAGCCTAAAACAGCTCTTCACCTGCGTAACGTCTCCCTCCCCTGCTCTTTATCAATGGCAGCGCTCCTAGCTCGCAAGTCGCTAGTTAAGTGCCCAGCATTGCAGAAGCCCTAGTGGGTTAGGGGATATGAAACACAAGACCCGCAAATCACCGTTCTGAACTGACAAAGTCAGGGGGATTCTATGTCCGGAGTCAGAGCCCAAGCCTGTGGCCACGCTCAGCCTGAAGCTAAGCTGAGTTTGCAGGATCAGGCCTCAAGCAGGCGTGTTGTAAGATCTGCTCTCACAAACCGGTTCCGGGCCCGTGTTACAGAGACTCTTCTGAGCAGCACGTGTTCCGTACGGAGCTGGCTGCTCCTTGCAGACAGGTGGCAGAGAAGTTAAAAATGAGGGTTTTCAAAACAGTGTGGGACTAGAGATGGTAAGAGTCCATCACCACCTCTGTGCAACATATTGGAACAGTTTAATTTGCCAAGCTTAATCAAATACCAACACCTCTAACGAGAGCATACACACATGCTGCTTTCTCGCCACCAGAAGCAACAGACTGTTCCAGATCCCTTCTCCAGCAAGTTAAAAACTGATCTGGTCCCGCCCTCCCCCAGCCCACCCCCGGTAAGGAAGGCAACTACACATGCCCTAGGCTATTGATTTTTCTAGGAGCATTGCTTTTGGATGAAGGCAGGGACTAAAATACGGCCAAAGGGACGGACGGGGTCAGGCCTGTTCAAGAGGGCGGAATACATTAGGGCTGATGAGTCATGTCAGCTCCTTTGGGAAATTGCCTGGAACACAATTTAATGACATTTCGAGATTCGTTGCATTGCAAATCACCTCTCCGCTCGGGAGTCCGGCGGCTGCACATGCAGCCTTTGGCTAAGCCGCTGTCTGATGGCAAGCGATCCGTTGGGGGGGGAACAGTAAAAAAGATTTTTTTAAAAAAGAGACAGAGCTCCAAACCAGCTATCCCCGCGCTCGGGCAGCCTGGCCATCACCAGGCCGGGGGGGGGGAGGGAGGGGGGGGGAAGAGCCATTTCCAGGGGCAATAGCCGCAGCTTCTCTCTCTACTGCCCTGCATCCCCCGCCCCAACCCCCATGTGAGAACATTCCCCACAGACAAGCCCAGGCCTTCCCATTTTCACAGCAGGCAGCCCCCTTTGCTTTCCTCCCACGCCAGGAGCGGGCGCCGCGAGTCATCCCCCAGCCTGAAAGCTCTTGCAGCCACTCTCCTGTGGTCACATTTTTGCAGCAGCCCCTTGGCTGTAGAGAACTTTGTTTTGAAGAGCCGGAGGGGCCTGGTGGGCTCAGCCTGGGGGGTCACAAGATGAAGTCAGGCCCCTCTTCGCACCAGCCCCGAGGCCCAGGAGGGCAGCCAGCTGCTTAAACGCCCAATGGTGTAGCTCAGCCCTCACGGAGGAGCAGAGCTGCTCCTGGGCTGGAGGGGTCAAACCACGACTCACACACCAGCCTGGAACGCCCGATTGTTCCCCAGCCTACCAGCAGGTGGAGACCAGCACCACGCCCTGCCGGGGCCTTGGCTCTCCGCTCCACCCCACCAGGCAGCATTGGTCATCGAATCAGGCCCCTGAGCGAGCGTCTCCGCTGGAGGGGCCTGCTACATATCCAGGGGCACCAGCTCACGCAGCCCAGACTCTGCCTAGCAGAGGGGCCGTATTGCCTGGGAGCCCGGACCTGGTCTCCAGACCAGAGGAGATCCAGCTGCCCTGAATACAGGAGGAGCTGCCTGGCTAGCCGTCCCAGCATGCAATGCTATAGGGCCACTCGGCTCACGCCGGAGCAGCTGCGTGTGGGGCCCTGCAGTCTGTATTCAGAGCCCCTGGGTGGCTGAACGCTGCGTGCGGTTTGCAGCTCACCGAGTGGCTATCCTCACGCTGTCGGGGTCATGAAACCACGTTACCCAATGCATTAGACACCTATGGGTGAAGCCAGGACGAAATGGACACAAGAACCACCCCCAGTCACTAAGCACGCTAAGCGTGACACATGAATCCCTCACCCCAGTGAGGACGCCGCCGTTCTCTGACCCAGCGTAAGACGCCGCAGCCTGCACACGCAGCTCCCACGGGCGCGCCAGTGGGCTACGTTTTTGAACGAGGAGCATAGCGAGAAAGCCAGCCAGCCAACGAAACCCAGCTCTCGCGCCCTCGCCAGCCCCAATCGTTTGTAACGCTCTGGCCCACAGACCCAGATCTCTTGGGCTCCACGGCTGATATTCCCCCAGCAACGGAAATCCCAGAGCATCCTCAAAAGCCGATTATCTGCCCTACCATCCCCACCTCCGACACTGAACCAGCTTGCCTTTAAACATTGAGAGACTGGTTGAAAAGGGATTTGATTTCACCTGCCCCTGAATACACCCCTCCCCATGTCTGTGGGGAAAGGAATATTGTGGAATGGGGTGTTTCGGTCAGCACTGATCACTTACCACTGGGCTTTAAGTACTTCTTGGCATGCAGGTAGCTTTCCAGCATGCGTTCGTTGAAGAGCATATACCCCATAGGCTCCGAGATAATTATGTCCACCTGTTCGGGAAGCGAGATTTCCTCCACCTTGCCGGGGATGACCACGATCCTGTCCGTGAGGTTGTTGCTTTTCACTAAAACCTGGGCGAGGAGAAAAAAAGTCAGAGAAAGGAAAAGAGAAGCGGCCCCCACTTCCCGGGTCTAAGCCAGCCACATGATCCAAAATGATCTGTGGGTATCTGCTGCTGGCACCAGCCCAGGAACATGCAGTGGGGTTTGCTGGGACTATCACGAATTGTGCTAAAAATACATCAGGGCAAAAATGATCTAGTTTAACTGAACGTCTGCGAGACAGCTTCAAAGGAGGGCAAAGTCAGTCAATTTCATCCAGCTGAGCGAGACTGGGCCAAAGTCTTTAAGAGCAGGGGATCTTCTGAAGACAAGGAACCGTGGCAGGGAGTGCCATGCATAACCCAGTCAGGGTCATGTTCCAGCCCACACATTCAAGTCCTTTCACCCCACTTTCCTCTCCGGATCCAGCACTTGGCATCTTCCAACCACTTGGTTACCTGGTCACACCTCCTGACACCTGCATCGCATAGATGGGTAAACCGAGGCAGGAGAGAGGACGTGACCTGCCCCAGGTCAGACTGAGTCAAGAGCATACCAGTCAAAGCTCGGTCTGTATAGGCTGGAAATTCAGGTTGTGATCCTCACTGGGAGAGGGAATGATACAAAATGGATGGGGGCTTCTGGTCACTGACTGGGGGAGAACGTTTCAGGGAGGAAAAATGGACCAAGCTGCAAATACACAGCAACAGACCTGAGCTCATGGAACCAGGAAGAGGCTACGAAATGAGCAACTTCTGGGCTGATGGTCTTTGGAACACCTTCAAGAGACCCTGGCTCATGGCTCCTCTCCCTATAGGCCTTGCCAGCCTGAAGCACGAGTAATCCCAGCTCTCCCTTTCCTGATGTGCTAGAATCCTGGTGAGCCATCCAGGAGGATCCTTTCAAGGAGACCCCCCAGGTTCTCTGGGCCAATACATCAGACAGTTTCCTTCCAGTTTTTGGTCTTCTCTCAGATTCCCCGCACACACCCGACTCAGCTCCTGCCTCCGAGTCCAAGCATCAGTACAGGGCTCCCCTCCGCACAGAGCCCAAAATAATCCGTGCTTTATGTGGGGTCTGCAACACTTTATCAGCTGAGTGACCGGTTAACAAAAGGGATCTAGAACCCCAGGACAAGAGTTCCTGGAAGAAGAAAACCACGGTTCCAGAGCTTGCCTGTCGGGTCTTTGCTTTCAGAGTCAACTAACCAGCAGCATCCTGGGGTCCCGAGGGCAGGACCACAGCAGCCGGGAGATACAAGAATGCCGAAGCTATCCGGCATTTCCGCACACTTGCCATAACTTGCAACCAAGTAGGCAGATAGCAGCAGCAGCAACTCCTCATCAACAGCGCAGCTATTGCCTGTCTCCTCAGTGGGGTCTTCAGTCACTTCCTGTCTTCCGCAGGGGTGTGTGCTTCCAAGGAAGCTGCCATTTCCTGATGGGGAAGACCCCACCAGGTCATCCCCACCGCCAGCACGCTGACCGTTTGCTCGTTCCCATCCACAGATCTGACAGCTAGACGGGACCAGGAGCCCCCACAGCCTGAGCTCCTGCATAGCAAGCCAGAGAACTTCACGCAGCTACCCCTGGATTAACTCACTGGATCGTGTTGGACCAACACTTGTCTTCCAGCCAGCCAGTCTGGAGGCTTCAGGAGACAGAAAAGCACTGCTTCCCTGACGTTGAACCCCGTCCTGGGGACACATCACCACGGCCTCCTTCTGCCATGACCTTACCCTTGTGGCATCATCTGAAGTACATCCTTCCAGCCTCCACCAGCCGCATGGATTTGGCTCCTCCCAGCCACCGTGTGCACTGGACCCTGCCAGCACCAGTTCTGCCAGCAAACTACGTGGCCAGTTTTTCTCTGCCCTTTTTTTTAGGGATGCTCTGATCTCACTCCATCTTCCCCAGACCCTGCCAAACCTGGGAATTCCGCTCTTGGGAACTGTCCAAGTCCTGACAATCACACTCTGGATAAACCAATTGGGCTTGGTGCTGGCCCAGTTTCATCAACTGGCTCCAAACTTTGCTTTTCAGACTATTTCAGCTTATCTCCTTATGTCCCGCAAACACTCCAGCGCCGGAGTCCTGCATGTCTCATGGTTAGAGTGCAGGATGCCTGGGTTCTATTTCTGGTTCTGCCACCAACATGGCAGGCGTCCTTGGGCAAATCACATCCCCTCCTCATGCCTCAGTTTCCCCATCCATAAAAAGAGGTTAGGACCCAGCTGACCGAGGGGGGCTCTCTCTAAATGAGAATGGCTAGCTTCATAATACAGCCAAAGTGCCACCATGTCGCTCCAGAGCCTCCCACTGGCCCTCAGCTCCTTTTGACGCCCAAGTATAAAAGCAGCATCGTGTACCAGGTCTTGCGCTGTGGCCTGTTTCTCGTGAGCACCTGTTGAGTCTCCGCAGCACAGAGAGAAGCCTGGTGCGTCTGCGCATCGGTTAGATGCCATCAAACGAAGCCTTCGCTGTTCTAAGCAGCGCTTCACCAGATGCCTGGGCTGATGCCGGTCCGGCTTCCAGAAGTTAGCGCTGGGACGCTGGACTGAGCAATGCTGAGTTCCCACGGTGGCTCTTCCTCAACGCTCCACCGGTGTCCGGTTCGCTGGCTCAGCCACCGTTCTGAACTGGCGCTCCCATATCCCCAGGGCTGAGAGAGGCACCAGTCCTGACGGAGCCCCACGAGGAAGCTTGAATGCTTGACAGGATTTCAAGCCAGGTAACGCCTTGGCTGGCTTGGCAAAGCCTGCCCCAGAAGGCTGCAGCTCAGCTCCCTCACAATCATGTGATTCTTTGACCTGGAGGATGATCTTCCCGCACCCAGCACCCTGCTGCACAGGGACTGTCTCCTCTTTGGCTGAGGAGAGCAGCCCACAGCGCCTTGGCAGAGGAGCATCCCTGCAAGGCAAAGAGTGTTGACCTGCAGGCAGCTGCCATGTGAGCCGTACTGACCTCCGCCTGCTGGGCCATCGTGCTGGCTTCTACTGCATAGATTTTTCTCGCCCCAGCCTGTGCGGCAAAGAACGAGAGGATGCCGGAGCCGCAGCCGACGTCCAGGACGATCTGGGGAGAGAGGAGGGAGAGAGTGAGGAAGCAGCTGCCGATAGTCCCCCCCGCCCTCCACCTACCGACTGACCCAGTGGGCTCGTTCAATCCCTTTGGTTCAGACATGTGCGCCGCGGGGAACGGCATGCCTCGCTCTCCCAGCAGCTTGCCTGTGCCAGAGACCAGGTTGAAAATGCAGCTCAGGATGGAAGAATTCCTGTTTCAGGGCCATCCACCAAAATTGGAGGATTGAAAACAAGCCGCCCCTCGGAAAGGAGCGCTCCCAAATATTTGCTTGAGTTGGAGAAAGGAAAGCTAAGTCCCCCCACAACTGTTTTGAAACCTCTGAACTCCCCACAGATCCCGCCACCTATGGGCCAGGCCAGTCTCCCGCCCGAGACCTCAAACCAAGCTCTCACCAGCAGGGACCAAAACGATCCCACAGCCTTTTACACAACAGCTGGGGTTTGGTCCCCATGTCTTTGGGTCAAATCTCCCCTGGGCGATGCACTGGCTGCTAAGCTCCACCCCAGAGGGAGCTGCATTTCAGCAGCTCCTAAGAGTCTGGGATTGTCCATAGTTCAGAGCGGTCTTGGGGGTCGTACGGCCTCGGCTCCAACTGGGTGAATTTTAACTGGGCTCCTTTTATAGACAATGACTCACAAATACAAGCGAACCGAGGCTGCAGGGACTTCTCAGGGCACAAAGCACGTATCGTTTAATTAGCAACATGGCGGCAGAAGACAGAACCGCCCGTCTGCATCAGTTGCTCTTATGCGCATGTAGATCTTTGTGCTGGCTTCTGATAAGAAGCTACTGAAATTAAAAAGCTTATCCACAAAGACAGACTTTCAAAACAGCCGTTCCCGGCAGAAAGACGCGGCTTTCAGAGCTCTGCTTGCGGTGGGAGAAATTGCTTCAAGTGTCTAACTTTGCCCCATTTAAAAAAAAAAAAAAAAAAAAAGATTCACCAAGATCTTGATCTGTCAGGAGATTTACAGAACGGGGTCCCCTGCCTTGGCAGAGTCACGGTTTTCACCGCCTGCTTGCTCCGGAGAGAATCCCACCCCGGGAGGCAATAAAACGGAAAAATGTTTACTCCCAATTAACCCTATTGGATCAAACAGCAGCAACGCTGAGCACTCCCACAGTAGCTTAAAGCAGTGTACAAATGCTACATTGTACGTCTGCAATATTGAAAGCAAGCACAGCTGAAAGGGCAGAAAAAGGCCCTGGGAACCAGGACTCCTGGGTTCCATTCTGAGCTCTGGGAGGGGAGTGAGAACTAGTGGGAAGAGCATGGAAAGCTGGGAGTCAGGACTCCTGGGTTCTATCCCCGGCACTGGGAGGGGAGTGGGATCTAGTGGGTTAGGATGGGGGTGCTGGGAGTCAGGACTTCTGGGTTTTATCCCCACGAGTGGGATCTAGCGGGTTAGGACAGAGCGGGCTCTATTCCCAGATATGCCACTGGCTGCCACCTTGACAAGTCACCTGCCTCCCACCACGCTGTCTCCTCTGTAAAACGGGCCCATCAGGGGGTGCAGTTCAGTGAAGTCTCTGTGGGTGGTTTGAGGGTCTCAGGTGGCAGGGGCTGTGCAAGGCAAAATCGCTGGCTATAACTCAGGACCGAGGCCTAGCGCCTCCCGAGGCTAGTGAGGAAAGCCAAGCCCTCGAGTTGACAGAGCACAGTGTCACTCGGGTCGCACCCACAGAGAACGGTTCCCATGGGGATGGGAGGGACTTTACAGCACCTGCCACTAGCCCAGAACTGCTGAGCTTCCCTTTCCTCGGAGGCAAATCTTCCCGGCAGACAGGCCAAGCAATCCCACCACAGGACCAGGCACGTGAAGGGACGATGCAGGAGGAGCATCTGCCATCCTCCCTCCAGGCCGGATCATACTGTTCACCCCATCCCCAGTGAGTCCAACACAGGTGTGTTAGCTGGATCTTCACCGCAGACCAAACCATCACCTGGCTGCCCAAGTCAGGATAAGAAGGGTAAAGAGAGAGAAAGAGCTTTTGATACAAATGGCTCCCTTGCCAATCTCAGGAGATGAAATCGACGCAAGCGCAGACACGAGTTCCACACGATTCCCCCGCTGCGCGAGTTCTAATTAGACCCTCCAGGAACAAGGTTCACATACAAAGCCAGCTGGTCCCCTGGCTGACAGCGTGGCCTAATTGGTTAGTCTTAATCTCAATTATTAATTACGTGTATTACAGAAGCACCTAGAGATCGCGACCAAGACGGGGCGCCCCTTTGTGCCAGGTGCTGCACAGACTGCGCGAGAGACAGTCCCTGCCCAAAGATCTCAGGCTAAATAGCCAAAAGCTGGGAGGGGAAACTGAGGCACCGAGAGTGGAAGACTTGCCCAAGGTCACTGAGCTGGTCAGCAGCAGAGCTGGGAATAGAATCCAGGTCTCCAGAGTCCCAGTCGCTGCCCTGTCCACTAGGCCACTCTGTCTCCTTGTGATGGATGGTGGGAATTGGGATGGTCACATGCATAGACCAAGATGGCATGAAGTGGGTGTGGCCATCAATGCCTATACCCGTCAGTCAGGCAGTCTAGTGCCCAGATCATGTGGGTCCATTAGGGGAGTGGTTGCTAGGAACAGAGTGCCTCCCGGCACCCAGGAAGCAAGCCAAGAGCCGAGACTAGGGAGCCCCTGCTGTATTTAGAAGGTGTACGGCGGTAGCGTCTAGATGCCCCCGGCACGGACCAGGATCCCACTGGGTTAGGCGCTGATCACCACTCACAAGCTTCTGCCTGTCCGGAAAATACACGATACTTTCAGCTGCCTCATCCAGGGAGCAGGGGGGCGGCATACCCACAGGCACCACCCGTGGGTCACCTCCAGGTCGCTGGCTCACAGCTGGCCCAGCCGCTGGTGATCAGGAGTCACTGCCCTCTGATGGCTCTTGGCTGTGAGAAGGGCGGGGGCCCACTCTAGCTCTGTGCCCCCATCACAGTAAGGGGAGACTCAGCCGAGAGACCAAGGACTGTCTGAGTCAGACACTGAACTCCCCCACTGGAAGGAACACAACCTCTCTCATGAGGAGGATGGGGGTGGACAGGCACTCCCAAGGCCTGGCTGAGGCCATTACTGGAGAGAACCAGGCTCCTGCTGCCCCAGTGTTTGAAATCCCTCCCGTACCCAGCGACGCCACAGTGCGATCCCTGGCACAGCCCTTGGCGGGAGCAATGTCTACACGGCTCAGCCCGATGCTGCCGGTACCAGAACGGGGCTCTCCGGTCCCGGCCCTTGCCCTGCAGGGTCGGAAGGCATCAGACCACGCAGACTGAAACACGTGGCTCTGGATCAGCTGCTGTCTTCCTCAGGCTGGTTTAGGACGTTCTGGGTGCAGCTACCTATCGGCATGAGCAGGTGATCAGTGCCCCACCAGAGAGTAGCTCCCAGCAGAACCTTTCCTAGCACGCTGTCTCGTCTAGCTGCTCGGGCAATGGAGCTCCCATGGGAGTCCACTCCAGAGGCAGGAGGCTCCTGACTCCCTGTCATAATTCATCCCACTGCCCACCTTGCGAAGCCGCCTGCCTTTCCTCCCGAGCATGGCCAACGGCCCCGTATCACAGCCGGCCGGGAGGGGCTAAGAGTCTGAACAGAGCCAGTACTCTGGGTACCCATCACCACGGGACCCACGGCCCTGGGGAGTTCTACACTGAGTTTTGTTTCAGAAGACAGCTGTCCCGGCAGATACAGCCCTTGGATTTACCCCACCCCTCCCAGGGCACCTGGAAGTTAAAGCACCACTAGGATCCCCCCAAAAGCAGTCACGGAGAACCTAGGCTGCATTTTTACTGCTTTGCCCTTCTTTCCTCCTCTCGCCATCCCAGCCACTACCCAGCACTAGGGTCCCCTCTAGCGGATGGGGAGTCAGGACTCCTGGGTTTGAGTCCTGATTCCGCCGCAGCCGCATGGAAAGTCGTTTCCCATTTCCGTGCCTCACTTTCCTCTATAACAGACTCCCCATCTCCCAGAGGGCGGAGTTACTGCCAGGAAGCCTCAGGATCCTTGGACGGAAGGTGCAGTGTGATGAGAAATGCCACCACCTTCTCTGGGACCAGATCCACACCTGACAACTTTGGTTCCCACTACACTCACCACATAACCAAAAAAAACCCCAGCCAACAGTACAGGCCCATTACCAGACGGAAACGGGCAAATTATGAATGATACAGAAAAAGCAAAGGTGTCCAGTAATTATTTCTGTCCTGTATTTGGAATGAAGCAGGACAACGTACTCAGACTTTCCAGTCCATTAGCGAAAGAGGAAGACATTAAACAGCATTCACTAGGTAGAAACGTTTTTAAATTAGCAGGTCTGGATAACTTTCACCCAAGAGACTTAAAATAGTTGGGCAAGGAGAAGATCTCTGGACCGCTGTTAATTTTTCATGAATCCTAGAATATCAAAGAAATTCCAGAAGGCTGGAAGAGTGCTGACTTTGTGGCCATATTCGAAAAGGACAAGCAGGATGACCTAGATAACCATAAGCCAGCCAGCCGGACATCAATCCCAGGCAAAATAGTAAAAAACCTGATATGGGATTCAAAGAATTAAAGAAGAGGAATCTAATTATTGCCAGTCAACATGGAAAAATAGGTCACATTTCACAAACCTGAGTGCAGTTTTTGATACGACGACAAGTTTGTTGATAAATATAACAGACCCGCAGAGTGATCTGGATCGCTTGGCAGGCTGGGCCCATTCAAACACGAGTTACAACACAGGCAAATGCCAAGTTATCCCTCTAGGAACAAGGGCTGGCAGCCAGCCCAACAAACGGGGGACTGGAGAGCAGCGACTCTGAAAGGACGTAGGGCTCATGGCAGACAAGCAAACCAAGGGGAGCTGCCAGTGCCCTGTATGGAGAAAAGGGCTGGTGTGACCCTTGGTATATAAAACAGGGGAGGAGAGAGGCGATTTCACCTCGAAGCGCCACTGGGAGCCCAACACTGTGGCCAGTTCTGGGGCCACATTTTTAAAAAAAGAGGTTGAAAACGTGGGAAGGGTGCAGAAAAGAGCCACAAATATGATTCAGAGGCTTGAAAAACACCTTCGGGTGAGAGATTGAAGCAGCTCAATCTTTTTGGATCATCAAGATCGAGAGGGGACCTGATTAGAGTGTCTACAAACTTCCTGGGGCGAAACCGGGGGGTGCCAGAGGGCTCATTAGCGTAGCGGAGCAAGGAGAACAAGAACTAACGGCTGGGAGCTGAAGCCAGACATTCTCATCAGAAACAAGGCCCCACTTTTAACAGCGAGGTGCGATTAACCAGGGGAACAAACTGCCAGCGAACGGCGGCTGCTCCACCTCTCAAGATCTGCTAATCAGGAGCCTTTCGGAACAAGATGCTTTAATCAGACCCCAGGGACTGTGCTCAGTGCAGGGGGATGGGGAGCAATTCTCTGACTCCTGTTACAAAGGAGCTCAGACTAGATCTAATGATGCTTCAGGCCTGGCAAAGACAGCGGAAAACCCAGTTCAGCAGCCCGACGCGGCCAGCAGCTCGTACTCGTTCTCTTTGCACGCGTTGGCAAGAAGCTCACATGGGAAGAGAGGGGCTCTGGCCAGCAACGCAGGTTTTCAATTAACATGCTGCCCAGGATATTCCATTAGCTGCTGCTCTCCGTGGTTATCAGCAGACATGAGCCGAGATCAGGCCAGCAGCCCGGAGCCCGGGTGTAACTAGCTGAGCGCACGGAGAACTGGGGCTATTGGCTGCATGTTACTTTATTGGAAAAAAAAACAAAAAAAACAAAAAACAAAAAACCCCACACCTGGTGGTGGGCACGACTATCCGACCCCAGACAGCACGAAACACAGGGTTCAGCGCCATAGCACAGATCCAAGGGCTCGCGGGACACGGCCGGTCCAACACCTTCTGCTGGCTTGATCCCAAACCCAATGCAGAAAGGCTACAGGGATCCTAGCAGGGGCGGTGACAGCATCTCAGAGGTTGGGTGAAGATTAACCCAGCCTTCGTCAAATACATCCCTGACCTACACCCTAGGCAGGGGAAACAGCGTACGGAGACCTGCCCAGTGATCAGAAAGGAGAACTGCCGCAGGGGAGATCCCAATGCTGTGCCGGCCACGCCCTCTTCCATGAGCCCCCCCCTCTGGAGTCTGACAGAGGGGTAGCAGGATTTCTCCTCCTCCTCACCTTGTCTTTGAAGTCACTGTGGTTCTGCAGGATGGCCCGCTGGTACGTGCCCGTCCGGACGTAGTCCTGCATCATGTTCTGTTGCTGGGACAGGTAGCCGTAGAACTAAAGGAGACATGAGAGAGTTCGTTTACGCCCCAGAAAGGGAGGCGGGTCTCGCCTGGGGGAGGATGGAATCTTGCCAGAGACGAAGGTTCCCAAAACAAAGCCGGCACAGAGCAGCTGGGTGACTGCTCGGGAGAGGGGCAGGGTGCTGGTGGGTTTTCCCCTTAGACAGCTCGGGGGCCATGCCATCTCAGGTTGCGGCCTTGGCAGGGCGGGCCAGTTGGTCCTGGGATAGGAGATCTCCAAGGAAAACCCAAGGCACTGCAGAAAACAGCGCTGGGCACACATCCATCATGGTCAATACTGAGCCCAACATTCAAGCATCACTCTAGGGGGTGCTAACCCGCAAGCAGCAGGGCTAAATGGAGCTCCTCCCCATGCCAGCTACTGTCCCGAATGGGGCAGGGGCGCTGGGTTGCTGCACCCTCCCTCCCATGTGTCATTAACGAATCTGGGGCACACTTTGCAAGAGGATCCTGGACCAATTCAACGCTGCCCTCCCTCCCCCGGAGCACGGACTGCTGAGGGTATGCCGCATGGCCTTTTCTGCGGGCCGGGGGGCCTCCCCAGGCAGGGACAGCTGCAGATCTACACATGCAGCTCCTAGGAGATCGGGCAGCAGCGGGCCCTCCTACCTGGAAGTACTGCACTGCGGAAGACTCCTCCGTCCGCTCGCTGAACACTGACCGCTCTATGTTGTGACCCCGGCAGTTTTTCAGGATATTATAAAAGGAACAGAAATCTGAAAGCAGAACCAAGCGCTGGGGCTTTAGAGGGGTCATCGCTGGCAGAGACCCAACGGGGGGGGGGGGGGGAAGCGCCTCACCTGATGAGCCGTGTGCCCCACTGGCCAACGGGGCCAAGGACAGCCCCAGTTGGTCCTCATGGGGTTGCAGTGGGGGAAGGGGCAAGAAATGAAAGCTGAATGGGAGGGAAGGGTCACTGGAACAAAGGGGAAATATGGCTGCAGAGAGCCATGAGTGGGGAAGCCTCTGAGATGCACTAAGGACTGCCCTGAGGCTGGGATCACAGGAACCAGAGATCCCTGACCATCAGGGCAGGGGCAAGGAAGGAGAAGGAACAGCCATGGGCAGGGCAGAATCACAGAAACGTGGGGCTGGGAGGGACCTCGAGAGGTCGCTGAGCCCAGCCCCCAGCGCTGAGGCCGGACCGAGTCAACCTAGACCAGCCCAGACAGGGGTTTGTCCGACCTGTCCTTAAAACCCTCTACCGATGGGGATTCCCCAGCCTCCCTTGGAAGCTATTCCAGAGCTCAACAGTCCTTAGCATTAGAAAGTTCTCCCTAGTGTCGAACCAAACTACACACTAAGCGGATCATTGTCCTACCTCCAGTGGCCATGGAGAACAACTGACCCCCATCTTCTCCAGAATATATCAGAAGACTGTTTTCCAGTCTCCTCTGCCCCCCTGCAGTCTTTTCTCCAGACTCAACCTGCCCAGGGAGTTTGTAACCTTTCCTCATAACTCAGGTTTTCTAAACCTGGGATCATTTTGGTTGTTCTCATCCGGACTTGCCAGTTTGTCCACATCTTTCCTAACATGCAGAGAGTCCATAATCGGACACAGGACTCCACCAGTAGACCAGGACACCGATGTCTTATGGCTGACATCCAACTCCTGTTAACACACGCTAGAATATTAGCCTTTTTGGCAACTACATCGTGCATCCAATTGGTGATCCCCTGTAACCCTCAGCCCCTTTCAACAGTACTACCTCCTAGCCAATAACTCCCCATTGTGTACTTGGGTGTTGGACTTTTCCTTCCGAAGCGTAGCACATGATTGAATTTCATCTAGTCGATTTCAGATGAATTCTCTCATTTGCTGGGGTTGTTCTGAATTCTCTCATTTGCTGGGGTTGTTCTGAATTCTCTCATTTGCTGGGGTTGTTCTGAATTCTCTCATTTGCTGGGGTTGTTCTGAATTCTCTCATTTGCTGGGGTTGTTCTGAATTCTAATCCTGCCCTCCAAAGTGCTTCCAACCCCCCCTCAGTTTGGTGTCATCTGCACATTTTATAAGCACACTCTCCACTCCATTATCCAAGTCATTCATGAAAACACTGACCAGTACCAGACCCAGGACTGACCCCAGAGGGACCCCGCCCAGTTTGGCAGCATACTCAGTGTGCTCTTTCAACCAGTTGTGCACCCACCTGACAGTAATTCCATCTAGACCACACTTCCCTAGCTTGCTCCTGAGAACGTCACATGGGGCCATGTCAAAAACCTGACTAAAACAGCAAGATCTATCATGCCTACTGCTCCCCCCTGGGCCAGAAGCCCTGTCAAAGGAGGAAATGAGGATGGTTTGGCAGGGTTTGTTCTGGATAAAGCCGTGCTGGCTATTCCTTCTAACCCCAGTATCCTCCAGGTGCCGGCAGACTGATGGTTTAGTCATTTGGTCCAGTATCTTTCCAGCTATTGAAGTCAGGCTGCCTGGTCTATAGTGCCCGGGACCCTTTGTACTATGTTTGCACTTGTCCTGGAGGACTGGAGCTCACCCACCCTGCAGAAGTCTCAAAGATAATTGCTACCGGTTCCAAGATTCCTCAGCCAGCTTCTTCAGTACCTCGGATGAATCTGATCAGGCCCTGCCATGCATACAGCTAACTGATCAAAGTCTTTAACCTGTTCCTTCCCTATTGTGGCTTGCATTCCTTCCTCCTTGGTAATATTAATTGTACTGAGGACCTGGTTGCCATTAACCTTTTTGGTGAAGTCTGAAGCAAAAACAGGCATTAAACACCTCAGCCTTCTTGAAGTCAATTATTAGTTCTCTGGCCCCGCTAAGTACAGGCCTTGCTCTCCCCTGCTCCTGAGGTATTTAAAGAACCTCTCTGCCCTTGCCAGGAGTAACTCGTGTGTCAGAGCCTCTGATGTTGCCCCTAGTGCTTGTCATATTTGTCTGTACGCCTCCTTAGCAAGTAGGCCACGTTTCCACTTCCCGGGGAATTCTCTTTGGATTCCCAGGTCACTAAGGAGCTCTAGCAAGAGGCGAATATGGATCCTCCAATTCTTCCTGCCTTTCCTTTGCTTCGGGCTAGGCTGCCGTTGTGCCTTTAACACCATCTCCTTGAGAAACAGCCAACTCTCCTGAACAACTTTTCCCTGAGATTTTCTTCCCGGGGACCTCACCTACCAGTTCTTGGAGTTTGTTAAAGTCCAATTCTTTGAAATCCCTTGTCCTTAGTCTACTGCACTCACTCCGACTCACGAACCCTTTCACCGACACTGCCTTCCACTCTCGGATTTGCTACCAATTCCTCCCAGTTGGTCAGAATCAGGCCTGAAATGGTTGGCCCCCCAGCTACTGTCTCCACTTCCTGAAACAGACAGAGTTGTCCCCAGCACACCCCAAGAACTTAGTGGAAAGGTTTGTTTTGCTATATTACTTTTCCAACAGGTGTCCAGGGCAGTTCAAGTTCCTTGTTACTCCCAGGTCCTGGGTTCTGGATATTTCTTCTATTTGTTCTAGAAACGCTTCATCCCCCTCCTCTTCCTGATTGGCGACCTTAGTAGTGTCACTACCATGATGTCACAGCTATTTTTTACCCCGTTTCTCTTTACCCAGAGATTTGTATGAGACGTAGTCAGAGGATCCTCTGGGATCAACTGCAGCTGGGAACGGAGGAAAGCACGGTTGGGTTTTATGCCCTGAAATCGGGAGTCTCGGAGAGATGCCAGGGACGGATGGACAGGGCAAGGGCAGGTTAGCAGGAGGTGGAGACGCAGCCGATGGCCCAGGATGATGAGCTGGAAATGTTTCCAAGAATCCTGGCGAGGTACGAGACGTGGGGCTTGGTCAGTAGCTGCACCCATGGCCTCCTGGGCAGACTAACTCCAGGCCACTGGGCCCAAGCCGCTGAACACACCGATCCCACCAGACTCTGCCCTGGGTAGGCGACAGGACTGGCTCGGGGGGGAGGGGCGGCTCGCAGAGCCGACCAGGATATAATAATCCAAAAGGGGCATGAGCATCGCTATGAGGCGAGGAGCCGCAGCAGCTCAGGACTGGGAGAGCCAGAGGTGCTGGGGTCAGGACTTGGGCGCCCGTGCCAGGACTGGAACAGCAGGGGGCGCTGCTGCTCAGGACAGAGGTGCATATGCTGAACAAGTCTGCAGAGCACCTGCCTGGCTCCAGCCAGCAGCCGCTGCTCACATTCCTGAGCACCGATTCAGAGACAAGAACATGAATCCAGGGGAGGGGCGGGGAGCAGGCATGGCTGGCGCACACGGCCTGTAGGGAGGGGCCAGCACTCCAGACAGTCCAGCCATTTCAGGGGAAGGTTCCTGTAAAGCAGCGGAACAGGAGCTGGCTGGGATTGGGGGGGACAGGAGAAGAGATCAGCACCCAAGGGGTGAACAGAGACCCCAGCAGGTTACACAGAGCTCTGCTGGTGGACCTGAGGCTGCTAGTGAAATGCAGGGGAGGGGGAAGGACTCGATTCACTAAGGAGGGGGATCTGGGCACAGGAGTTAGAAACAGGGACTAGACTACAGAGATGCACATAGGACTCACCCCCTCCCTGGTAGGCTGGGGGGGCCCAGCCACCAGCACCGACCCCCTAATTTCTATTCTGTGCTGTTCCACACAGCAGCCAGCTGGGGTCACTGTTGTACAAGGAGGGGCAGTTCATTGCAGGGACTGAGGCTAGGCAGCCAGGCCTGGAAATGGGGGTAAGGGGGACTCACAGGACAGCCAGGATACTACTGAGAAGGGGGAAGAGAACCCCACCCTAACCCCCCACTAGCTTAGCATCATAGGGGCTGGATTTGTCCTTGCAGCAGGTGCTCCAGGGCTTTGTCCGGTTGGCCAGGCCCTGAGGGTGGGATCTCAATTACCACTGGCCAAAGAGAAAGGCCCCAGAAGGCTGGTTGAGTCCCAGAGCCAGGAGTTTGGCGAATCAACTTGTGGGAACAAGCCTGCCCTGGAACAGCAACTGATAGGGTAGCCGAAGCGTCTCCTCTGGGTATAACTGGGGACAACCCAGAGGTGTGAAGCAGCCAACCCCTCCCCCCCGCCCACTAGCAAGCAGAAAGGACCAGGGGACATACCAGTCGGTGTTGCAAACTGCATAAGGACACTATTACACCCCAACGTGATGATGAAGGACTGTTTGCCCACGCGGCTGCATTCCGTCTCCCTGGACACAGAACACTTAAATACGCACACATCTTCATCTGGGGGAGGAGAAGAGAAACAAGGGGTTAGTGTCCCACGGGGGCCACGCTTCCCACGATGGGGCACGTGCCACTTTTCAACCCCAGAGGCGGCTGCAGTTCAGCAGCAAGCAGGGCCAGGCTAGCACAAGGCCTCACGCGCTGCACAGACAGGGTGGCACAAGGCCTGGTAGACCTAGGACCAGCTCCCCAAACAAGGGGGGGTGGGAGGGGTTCCCAGAGATGTCAGACTTTCAAATCCCATCATTCCGATTCTCGCCTTGCTTTGATTCCCCACTTATGCTCCAATGCGGATCTAGCGACCGCGGTCTTGAGAAGCATTGGAGCAAGAAGCCAATGCTCAGACCACCCCAGAACTCTGGATCCCACCCTCCCAGAGGCAGACAGCTCTAATCTCACTTGCTCTGGCCTCAGAAGCACCAGGAGGGGCATGTCACCTGGGCGTTTCTTTGGCAGAGTGGTACGGGAGCTTTCAGGGGACTGAACTCCTCCACACGCAGGGATCAGAGAGGCGTGGGAATCAGCAGGCAAGAGCGCAGTGTGCTTTGGGATCGGCGGGGCAGGGCATGCATCAGAAGAGTCATGTTTTTGGCGCTAGAGAAGTGCTGAGCAATAACAGATGAAAAGGAGCCGCACCCCTCACCCGCCTAGACTCATCCCCAGAGAAGCCTGCTGGGGAGTAGGGGTCTGCTTCCCCTGCTACTTCCAGTTAGCTCTACATTCTCCTGCACGGAGCTGTCACTGCCATCCCATGCCCCACCACCTTCCTCAGCCCTCTGCTCTCACCCACTTCCACCCTCTCCTCCTTGGATGCTCTCGGATCATCGCCAAGGCTATCTGGGGAGGCTGAAACTTTGCAGCCACTTTGTTCCCTTTCCCCCTGCTGACTCAGCCATTTAGCCTCTCTGCCAGCCTCTCTCCCTGACCTCCTCCCCTCTCAGTGCTAGCCTCTATGCCCGTCACACGCACACCTGTCCCCTCTTCCCAGCTGTCCCTTACCCACAATCCGTTCCCCCTGGACTGAGCGGTAAGGCCACCTGTCACTCCTGTTGTAATGCTTACGGAGACGCCAACCAATCAGCAACAGCTGGATGGGCAAGGGGACAGAGGGCACTGGCTTCCTGTATATTTCTATCACTTGCTTTCTGAGCCTGGAAGGTCCCTGGGGCAGGAGGTGTACACACACACACACACAGCACAACAGAGCCATGCTCCTCTTTGGCCACCAGCATATTTTAAGTCTTAATTGAGAAATGCAGCCTCAGGGGTCCACAATTCCTCTTGCCACTAAGGATGCGCTAATGTCACAGCTTATCCTCCGTGAGCGGGGAGAGCCCATCCCGTGGCCTCAAGGGATCTAGTTGGATCCCTTTGGCTTTCTCCCACACACTCCTGTCGGCCTTGGGAAGGATTTCCTGCTGAGGAACGGGTCCCACCGCTGAGCCAGGATGGGCGTGCCGAGGGCAGGGCGGTCTGGGCTGCACCTGGCTGACAAGCAGATTCCAACCGGAGAGGTCGGATCCGCACTCCTGACTGTGGGGGCAGGCGCTCCGAGGAGACAACCAACGCCGACAGGTCAGGCCGTTCCTGTCGCGCGCTGATGAATCTGTCTCAGGCGGCCGGCCTGTGCGCTACGTACGAGGCACTGGCTGCAGTGTGGCCATGCAGCCCTGGGGTCGCAGAGATGCCCTCCCTCCCAGGAACACCATCCTGCCGGCTGCAGGAGGGACCAGCTCTGGGGAGCGGGACAGACCTAGGGAAGGAGTGGGAGAGACCAGCTGAAGGCTACACTGCAGCAATGGGATGGATGGGACCGCTCAGCAACCCAACAATGGCGTCATGCGCAGCAGGGACCCCACGAACATCCTTCCAGCTCTCCCAACAGCCCCCAGTCCTGGCCTGCCGGTCTCCCTATTGCTCCAGCCCTGGACTCCACCACACAACCCTGCCGGTGCCCCTCAGTCCCGATCCACAGCCCCCTGCTAGCCCAGCCCTGGGCTCCGAGATGCCCCTCAATCTCCATCTGCAGCATCTCCAGCTGCTTCAGTCTCGCCCCCTTTCCTCCCAAGCAGGGACGTCTGGTCAAGTTTATCCGGTGACTTGGGCCCAAGTCCATCAGTAAGGAGGCTGAGCCCCCTGGCCCCCACTCATTTCACTTGTGAGCCAACTCTGATTTCTAAAGGGGGTTTCTTAACCCACCTCCCCCCACTCATCCTGCCCCTTGGACAAACACCAGTTCACTGACTGTTCTATTTTCACCAGCTCCCGTGGCCTCTTAAGGAGGAACAGCCCCAGATTTTGGCACCTGTAACCCATCTGCAGGTGAGGTGCCCCCTTAAAATGGCCTTCGGCACAAACAAACAAAAGCTCACTTGAAGACAAGTGTTTGCACCGGGCAGCACCCTCCTGGGTTCTTCCAACTACCCCAGAAAAGCCACAGCAGTGAGCTGCTCCCCCTTTACTCGCCAATGAGATCATCAGCCAGGTGCTTGGAGGTTCATGCTGGGCAAGCTGGGGAGGAGACACTGGCCCAAGTTGGCAGGCAGCTACCACGCACGCAGGAGCCTTTCTGCAGCAGACAGAGGAGTTTGCAGGCCCAGTTTCCTGGGAAGCCTTGTTCTGTGCATGGCGTCTGGCTAGGCCGGTTCCACCGGCTCCTCGCAGTCGTTGCTGTTTATGGGCACAGCGAAAGGAGAGCCCCTCCCAAGCCCTTTCTGCTGCTCAGAGCCTCAAAGGGGTTCGGCCTATTACAGCAGGATTAATGGATGCGCTGGAGGGGGAGGGGAGGAGGGCTTGTTAGCTCCCAGGAGACTTAGCCATGGGGGCCTCATGTTATCAGCACACGCAGAACCAGGGATGAGAAGCCCTCTGCAAATCCCCCCCATCTGCGGCCCAAGCAGCAGCCTGTCCATGCAGATAGCTCAGCCGGGCGAGGGCGCTGGCTGGGGTTTATCTGCACCACTCAGCTCCCGTACAAGGCCCAGGGCCAAGCCAACGCCGCCTGGCGTGCTCTCCCCACCCCCTAAGATTTCCACACTCAGAGGCCAAGCGGGAGCTGGACAGCGCAGGCTCCCTAGTCCTGGCATTTCAAACCCGCCTGCATGAAGCTGGTCTGCCTTGGTGCATGATGGGAGTTGTAGTCCACTTCTCTACAATTCTAGGGCTAGCTCTCTGAGCAGCAGAAAGTCCCTCTCCAGGGAAGGGTTATTCTCTTGGGGGGGGGGAAATTGGGGGGAGGCTGCAGATGGACAGTCAACAGGCCAAGATGCTGGTAAGGGGGGGGAGGGAGAGGAAACTCGGGGACATTTTGCCTTTGAGCACACTCACGTGTATCTGAATTGGACCAAAAATCCAGCCACAAACATGAGTGAGAGCCTCTGGGCCACTTACTCCACTAGGAACTGGGCAAACCCACGTCACACAGCCCCTCTGTAACAGAACGGTGAAAGACTTCAGTCTCCCCCGACCTGGACTGGACGGGAACCAGAGATCCATGGGGGGAGGGTGGGGGGTGGCGGGGGAAGAGATTTGGGGGCCCTGGTGGATACGCAACTGCACATTAGCGCCGAACGCGACACTGTGCCCAAAAGGGCTAATGCCATCCTGGGTGCATAAACAGGGGAATCTAGAGTAGGAACAGAGAGGTTATTTTACCCCTAAGTTTGGCACTGGTGCATTGCTGCTGGATTCCTGTGCCCAGTTCTGGGGCCCGCAGTTCAAGAAGGATGCCGACAAATCAGAGCGGGGTCAGAAAGCCACAAGAATAATGAGAGGATTAGAAAATCTGCCGGAAAGTGAGAGACTCTAGGAGCTCGACCTACTTCGCTGAACAAAGAGAAGGTTAAGGGGGGACTGGATCATACTCTAAGTATCTACATAGGGAACAGATTTAACAACGGGCTCTTCGCTCTCGCAGAGAAAGGTGGAACACGCTCCCACAGCTGGAAGTTGGAGCTAGACAAAATTCAGACTGGAAATAAGGGGTCAGTGTCTAATGGGTGGAGCAATTAACCATTGGGACCATTTTCCGGGGGGCGGGGGGGGGGAGGCTGGTGGATTCCCCATCCCTGACCATTTTTAAATCAAGGCGGGATGTGTTTCTAACAGCTCTGCTCCTTATTGTGGGCAGGTCTCTGGCTTGTTACACAGGAGGTCAGACTAGATCACAAGGAATCTATTCTGACCTTGGAATCTATTAAAAGCTCCATCATCCCCTATTCCCCATCCTCCGAGCTGTCCCGTTACCAGCGGAGCGAGATCTGGGGCGCCAAAAGCAGAGGAGCTGGAGAGAAGCCTCCTTGGTGGAAATCAGGCAAGCGACCCCCCACCTCCCCCTGTTGTGGCACGTGGCGACTCTGGCTCTGGCGATTGCTACACTGCAAAAGGCAGATGCTTTCTGCTGCTGGGCACAGAGACTCCAATGCCGTCTCCAACAGACGGACGCTCTCAGCTGCAGGCACTTCCTTCCCCGAAGCGCCTTCCTTTGGCAAGTCTGGCTCTCAGATGTCACCGCGCTGCCCCCGGCTACTGACACGCCACGAGGGACAGCAGACAAAGGGCGGGGGTTTGCAGCACCCCAAGCCGAGCGGGGGTCATGTTGCAGACTGTGCTGGGCATGAGCAGGAAGAGGAAGGATGGGGCAGCAGTCAGAGAGCTAGTCTGGGTCTCTGGGTTCAAGATCCCACTCTGCCACCAGGCTCCATGTGCCTGACAGGGACAGCAGCATGCCCCTACCCCTGGGAGGTGTGCACACCCTGCAGTGACAGGGGCCAGATAAGGACCCAAGACAGATAAATGCAGGCTCTGGGCTTTCCCTCTGGTGGGGATCGTCCTTGCCTGAGGCAGGATGTGCAAAGGCTGTAGCCTCTCTAGAAAGAGAGTTTATTCTCCTGCTTCGTTTGCCTGTAAGTGACTCGGCATTGGTCCAACGGATGGCGCCGGACACGGGAACAAGTCACTGGCAGCAGGGACCAATCTCAGGATCCCAACACACAAGCCTCACCTGCCCCAGCCAGCTTAACTCCACGCCCCACTCAACCCTGAGCTGCCTGCCAGCAAGGGAGACGCTATGCCGCTAGGTTGGCAATCTGGATCTGGCAACTCATCTCAGACAGGTTATCGACCGGCCATCAGATCGAGCATCTTCCACTCCTTATTGGCCCGGGTTCGATGCCAAGTGAGCTGGGAGTCAGGGGCTCCTGATCACTCATGCTGAACTTGAGTCCTCCAAACTCCCTCCCCTCGTTCAAGGGCCCCCCGTTGGGCTGCCTCGCATCAGGAACCGCCGTCCAGAAGAATCCCACAGACAGGCCGAGCATGGGTAGTGGCTCGGCACCAACAGCACGGATTGGGAACTGGACGCACTCAGGAGCAATGCAGGATGCACATTAAACCACAAACCAAATGCATCTGACGAGCCCCGGACCAGACATTTCAAGAGCTAGTGGTTTGGGGACCTAGCAGGGGCCTGGTTTTCACAGGGGGGTGCTCAGAGCTTTCTGAAGACAGCCCTCTCCGAGGAGCCTCAGGCTGAGCATCCAGAAGACGCTAGCTGCTCTTGGAAAGCCAGCGTGGATCACAGATCAGATCGGTGGGTTCCCTCCCTGAACTCCTGGAGAAGACAATTCACTGCACTGTGCCTATCTACAGAGCCTTTCGTCACATGACCTCAAAACACATGATTTAAGCCTCACGTTCCTCACGAACCCCCAGGGGCAGATATTTAGTGACTTGCCCAAGAGCTCACTTGGTGGCCGAATTGGTAACACGCCACGAATCTGGACTCCCAGACCTCTCCTCTAACCACTAGACCCTGTTCTCCTCCGAGAGCTGAGACCAGAGCCAAGAGTCCTGACTTCCAGTCCTTTCTCCTCTAACCACTAGACCCCACTTCCTGAAGCACTGGGAATGGAACCCAGGCGTACTGTCTGCCAGACCACTGCTCTGACCAGGAGCCTTGAAGCTCAAGGCTCAAGCCAATCCCTGGCTACGAGAGACCAGGAGGAGACTTATGGGGGGACTTGAATATCTCAAATCCACCCCCTGCAATGGGTGCCCAGAGCAGCTGGTTCTGGCTGTTGTTAGAGACAATACACTGGACTAGATGGACCTCGCATCTGATCATTCCTACGTTCCTAGGCCACTTTCCCCTCAGAGCAGAGAAAAGAGCCCAGGAGTCCTGACCGCCATGCTAACCACTGGATAACAAACCCGCCAGAACAGACTGCAACTCAAAAAAGTAAGAGCACAATTATGCTCTCTCGAGCCGCCAAAGGTGTGAAGGACCCACAGTGAAACTTACCGGCCTGGATCCCCACTTCCTGAATTTTTTGTTTAATTCAGAATTCTGTCTGCTAGGCGGAAGAGGCCAGGGCAAAGCTCTGAACACTGTGTGTTTCATGCCCTCCCCCTCGCTAGCCGGCTGAATGCTACAGAATCTGTATAAAAATATAATTAGAGCTATTTATCTCAGCAGACTTACAGGGGGGAGAAGAGAAAAAACCACATGCTCAGCCAAATGCAAAGGGTTTTATGGCACTTCCCTCCCCCTGGAAATAAAGACTCAAGCTGTCGCCATTAAAGGGGAAAAAGATTCTACAGCCCGGGAAGACAAAGATGACAATGAGGGAAAATCATTAAAAAGCCAAAGTCACTAATAAAACCAGAGCTCCAGCTTTCCCCAGGGCCCCAGAGCAGCAGCTGCTGCCTCATGGGCCCCCTCTGGCTCATGTCCTTGCTCAATTGTGGCTGACCCCAAAAATCAGTGAATCTCCTTTGGGGGCCTTGACAGCTTGCTGCTGATGGTGTCATCTCCGGTCCAGCAACACGGAAGATGCCAAGGGTCAGTCTCTCTCTGGTACTCACCTGGCTTCCATCACCGGAGCCCCTGAGCGCCTCACAATCTCCAGTGTATTTACTCTCAGAGCCCCTCTGGGAGGCAGGGCTATTATCCCTGTGGTGCACATGAAAACTGGCTCACAGAGGCTAAGGGATTTGCCCAGGGTCACACAGGAAGTTTGGTGCATCAGGGATTCGAACCCAGGGCTCCCCCCTAGTTCCACAGCCACTGGACCATGAGGTCAGATCTTGGCCAGGCCACCCCTGCTAGCTTCCACGATGAGACTTTTCTGCTCATTCACTCAGCTCTGTCCACGTGCCACGGGGAGGGAGCATCGTCTAGTGGGCAGAGTCAGACTGATGCGAGCCTTTAGCTGCAGCCATAAATCCATCAACAGGCATTAAGCCAACCTCACCTGTCAAGTTCCATCTGCCTTTAGTTACGTGGAAAATTTAATGCTTCACTTCCACCCCATCTCTCAGCTGCAATAGGCCAATCTCCTCCACAGATACAGGGTTCTAACTCCCAGCTCTGCAGAAATCCAAGACATGGGCTGAGTGCAGAATTGAGAGCCAGGTCTCCTGAGGTCCCAGCTCTGCTGCTGGTTCAGTGGGTAGTCTCGGGCAAGTCCCATCTAAGGCACATACATGGCCCTCGTTATCAGAGTATCTGCGCCTCAGTCTCCAATGACTTTATCCTCCCCACATCCCTCTGAGAACAGAAATCCCCCCGCCTCTGGGTACAGATGGGGCCTGTGGCACAGAGAAGCTAAAATGACTTGCAGAGGTCAGAAGACAATGACTCAAACCCAAGTCCCTCAAGTCACAAGGTGTGCTCTAACCACTGCACCACCCTTCCTCTCCACCACACCTGTTTCCCGGTCTACAGAACAGGGCTAATGCTGA